TGTCCATCAATGGTGATTTCGTAAATTTCAATTTATAATTTTTTTATTAACTAGCTGACCCGGCGAACTTCGTACCGCCTTAGCGTAGAGATTTTCTTAATATTTTTTTCCGTAAGAACCATCCTTGGACTTCCACAAACATTAAAAAAAAAGAATTATCGAAATCGGTTCAGCCGTTCACACGTGATGCCGTGACAACGCGAAACGGGTTTCATTTTTATATATATAGATAGATTATCTATTAAGCATACAGGATTTTTGGTTTTGTTTAAATGTTCCTCATGTATTTAAGTGCCGAAAAAAAAATCACCACATTTGTATCGTCAAAAAACATCCCCTTTTTAAACGAAATTCGAATTTAGTGCGCTTAACATGTCCATGATTGGTTCCATCACCCTATATCATCATAACAAATGTAAACTTCGGCGCGTCGATGCCAATTAGTGGGAAAAAAATAACTTAAGTATTTCCACAGTATTAATCTAGACAAATTAAAATTAAAAGTATATAAGGGGGTGTAAAAAAAAAGCGTTATGGAAAAAACATACCATGTTGACTAGTAGTGACTAAGTAGTGTGTGCTAGAGATGCGGATAAATATTTCCTCTAAATGTCTATAACTGGACAAAATAAATAGAGGTATAAAACCCTGCCCGCGTTTCCTTTTAATAGCTGTTTAAAAGCAGGCCAATACAAAATAAATACCAACGTTAAAAACCAGTAAGTAACATTTAAAAAGTAAAGAGTAGTGATGGGCCGACTATGGTCTTTGCCGACTAACCGACTAGCCGACTAATCGGTTTTCAAATTGCCGATTAGTCGGCCGACTAATCGGCAATGCCGATCATTCTAATACCTACTTGTCCGAAGAATAATTCTAGATTTCTCAAAGAAATAAGAATATTTAGATTTCTTATGAGATATTTAACTTCTTGAGAAATAAGATTTCTTTAACATGAGAAAAATAAAATGCAACATTACAATAACCTAACAATACCTAAGGTAGCGAGCGGTAGGTAACTGGATTCGGGCAGCGCAGGACCGTTCATTGTGGAAAACCTTGGNGTAAAGAGTGATGTAAATTTCTCTGTACGGATCGAAAATTGGTGGCGGGGGCAAGTGTATCGGCGGCCATCAGTTGGAAGCTATAAAAGGCGAGCAAGACCCGTGATTGCGAAACAAAACTGTAAAGACCTGACTCTGAGTCAGTGAAGATTGCCTGTGCGCAACAGGCCGCCTGTGAACTTTAAACGACCCACTCCCGGTCCAGCTGCACTAGCTTATTGATAGGTGACACTTACGCCTGTTGCGATTTTTGATGACACTAATATTTTAACTAGGGATGTTATGGATATGTATTTTCGGTTATGGATACGGTTACGGATATAGGAATAATATTATACCGGTTACGGTTACGGATATTTTTTTATTTCGGATATCCGAAAGTTTCGGTTACGGTTATGGATATAGATAACATCCCTGATTTTAACTGTCTCGTTTCCCCACAAAGTAATCATCTCGACTAATTTTAATTGAACCAGCTTCAAAGCATGCAAATGCACTGAAATCATCTGTTTTAGCCCCAATCCCAACTAATATTATAAATGCGAAAGTAACTCTGTCTGTCTGTCTGTCTGTCTGTCTGTCTGTCTGTCTGTCTGTCTGTCTGTCTGTTACGCTTTCCCGCTTAAACCTCGCAACCGATTTTGATGAAATTTGGCATAGAGATAGTTTGAGTCCCGGGAAAGAACATAGGATAGTTTTTATCCCGGTTTTTGAAACAGGGACGCGCGCGATAAAGTTTTTCTGTGACAGACAAAATTCCACGCGGGCGAAGCCGCGGGCGGAAAGCTAGTAATTCCATAAAGCCGTAAGCTGGATTAAGTGGACCCGTATGGACTGACGTCGAAAACGATATACGTGAAAGGTTTGACATCTGATTTAATCCGTTTAAAAACTCATATCATAAAATGAACGAATTTTGCCTTTCGACGTTGTATTGCTGTGCAATAAAAGCGCATCAATAACTGTTAATATTTATAAAATGTTGTAACTAAATATCATATTTATTAATCTCAGTCTCTTTCAAGAATAATTTTAACTACATTACATTTAGTGGTAATAACATTAATGGACGGTAATCTTTAAGTCGCAATAAGATAATGTAAACACAGGCATTTAATATGACGAAATTATTAGTTTATGATAATCATAATGATCATAATGTTTATTTGCTAGTAAACGTGGCAATACAATTCATAATGTTAATTCAGACATGTTTCGCCAGAGAATTAAGCATGCAAATTATGGTAAAAACTCATGAAAACAGAAACTACGAAAATAATGCTATATAGGTTTAGCCAGGCCTTAGAGTTAATAATTCTTTAATTTCTTTGGGTATATTGTTAAAAAAAAAACCTTTACGCACATAGTCAAACAGCTTTCGTTGTATTGCATAGTTTTTAGAGTATCTTGCAGAACCAATATATGTGGATCTCTACAATTTCTGGGTTAGCCATATAAAATGTCATAAGCCCTTAAAAACAAATGCCTATTTTGCATTTTTTATAAAGTTTATTAGTAACTAGCTTTTGCCCGCGGCTTCACCCGCCTGTAATTTAGTTTGTCACAGATCGTCCTAAATAATAGACTATATTTCATTCTGGGTTACAAACAATAATACTGTAAAGTTTCATCAAAATCCGTTCAGTAGTTTTTGCGTGAAAGAGTAACAAACATCTAGACATCCAAACTTTCGCATTTATAATATTAGTAGGAAGTAGGATTTGTATTGCACAAATTACTAATAGTCCCTACAGCCCCTCGTGGTAAGCTAAATAAGCTTGTTTTACGAGTGGGCTCACCACAATAATCGAACGGCGGTGGGATTCGAACCCGCGTTCCTCGGATCTCGAGTCGGCCAGTCCGACCCATTCACAGTTCGGCTATCGTGGCTATGGAACACCACATATTGCTCTAATGCACTTTTTTATGCAATGAAGGCTCTTTTTTTAAAATAAAAAATAAAATAAAATAAAAAAATTGAGTATTAATAAATAGAGAATGAATAAATCAGCTCTACTATGTCTAAAAATATCAATTTCGAGTGTTACAAGTACGCTAGCTACATAATATTAGTATGTACCTACCTACTTGACTACGGTATACCTAAACGATAAAACATCCATCCTTTAACTACGTAACAAATGACTTATGAATGGATGTTGATCCTAAGGAGAGTTGGTTAATATGAAAGGCCAGGAGCGGCGTCGGTTGACTTGTTTCTGTGCGTGCATACGTTTATTTTTATTTGGCGCGCATGTGAGAGCGGACGTGTCATCTCGGACGTCTTCCTTTTGTAGTTTTATCTTACTCTAAAACAACGCAAGAGAATTTGGAGACTGATCCTGAAAAATAAATCGCTTACGTAGAATACAACTGCGTCGATATATCGACAACATACATATTTTTTCAGGAAAATTATTTCTTTCAAGCTCTAAGACACATAATTGCACATAATTTAAATGTTTTAAAATATTAAAATAATTTAATTACAAATGTAAAAGAAAAGAAATGGTTTAATTAATGTGTATTCGGAACGTGTGAAATATTGGTATAATTTACTTTAATAATGAATGTATATTTCCGTTTTAAATTCCGTAGAAGTTAATTCGTATTAACTTTTAGCGTAACATTCCAACTTGGTGCCTATCTTTGTACCGCGCGGTGAGTCACTCGAACTTTATCTGTCGTCGCTGGGCATGAGCCGAACGCTCGATAACCGACGATGACATAGGTACACAAGAAGCCAATTTTATCAGAAACAATACACAGTGATAATATTCATAAACATAAATTCTTAGTTGGATGGGTGTACGAGTCTTTGTCCGATAGCGGCAGTTTGGGCAGGGAATTTGAATAAACAATGGTAGGATCGAAAGTACCGCTCTCACTTTTGTCGGATGTTGGACAATGGTCATGGCCAGCTAACAGTCGCAGTCTACGTCCAGGCCGCTTGCAAGCAGCGCACAGCAGCGACGCTCCGAGCTCTGTCCCTACTTCAGACGTAATTCAATTAGTAGCCCGTATCCGTTTGGACCCTTACCCTTCTTTTTGAACGAAGCTCCAAATGGTGGCCACCGTCGGTTAAAAAATTTTGATAATGACTTTAAAGAGTTCAGATTACATTGTAAACATTTAGAAGGTCTAATACCAGTGGGGAAAACTAAGTGTTTTCCTGTAACAGGAAAAATATGCATCTCGGCAATAAAATTATTGTTCAACACACTTTACTCGGAAAGAAGCTTTTTTACAAGGTTATTATGAATGTATTGTTTAATACAGCCACAGCGCTACAACTTTATAAAAAGAAGTTGTAGAAAAGTTATTCGCCATGAAACAGAAGCTCATGTCATGTGTATCTACTAAACTGTTTAACGTTTTAAACTCTAGTCACATACGATATTTACTTTATTAACGGCATGAGCCGATTCAATTAAACTTAAGTTTCAAAACATAAAGGGTATTCGCAATAACAAACTTAGTCATAAATAAATAACAAACCGCTGATGAGTAATGTCCACGAAGGCGTTTAGTGTGAAGCGATTTCAGTCACTTTTATTACTGAGATAATTACGCATCAGCTCTATTTTGTTTAGCGGTTACACTTATGTTAATACGCAGGCCCCTCTTTGCCACCAGCCTCGTACTCATGGCCCCACGAAATAGGAGGCCTCCGCCTGCCTTAAAAAAATGATTAACACTAACTAAGCTACTAATTTATTACGATTGTAAAGATATACAAGTACATAATCGCGGAAAGGTTCTGTATAAAGGATTTGCTAAAAACTTTTCAAGGAATAGAGGCCCCACGATTCTTAAACGACCAGAGCCTAAAGACGGCCCTGTAAATACGGAAAGTTAAACCCAAGGTTTTTTTTAATTCCCACGGCCCCCGGTAGTTTAAATACGGCCCTGTTAACATGATTAATATTGTTCTAGAATCTGGCCATCTTCAGCGGAAATCTTCCTGTGGAGACCACCGACCTGGTGGTGACCGGCTACGATGACGTGTCGCTGGAGCACGGCGCGTTCTCGTCGCTGAACGACCTACGACTCGTGCGCATCGCGCACAGCAAGCTGGTGGTGTTCCGCCGCGGCGCCGCGGTCGACCTGACCGTCGTCAGCGCCTACGTCGAGGTCGAGCACTGCTCGGAGCTGCGCGTCGAGGGGAAAGCATTCAGCAACTTACGCGGTGAGTTCAACCGGACAACTTTTATGTTACAAATTGATATGTTAAGAATTTTCTCGCTTGCCAAGTTTTTGCATAGCGAACTAAGAATGCTCAGAGTTCAAAAGTATGCTTATTAATAATAGTTTAATCAATCAAATAAGTTACTTTAACATTTGATGAACAATAGACATGTTGACACCACCAATCAATTGACGTACTTTTTAAAACTGTCAGAACGAAACTTTCCCATAGATTTTTATGGCACTAAAAGCAAGTGACGTCACTATTTTTTCTACTCAATTAAGAGATCAAAATTTAAAGTTTTTAAGACCAGAATGAAGTAGCCTTTTTAGAAAAGTTGTGATTTCGAATTATTGGGGAATGGTGTCAAATTGTCTATTGTATTAGTACGGTTATTTCTAACGAGCGCGAGCGGGGTAACGTGCGTTTTTAAGATATAATAAAACGATCTTTAACTCATTTATAGAGTACTTCAACTCATTTACGTAGTAGGAAGCAGATAAGAAGCACGGCAACGTCGATGCACCCGAGCTACTCAATATTCCAAACCCGTTGGCATGATTTGACCATGGATGTAATCATTTACGGTTGTATATGGATGTGCGTAAGGCACCACTAGTGCTGGTCGGGCTGCTTGGTAGCGGTGACCGGCGCTGGAAGCGTGACATGTATGACAGATTATTTTTCGGTCTTTATTGAAGTCGAACTATCGTCGTAACGTTTGTAGCCATTGTACAATTACCAGTCCATAATATTATTAAACGAATATTGCAACCCAACTGTAACTTTATCCGCTTGGAGGGTTTTAATTTATCAGCCACAATTTTGATTGAATCAGTAATAAATGGTGGTTAATAATGTGAGTTATACATAGTAATATTATTAAAGTCAAAGGTTAATTTAATTAATTACCTACGCTTGCAATTGATTAGCTGGAAAAGCTATTGATAATGGAAAGTAAATAGAATTTCAATACAAAATTATTAATTAAGTAGTTGTCGTATCTCAGGAAGACTTCTTACTTTCTGAGATTTTGTTTAATTTCTTTGAAGTCGTACTTCAGTTGACAGGTCTTCGCGACATAAATGGTAATAAACAGATATCAGTATTTAATTTATTGTTCAACGCAAGTGCTTGGTTAATTATGTTATCCGGAGTCAGCTGATAGAGAAAACAAAGTATCAATGAGGAGTTGCGATTACTCAGCGAAAGAACCGGTTTAGGCGGCACGGCCAGTGCAACCGGTCGGCCGCCGGATGGGCTCGATTATCGGCTCGTTCAATTTCGACTAGATGGACTTCGTTTATTGTACTATTTGTAGTGATTGTGTAACCGCGACAATTTCTATCATAGACGACGGCTATCAGTGAACACTAACTATGTATGTCTAAACTGAAATGTTGTGACTTAGCCACAACGGATTCAACTGAAAGTCTATTATGGTATGCCCAAAAACATTGCACTATATTCCCAGGTCGAATTCAAAACCATGTTTTTTCAATTTATAACGTAAACATGAAACTCTGATCACATTAATTAAGCGACTACATTTAAAGATTATGTGCCAGTTACGTTTAATTTTTTGGACCGAACTTTTTGGAATGATATTGAGTATAGATAGGTAATGCAATGGAACTAAGGAATCTTAAGTTAACTTTAACAAACGTCAACGTCAAAAATATTAAACTTCATACAAAAAACACGGGTTATCGTTATAGTTGCGGTTAAAGTTAGGTGGTGTAACTCAGACTCAAAAATTCAAAGGACCGTCAAAACGTTTTATATTTTTTCCAAAACCAAATCGCTGGTAGGGTCGCCTCGTACGTAGATCGCCATAGAGGTGCCGGTACCGTAAACAAAAAAAAACATGATATGCTCCTGAGTGACTACACGTAATTATTGGTGAAGTAAGAAACTTACGATGTTAGTTGTTGTAAATTTCCAAAGTAAGTTAAATGAAAGCTTTTCTCGCTTCGCGGCGAGGTTGCGCGGTGTTGTTAGCAGATGAAGGTTAGACGCGCCGGCTCCACAGAAACTGACGTGTTCCACTTTAGAGTAACTTAATCTATTCACTATTATCTGGCGAGCCAATTTTTTTGGCCCTCTTCATTCACTATTTTTCCTGAAATAAGCGGGCTTTATTCCCTAGTCTATGTCAGACGATACATGATACCTACATGCGATGAAAACACGCCCGTCTTGTCAGTGTCTGTCGAAAGTTAGCTTTTCTTTTGTTATGAAAGAGCAAGGAAAATACACTACGGAACAAAACAAGGTTCATGATCAAACAACGCTGCTTTTATAATCACTGCACTGTCCAAAATATTAGTGTATGAGTGCGTTCAACGAATATTTCTGGTACAGCTAATAGCCATGCTAGGTCTATGTCCACATTTTTATATCTGTCTTGGGATTGTGAAAGTCTGGGATTTACAAAGCTTAAATTATAACGAGGATGATCTTATTCGGATAACCTTCATCCCCGAGCTGGAGAGCATTAATATGCGATATTAATACCTACAAAGGTATTTTAAAATGCGCGCATCCATATTTTCAGTTCTAAGAGTTTTTTTGAAGCATCATAATTATAATTAACATTACATGCTCGTACGTTACATTCTATAAATAATTTTAATATGTAGCCAATGCATAATATGTTCAACGAAACTATCTGACTCTAAAAAAAATTACGTTAGAACAATGAAGGGTAATTTGCCTCAATTTCATGATTAGTCCAGTAGAATTAGCTTTTAAATCGGAAATAATTCCTACAAAAGATTTTATTGTTTTAATGGCTTCATTGGTTGCCCATTAAGACTCTCCTAAGTTTTCGACTTCGACGGAGTTGTGCTTAAGTGGTGGGGGCCCCCGAAAGGGGCATTTTTCGGTTTTCCGGTTATACCGCGTAAAGGACTTACCCTATCAAAAAGTGGTCTTCATGACGGTTGAAGGGCACTTAATCCTGCATTTAATAAGACCAAATTCATATGTTTTGGACAAACCGTTCTCGCGCTAAAGTTCGGCAAAGTAGAAAATATACGTATAATTAATGACCCTCTCCATGTCCAATGGTTTGTTACCCACAGGCTTCCAAGTCTTGAAAAGGGCCACCTCAACCAGCTTGGAAGCATGTGGGTAACAAGCCATTGGACGTGGAGAGGGTAATTAATTATACGTATATTTTCTAATTTGCCGAACTTTAGCGCGAGAACGGTTTGTCCAAAACATATGAATTTGGTCTTATTCAATGCAGGATTAAGTGCCCTTCAACCGTCATGAAGACCACTTTTTGATAGGGTAAGTCCTTTACTTTTCAACCGACTTCAAAAAAGGAGGAGGTTCTCAATTCTACCCGTATGTTTTTTTTTTTTTTTTTCTATGTTTGTTACGCGATAACTCCGCCAATTATGAACCGATTTGAACAAATCTTTTTTCTGCGTATAGGTAATACCTCAAGGGTGGTCCCATTTAAATTTAATAATAGAAAAAACAACCCCCAAGGGTGGAAAATTGGGGATGAACTTTTTTATACGCAATATCTCCGCCGATTATAAATCAATTTGAACGATTATTTTTTTGTTGAATAGGTATTATCAAAAAGGTGGTTTCATGCGAATTTGAAGAAAATATTTCATCCCCAAGGGTGGAAAATTGGAGATGAACTTTTTTATACGCAATATTTTTAATTTTTAGTTTTTTTTTGTGTTCACGCATTTGAAGTCGGTTTTATTTTTTTAAAAAGTTATTGATAGGGTAAGTCCTTTACGCGGTATAACCGGAAAACCGAAAAATTCCCCTTTCGGGGGCCCCCACCACTTAAGCACAACTCCGTCGAAGTCGAAAACTTAGGAGAGTCTTAATGGGCAACCAATGAAGCCATTAAAGCAAAAAAATCTTTTGTAGGAATTATTTCCGATTTAATCAATTTTTGTGTTTAATTCTACTGGACTAGATAAACTCTGCAATGATGGCGTTAAAGCAAGTAAAAATCCGCATATCTCTAATATTCCAGTTTAATTATAAGGTAAAGCGAACCGCTCTTGTATTGCTTTAGCTACCCACGTTAATAGTTAACGTCAACGTGCACTCGTCGTCAATTTCCCTTTGACAATAATATTACGTCGAGTTGTAGCAATGGGCAATATGATTCCGCAATATGCAAACATCACATGCATTGTTGCTTTATTTTGCTGCGGGATGAGTGTAAGTAATGCAAAATTAATAGATTTTAACAAAACGGACAAAACATATTTATAATCCTTACTTTAATTAATAAAAACCGGCCAAGTGGGAGTCGGACTCGCGCACCGAGGGTTCCGTACAAACCTGCCAGGTTTACAAAGTTCGTTCATTACGACAATCGAGTCATAACTGTTTTTTTTTTCACGGGTTAAAAGCAATAAGATCTAAGTATTTGATATGAATTTCAACTTGATAGCTCTACGCGTTCATGAGGAAAAAAGTAATAAGTTTATATTTATTAAAAAATATATATTTTGTAATGTAACTAAAAATTAAAGGTTTTCGGAATTTTTCCTTTATGTGTGCTATAAAACGTTGCTTCATGCCAAATTTCAAGATTCTAGGTCGACTGGAAGTACCCTTTAGGTTTTGATTCCCTTGCGAGTACTTGCGAGTTTCAAAATATGCAGCTTAAATTGCTGTTTCTTTTGATTGCGTTGACATAGAGTTTGATTTTGTTACAGCTTAAAGGTATTATAGACCTGAGTATTTGGTATGAATTTCAATTTAATACCTCTACGCGTTTATGAGGAAATGGGTAGTAAGTTTAAAATTATTAAAAAATATATATATTATGTGATGTAACTAAAAATGTATGGGTTTCGTAATTTTTCCTTTATCTATGCTATAAGACGTTGCTTCGTACCAAATTTCAAGATTCTGAGTTCACGGGAAGCACCCTGTAGGTTTTGATTCCCTTGCAAGTGTCGAAAATTTGCGGCATAAACGGCTGTTTTCGTAATTTTTCCTTTATCTATGCTATAAGACGTTGCTTCGTACCAAATTTCAAGATTCTGAGTTCACGGGAAGCACCCTGTAGGTTTTGATTCCCTTGCAAGTGTCGAAAATTTGCGGCATAAACGGCTGTATCTTTTGATTGCGCTGGCTTAGAAGTTTGATTTTTTCACAGCTTCAAGGGACAGTAGACCTGAGTAATTGATATAAATTTCAGCTTCATACCTCCACGCGTTCCTGAGAAAAAGGGTCTTGACAGACGGACGGACGGACAACAAAGTGATCCTATAAGGGTTCCGTTTTTTCCTTTTGAGGTACGGAACCCTAAAAACGAAAGCAATTCGAACTTAAGTAAACATACTAGGAATGCCTGATTACTCATGGCATAAAGTTAAGCTGTATTTCTCGTTCGAAAGCTAATGCTTAATATTTAAACAGCACATTTCCAATATTTACATAAATGTATGTATATGGCGTAAACTTCTTCAAGTCTCATGTTTAGTATATGACTTCTGTAAAATTGAATAAGGAAATTATTTTCAGCTGAAGGGCGCAATTACATAACCATTTTGCCTAATTGACGTGCGTACAGCACTGTAGTCGCATTTACATTTTCCGTCTTTGAGATCTCTTGAGGCAATTTTTTTCTTAGTATCGCGCACTAGCGCACGGCGCGGTCGGGGGCAAAACGCAGTGGGCATTTGTGAGCCCGCATGATGCACAGAACTTGAACCCCAGTCCCGAACAGAACTCAATATACCCGGGTGCACTTGTCGTGAGAAATGACGACCCACTGATAAACTCCGTCACATCGGAATAGGGTCATGCCGCTATCCTGTGGTTGTGTGGCATAGCTTTATCGAAGTTCAGTACGCAAACGTGATTATTGGCTTGTACCCGTACTTGTACACAGTGCGGTCCTGCGTAGATATACTCTTATAGTTAAACAACATTCCTAAGATATCGGGGATAAATGTTTTAATTTAGTACTTATCGTGCTATGATAAAAAGACAGCTAAGTAAGCTTAAAGGAACCTAGATGCATAGCAGGGTACAGGTCATAAGATAGTTGCACGATAACTGGTTTTTAATTTATTAAATGTGTGTATTTAGTCATTGAGCCGTCTATTTTATTAAGTACATGAACAAATATCTCATTATACTGTAAGATCAAGGTTAAGTTTTTGTAAAGTAATATTTGGACATGCGCTCAATAATAATTGAAGTTGCCTGTTATTCAATTTACATAAAGAAAGTTCTCATTAAATAATTCCTAACTTTTCAATAAAAGGGAGATCATCAAAATTGCCACAATTATCATCTGATTAAGAATCTACTGATTACACAATGACAGCAAAAAGTATGTCGGCATGAAATGAAACATGTGCACAAGGCCTGTGCTTATGTAGCTTAGCAATGACGCACATTACAAAATATCATCATTATGAAAATTAAAGAGTTTCTAATAAATACATAGTGGCTATGGGTGAATGATTTTATTGAAAACAATTAATTAGTAGAATCATTCATCAATGATATTAATTGGAATATGGTTAGGCAGTAATTAATTCTAGAAGTCTCAAAGTACCCACACAATGGGCAGTTTATTAGATGTTTTATTACCTTGATCTAATGTGATAATTTAATTTGTATGTTCATGAATTTATCGCGAAAAGATACTGATTTTCAAGATTCGTCCGCTGAAGTCTTAAATTTATGATTAAAATAAGGTTATGTTGATTTCTTCACCGACCACCGGGACAAGATGCTATAATCAAATATATTGCATCGAATCTGAATTTTGGGAAGCAAAACAAACTGAGCTGATCTTTTCATTTGGATTGTCGGATGAAAATATGGGTATTAATTACTACCGTAACTAACTAACCATTTAACTTAGCTTGAAATGGAAAGAAAGTAAATAAAGAATAGACAAGTTCCCTTATTTATTATTAAAAACTCGTATGCAACTCTATATTTTAAATAATTTAACCTTTAACTACTGACGTGGGGGCCTCTCAGGCCTTGCAAAAGTCAAATTGTTGAATTTCTCCTCTCCCACGTGCACGACACACCCGAATCTTTTAGTACCTTCGAGTTTCATTGCGCCGAGGCTGTCAACAACAGTGCACGTAATTGCACGCGCAATTTCAGTAGGTAAATTTATTTTAAAGTTTCTTGTGGGCCTCTCAGGCCCCCACCTCAGTATTGGCGTAACATTTTTTGTCTATAGTTTTCATTTAGTTTTCGTCTTTTCTTGAAATAATTTGAAAACATCTATAATATGGAGCCCACAGTATGTCGTCCGAGAGAAAGCGGTATCTCGGAAGTAAAAATAACCAGCATTTAACGAAAAATAGAAGAACAGTAGTTTTTGGCACGTATGCTAGGAAATGATAAGCCAGTACCTGTCTATCAAGATTTAAACGATGAAACCAAGTGACATACATGTATTTTGAAGATTCAAATTGAATCTACATTTTAAAAACATGTATGGCTTCCTTCACTGAGCAAAGCAAGTTTATGCAGACTGTGTTTAATTCGCACTATTTGATGTGTGTAATTTTTTTCCCCCTATTTCATATTAGGATTACTGATATATCATTAGCTAAAAAGACTATTGAAAATTAAGATTCTAAGTTGATTTGTTGAATTTATGAATATTTTTCATGATAACTTTGTGAATCATGACTTCATGAGATTTTTGCCAAAAATACTACATGTTTTCTAAATATTGAAATAATACGTACTTATTAAGAAATAATTTACATAAAAATAGTTTTATTGTATTTCATTATAACCACTATTAATAATTATTAAACACAAAACCCTAAAAAGATTATAGATTTTTAAATATAAGCACACATATGTACGGGCCTCTCAGGCCCCCACGTCAGTGTTTACGTGAAAATAAATCCACCTCAGTAGCTGAAGGTTAATATTCCTTTTAGGAAATATCTAGTTACAAGAACTGGAAATAATCGAGAACTAGTACTAGTTGGAAATGAGCGCCTACTGATCGAAACCGTTTCCGCCGAGAAAGGAGTCGGCTTAGCAGTAGGACCAAAAATGATTTAATTTAGATCCAAATCGAGGACATCTCTGAAGGCGATAGGTGGCCGCAGCGCGCACGGAGCGTCCGTCCACGGATCGCCATCTAAAAATACACGTTTCCCCGACTCGGCATTCGTGTTTCACAGGATAATGACTCATGAGACGAGAGAGTGTAATACAAAAGCGTGAATGTATCTTAGACAATAGGCGAGTGTTCGTTGCGCGGTTATTGGTGCAAACAACTAGCGTTTTGTAATGTTTACATTTCAAATTTTTGTTACTTTACAACAGGCACTGTGAAGGCGCAAGTGTGCGAATTTATCTGTACCTACTTTACATTTTCATTTTGTGTCCTTACAGGTATTTACGTAAACTTAACGGATGATTTTCCACGTTAGTTCAACTTTTTGAATAAAATATTTTTTACTATGCTTTTTATGTGCGTGAAACGAAGATATATATATGTTTGATGTTCTTAATTTCTTTTTGTTCATTTTTCCGATTGCTAAATTTTCATGTACTGTATCATCTATTAACAGTCTTATTCACAAGTGTGCCCTCGGTTCAAAACAATTACGGATCATGAAAGCCGTGTGTTCCCGTATTACAACTGCTGTACTTTGATATCTCGTTATCAGAATACAGCCTTGTGAATAAGATTGGTTGGTATTATTCACGTCATTTATCGCAGCGAATACGTATTTGTAATTAGTATTTACAAAACTTTCAGGTCCACTATCGGTTACTATAAGACATTGCGACCGCGTGTCAATCGAGGGCGATGCGTTTTCGTGGCTGTTGAAGTTGCGCATCACCGACGTCGGGACCCTGGTGCTGAGCCCCGGCGCCTTCACGCTGGAGCCCACGGCCGGCAACGTGGGCGAGCACGGCCCCGGCATGTCGGTCAGTATGCACCTAACATCGATACAATATAACCCACATTATGTACACCACTTACGGCACAGGCAAACCACAATGTTTTTTTAAAGCTTAAGAGCTCCTGCGAATGTTAATGCAACGCGACTGGTTATACTATTTTGTAGAATAGTTATACTATTTATTTATCTGTGCCAGTCAGTTGTGAAATAAATCGCAACTATAAATTAATGGTATTGAAATATTGCATTCCAGATTGAACTGAGACGGTTAACAGCACCCGAGATCCCTTCGCAAGCATTTGGTTCGTCAGCTGCTGAGATAATACTGGAATCCATGGTGGTGACCACCATTCGGTCGGGCGCCTTCTCCGCCAACACGTACAATGTTATCAGCGCCACCAAATGCATCGTCAGTTTCATAGAAGGCGAATCATTCGCACAGAAGTCACTAATTAACAACCTGCTCTTCTTCGATTGTAGAATACAGCATATGTATCAAAGAGCAATACAATCTGCTATTACTTATCTAAATATCAACCACACTAGGTATGGTTTTGTACGAATTTACGGATTTATTGAATTATGTAATAAATAAAACAGATTTAGGTACTAAGTCATATAATTTATATTTCAGATTCAACTTCATCGATACGGGCGCTATCAACTCGACAGTAGCAACGGTGAAAATAGCAAATAGCGAGTTTCATAAGTTTTTAACAAGAGGAATCGAATTATCATCATGGAGCAATCTTTTTATGGAGAAACTCAAATTCGACGCTCTACCGGAACATGCCATGATTGCACATCCAACTATGGTTGAAGAATTTGTCTTCGCAGACAATGAAGTAGAAGAAGTCTCTAAAAACAGTTTGGAGTTCGTAGGGAAAATTATCGATAACAGATTTGGTTACCAAGGTGTTTACAGAAACAATTACTTTGGATCACCGTGCAGTTGCAACATTAGCCTGAAGATAGGCGAGGCTTTGGGGGCTACGCCTGACGGGATATATGCGCTCGAGAGCTACTGCACAGTCAATGAATTTTTTGCACGATGCTTCAATGCTCCCGAGCAAAACATAATTCTTCGTACATTTATAGAAAAGGTGTGTCATGAAAAATCCGCTGTACAGTGTGAACAATACAAGAAAAAATCAGATATTCCAACGGAAATAAAAAATCCACGATTCCCTCACAAACATGAAGAAGATACTTTATCAGAACGAAACAAGAAAGTGATAAGTATTGTCATAGTAACAGCATTAGTGTGCGTCGGAACTGTGATGCTTATAAGTTTTGGAAGATGGCTGAAGAATAGAGGATGTTGTGCTCGCCTAAGAAATATATTTACATCACTAATATCCTCTTGCTGTGCATTTTTTGCCAGAATCTGCGGATGTGGGCGTAATAGTGGACTTGATAACGGAAGATTTGTATCAGAGCTATCAGTACATGAATATTCAGAGCGTCGCCGACTCAATGAGCCACGTATACCGGAAAATATGATCGTAGAAACTATTTTGCCTGGAACTGGAACGCCTTGTTTAGATTTAACCCCCATGGACGATAAAACGACACAAACACTACCCGAAGAATTAACTAAGGAACTGTTGGAAAATTTAAAAGAGAAATTAGAAGATCCAGATAACTATGTTGAGGCCCGAGAAATGATCGAGCACTTATACGAACTTATCAAAGTAGAAGAGAGCTGCAACTCAAATACACCGATCGTAATGCAAACGGAGGAAAATATTTATGAGTTACCTTTTCAGAACACCACCCCTAGAATTGGAAAAAACAAAAAGCAAATGATCAGCGTTGGAACTAGAGCCCCGTCTTTGGACAAGCTACTGCCGCTGTCGCCATACAATAGACAGACTGCGCTAGCACACGAATACTTTGAGCCCAAAGATTTTGCTGTTCATCTGTACGCAGAAATAGCTAATTGTGACAAGGAAAAGCGCACGTTACTGGGCATAATCCCAGATATTGTAGAACAAGTGGTTCCCCGTGGACCATACCTTCGTGCTGTACGTGAAAAGAATTCTAGTCCCAGCACAGCTTCGTCTCCCTCGTCTAAGTCATTAAATAGCATTAAAAAGAGCCCGATGACAGGGCCCAGCGGAAGCCAAATTACAAGCCCGCTACAAAGCCCCTCTAGTATGAAATCTGGTAAATCTACGGCATCTAATTCATCAGGAAAGATGATGAATCGGCCGCTCCCCGAAAAACCGGTTAGTCCGGATCCTGGAGAAGGCCCTTCAATGGTGGGCTAAAGGTGCCGGCTGGAGCCCGCGGGTCGAGGGGCACGCGCGGCGGGCTGTGACGCTGCACCCGTAGCACCCAGCGAGACTTGCGCGATTTATTTGCTGTGATATTATTTTGATTTATATTACTTTTAACTATCTCAATACCTTGAGTGATTGTGTCATGCCAGACACCTTTTAATATAATTTGTAAATATTAAATATTTAATTAATTTTATTAATTACTCAATGGCCTGAGGCCATTACGTAAAAATGTGTAATGCTTCGTATCTGTGTACTATGGTGAATTAATGTATGAGAGACAATGAAAATAGTAATCTAAAGTACATAATCATTAATATGTATTGTTACCTTTTCTTTAATAACATACATATTGTTGAATAGAAACGTGTGTAGGTATTAGATCGATAGATCTCTTTTCAAATGTATGTATTTCATCACTTGTTAGATCACCACACATCAAAATGTTTATTAAGTAATATGGATGGAGTATTATTTTCAAAAGTATTTTTATAATTGACTCAAAGATACCTACTTGTTATAAGACGAGAAATATTTTCTAATGTAAATTATTCTTACAAATTAACTCATATGGTTAGTGAAAATGTAGTGAGTTAGTTCTTTATAAAATTTTACATATTGATATTGTGAAAAATAAGAAAAGTATCATTCAAATTTTATTTTTTATGCAAAAGACAAAGGTTTTCGCTAACTCATACAATAGATTGTGCGTGAATGAACTCTGGGTGTGTTAATTGAATATTATTTTTTTACTGCCAATTTTGTATTATTTATTTTATCATATTTTGCTGATTAAATTAGAATTAAGGAATATACCTTTTAGTGCGTGTTATTATCTCCTACGATATCAAATATAAATATTACTAGTATAAATGAAGCACTTATTAAATTATTATTATTCAATGTAATATCACTGTACGTGTAGGTAATTAACTGAAAACTCGATCTAAATGTTGTATTGTTGTTTAGGATAAATTGCAAGATAAATTTGGTAACAAGCTTTATGAGTAGCTATAGTAGTAAGTAGAATGTCCGACACTCTAGTACAGCTATTCCCGAATGGCGGTCCGCGGAACCCTGGGGTTCCGTGGAAAGGCCGCAAGGGTTCCGTAAAAAATATTATCCCACGTTTCGTGACCGACGTTGTTCGCTCGCACCGACTTGTTTACGCACAAGGGAGGGGCAGGGCGTGTAGGCGGAGTAGTACGGGGGTTCCGCTAGGAAAAGTATAATCAATTAGGGTTCCTTGGCAAAAAAAATTGGGAAACCCTGCTCTAGTAGCAGATGAGATTTGAAAGAAAAACATTTTTGGTGGTTTTTAGGACTTGTATGTAATTGTGTGATGAGGCGAGACAACATCAAGCCTGTTTACATTACATTTTACAAGAGTTAGCATTATACAAATTATTGAATAACTATTGTATAAGATCTAAGACGAATTGTTGTTGAACCGAACACAAATTCTTAATCACCTGGGCGTAAACTTCATGTTAGATCATCATAAACGGTTTTAATAAATATTATCTTAATCCAAATATTTCATGTATTAGCTGTTGTTAAAAGATATCTATTCGATATCCACATTATTAAGTCACATAATGTATGTGTTAGAACACAATATCACTTACTTATACGTACAAATTAAGGCACATTGTCAGATTCATCAAATAAAATTTAAGATAGATTTACTTGATGTATGAGCAATATCCATGAAAGGGATTCAAAATATAAAAAAAATGTGTAATCTTTGTCAATATGCACTTTTACTGTTAATTTTTTTATTAGTATACGATTTAGTAGGAGGAATAGTCACGTAATACTTGGTATGAAGCTTTAAATGCCATATTTTACATATTACGTTACTGTCAACAACTACAATTATTCAGATAAATGTACTAGTAGCACTTCAATATGTAGAATTTCATGTTAGATGTTGTAAACAAAATTAAATTAAATAAATGTTGAATGTGAAAGAATTTTGTATTATTTTTTTATAAACATCTTTGATTAGCTGATAATTGTAAGATATCAGGCTACCACTTTAGTTAGTAACCTACCACTTGCACATACGTGGCAGAATTAATTCATTAATTTAAATAATTACAAAGCTAACACAAATAATGGAGGTATATAAATATTTGTCTACAGCATATTACCTTTGGTTTTCAAAAAGTACCACAAGATTTTATTAGAAAGTTTCTCATGATATTGAATTAACTAGAAGATTCAAAGGTCTAAGTCTAAACTATGTAATGAAAAACTAACGTGATTAAATTAGATGTCAAATGACAAGTGATTCAATAACAGAAAAAAATGTTTCTTGAACAATGGTTAACTAGACTTTTAGTACATTCTTTAACTATTACTTTACATTTTGGTAATATTTAACGATTAGTAGCAAAATTTAACAATTAGTTATTTTAACCATGAATAAAAAAACTGGGCCTTAGAGTCACCATGAACCAGATACTCTCATGTATCGGTTTCAAGCTCCCAACAAAAGTAAGATGGCGTCCCTTTTTATTTCTTTTCGTTTACTGTCCCACTGAAGCGCTCTCTTTCTTTTTTGTGTTCACCAAATCAGATCAGTTGTACTCATCATAATTGCAGGAACAACAAGTCATCTGAGTGCCGTCTACCAAAGTATTCTCATTGGCGGTAATATTAACGCATGAACTACGTACCTGTAAAGGTGGTACTTATGCGTATTAAAAAAATGGTTGTATGTGTATTCGTACGTCTAGAATCTAACTTTACTTAAATAACAAACTAATACCGTTCCCTTAAATAACAATATGATACCGCGAACTAATGAGTAGCATGCGCCATCTACAGTCGTGGTCAACTAATTAGGGACGTTATATGACTAAAACACAAGACCGTCTCTCCAGTCCGAAAAAAAAATCTTCACGAGGCTTTGTAGCTTGTGCCTATTAATAACAAGTAATTTGGCTAGTATTCTAAATATTTAAAGGCCAGAAAAGAAACTAGCTAGTTGCGATCAATATTTTTAAAATAAATAAATCATTGCCACCTACACATTTATTGACCTNGAGCGTCCCTAATTAGATGGCCAGACCGTCCGTACCATAATTACCGATTCATGTGATTTGATTAAGATTTTTTATTAAGTTAGTAAGTTTTTTTGTTGTTATTGTATTCTGTTAAATAGAGTACTTGATAGTCAATATGTTTACAAAGTAACAGCCAGTAATATTTAATGAAGCTTACAATAATAGGATAATGAACACTTAGTATTGCTTAGTATTCTATCTGTCCCTAATTAGTTGACCACGACTGTATGTCCCTACGATGGAATCACTAACTAAACTGTTTGGTGAGGGTCTCAGAGTGTGTAGGGAGCGCCACTTGTCACCACCATGCGATAATTTGAGATAAATAGTTTCAAGTAGGGGAGACTGGGTACGGTTGAAACAATTTTGCTTTTATTGTCTATAATTTTGTTGTTTAATAACCAAGTGACGATTACGATACGTGAAATTGAAATTTGAAGTTTTAGCTATGATATGGCTGTATCATTATAGTTCCCGGGTTACTATTTATAGAAATATACGCAATTTAAAAAAAAAGAAATTTTGTTTCAACCGTCCCCATGCCAGGGGCGGTTGAAACAGCGATTGGGATCTGTTGAAATACATACAAATAATACAATAAGTACTAATAAAACGTGTTTTATTTATCATTTATAATACGAATATTAAAATTATGGTACCACATGACGACATTAATCACTCTAAGTATTTAATATTTCTAGAACATTAATTAGCCTTTGATTAGTAGTAAACATTTAAAAAAATAACAGAAATATGATTAACTAAATGATATTTCCAAACCTAATAAACATTAATAATAAAATAATATTAAAATTCTGAATAAAATTAACGAAAGTCTTTTTTTTTTTCAAACCATACTTTTCCGCCGCTTTCCGCAGTGAATTTCAAGCTTTTACCACCTCTAATGCTTTACTAAGTCAATTTCCTCTCTGGAAATCTTCCTTACCCAAACTCTCGGTATCTACAAAAAATAAACATTAATAAATTTTCTGTTTCAACCGTACCCACAAAAAATGTTTCAACCGTCCCCAACCCCACTTTTGGTAAAATATACTTTATAGTATCGACACTAATGATAACACATAAAAAATAGTTACTGGCCCTTATTCTACAAGCTTCATTATAATCGCAAACGCACACTCGATACATTCCCATAAAAAGAACAGGTAGTATAAGCGTTAATGTCTGAAGAAAAATACTTACTTTTGGGCAGTAAAAAACCATATGGCGTTTTGCACACAACGTCAACGCCTTAGGAAGTTTTAGGCATTAAATTCGTGTTCGGACCTGTTTTCCGCTTCTTTTTCCCCTAGGACCCCTAACTCCCCGTGGAACCGTTTACGAGATATTTGCTCTGTTTCAACCGTCCTTTGTTTCAACCGTACCCAGTCTCCCCTAAAGGTTGTGTGCGTGTCCCTTTTTTAGTAGATTTGTTGACAAATTGCTATTTAATTGACTGAATAATGATATGAACGACAAAAACAGTGTCACTTAAAATTTAGGCATTAGGATACCTAATATTACTTACATTATAAAAACATCCTGAATCACGAGAGTAGTTACCGGTAACTGGGTTAACATAAACTCTGCATTCCTGTGCATTACGTCGACTTGCAAGTGTTTAGAATGGCTTAGTTAAGACCTTACCGTGAATTATGCCTCTATTGGGTAAAGATCAAAAGCGCTTAGTGCCTCCTCTGACCTTTATGCGCAATGGGAAATACAACATTACCTATCTGTACAAATCTGCATGTTTATGGAAAATGATCTTGTAGAATTGTAGCTATGTATATCTCTTGGCAGCTTTGTGTGTAAATACTAAATAATTAAATGCATAGGTAATTTTCTCGCGACCACCCCACAGTTTAAGGTGCAGCAGTATAAACGCAGTGAGGCTAGTCTGTCCTGATTTACACATTAAGCCCAGCCTAAACCACTAGTAATATTACTAATACTATAAATGCGTGAGGTTGTTTGGATGTCATGAATAGGTATGTTTGTTACTCTTTCACGCAAAAACTACTAAACGGGTTTTGTTGAAACTACAGTATTATTGTTTATAACTTAGATTACCATGTAGGCTATAATTTATGCCGATCTTTGACACTAAATTTCACGCGGGTGAAGCCGAGGGCAAAAGCTAGTTGGTAATAAGTTGTTTTAACTTGAACAATTTGCTAGTACAATGTTGAGCACAATGACGCCTATCTACCTGCATGCGGCGACTCAATCCTCGCAGAAGATGCGACTGCTTGAAATGGTAACAATGCCTAGAGTTATCAATCAAAGTGAGCTATTTCCAAGATTCTAATGACTGAGTTTGGGTGGAGTAATTTACGGCAGAGCGAGCGATCTAAAATACAACATCCGGTGCACAGGAGCTACTCGCATAGCGAGACCGCGCGCATACATTGCAGGAAACTCGGTTGAAGTATTAAAATAACATAATTAGCAAGCCCTTGCAGTAATTAGGTTTAAACACATCGACATTCCTCGCCCTACGTTGGTACATTCGACAACACATGACGACTATTTGCAAATTGGAAACCAATATATTTATTATGTATGGTTCATTGCATCATAAACTTGAATAAAAAGGGGTCGAGATGTTTAGTAATGAAACTGTAATAAATAGGACCTCTAGGTATCTGATAGAAAGCGACGATCAGGCTAAGTTGTAATCAATGTATGTAAATAAAATAATAAAGATAACTGCAGCTTGTATTTCAGGCCGCAGGTCTCTAAGCTGGTTGAGGTAAAATAGTAATGATTTTGTCGGTCTATTTTCTAACACTAAACAAAGTTAAGAATGAACTCTGCGCTATAAATAAGGCGAGTCGAGTGGGCATAGGAATAAACAAATAACTCGCCATGCGTAAACGGGCCAGTCAAACAAACACTATCGTGGCTGGACAACGTCAGCATGTGCTCGGTAGGGTCACCACCTCAGACCACTCACCAGCACATCGATAACACGGGACACAAAATACAAATATTTTTGAGGTTTAAAATTTTAACTATCTTTAAAAGAATAAGGATTTTAATGATTGAACACTAAGAATAAAGGGTAAGTTTTTTAATGGAACTGCAAAATGTTCATGTAACTATTAAGTTTTTCAAACGAATATAAGTCTCAATTATGATCAATAAATTATTAATTTAAAGGGGATTTTGTTTTTCATAACAAGAATTTATACGTTCATGATTTCTTAAATTCTTCTTGTTTTCACTGTTCAATTAAAAAAAAACATTTACGCGATAATTATGTGTTTTGATAAAAGCAACCCTACAAAACAAGGTAGCGCAAGCGCTCCATTCAACGTCTGCAATTGTTTATGTCCAAATTTTCTCTCAATCAATTTTATTTATTTTAAACTAAAATCTATATTTGGGAGCTACTGAAATAGGTAAGTGTATAATCAAGCTGTGAACATTATAAGAAAACTCTTCAGAATTTAATCATCAGTTATTGAAAATATAATTTACACGATTGATGATTATATTTTGTAATCGTAAGTTGTTTATGGAATAATGTGTAACTGAAAAGATAAGTTTCAATAACGAGGAACTGTTCTCGCACAGATATCACGAAGCAATTCCGAGTGATAACACTATGGCCCCTCAATCGCAGGGTGCAAGGGCACGCGGCAAACTTTGAAGTCAAGCTTATCCCACTTAAAGACCTCCCAGACTACAGACTTTTTATCGACCGACAGTTTAACCACGTTATTAATCAGCACGAACAACTACGAAAGTATGCACATTACACTGATTTGATATAGGCCGATTCCTCATACAAATCTGAAGCCGACTAAACTATTGGCCGATAATTTTGTCTGTGGTCAGCGGAGACTTTTTGGCTATAAATCAAAACAGTTAAGGCATTCTGTGGTAAGTGCCATTTTTTCAGCTAAAAAAACCTCTGAAGTGTAGGGTCGAGGTTTCTATTCTAACAAAGCAAAACACAAAATATGTGTACTTATGTACTCATGGAGGACGCCCCACGTCCGACAGCCAAATCCAATGAGGACGTTGGAGACAGACGCGAAAGAGTAACTGGCAAGAATTGGTATTTCGCATTCGGAAGTCCCAACTTACAATACCAGAAAGGACGTCGCAGTCGGATACAACCTTGGCTCAATACCTACAATAATCAACTTATCGAAGGGGAATCATTAATCGAAAAAATACTTTAACACCGCGATGCAGCTTCTACCCTACCGCTATCTAGTGGTGAGCGTTATAACTACTTTGTAAACTATGATTAAATTATTACAATGGCGCTAATACTTAGTTTTGTTTTATTATTAACGTTGGGTTGTTACACCTTTACTTTTTATTATAGTAAAATTAAGATTTGTTAGGTTACAAGAAAAAATTGTGTAAGAGAATGACGAGATAGACTATCGAATTGTAAACTTTAAAAAAGGTTTTTTTTTAAATGAGATTTCACACTTTTTCCAAAAGAGAGTTATTTGGCATAAACTTTAAGAAAAATACTTTACATTTAATGAAAAAGTTAGACTTTACAAACCTAGGTGATAGCAGTAGTATAGGGATTTTCTTACGATGTTAATTCCTGCTAAAATAGTCTGGTGCTTCAAAAACATAATTTTGAAGCATTTATTGAATCACAAGTAGCCGTGTGTATGTGTGACAATGGTGAGTCCCATCTACGAAATTAATGTCTAAATTAGGTCACGTAATAAGTGACTCAGCGTATGATAGGTACCTATGAAGATGACAAATAAATATAAGCCACAACCTCCGTTACCTGAATACTGCTAAGGTTTGTATTTTTAGGAAATAATTACCTATATAGGTATATGTTGAATTCAATGTTGAAACCGTCTAAAATAGAATACAACACGACCGTTCTCGTTATAAATAATTAGTGCATTCTACACTGAATACGTTCCGTGGTTCGTTACGGATCGTGTAGTCCGTTATTCCGCACATAGTTAGGCACTTAGGCAAGGCGAGACGAATATACCCCGAAAACAAAAGCCACGCGTTGGACCAACTAAAATCCGCAGCAGCCGCAAAAAGCAGCGCCACCCGGCGACAAACCTAAACATACTATCCTGTTTCACACCGCGGACCCTCCGGCAACCAAACACTTTTAATAAAATTAAAAAACCTGTTTACTTTAGACTTCTATTTGAACTTTAGTTTTGCACAATGCAAATTTTGCAATAATGAGTTAAAGGAGTTAATAAGTAGGAAAGGAAATTGGTTATTTATATGGTGCAAACACCGACCTATTAGCAACTATTTTCCAAATATGAATTAGGAATTAGTATAATTTCTAAGAAAAATAATGGAGACATATTGCGTTCTGATTGAGTAGGTACATAAAAGCTTTTATTATTCATGCAAGTTACTGCGCACATAATATACCTAGTAGTGACGCTGAGTAGTGATAAATGCTTGTGCATTTATTTTCGATATGATGTCAATACTCAATGCGCTATATTGGTGTATTATCGACCTTAGAAGAGTTGGTCTCAGCACCGCGCGATACCTAGCGCCGAAGGTCGAGACGGGCGCGCCTCACGGCGCGCGCGCACGCATCAGTCGCTCGCGGTCCTACACGAAGCACGCATTGTTTTCCTGTGATTTCGCATTTCCCTTTCAAATTACGTGTTTTATTGTGTATTCTGACTGAAGTGTGATAATAAATAACGTCAAATAACATTATGCTTACATACGTAGACTTATAGTTCGTGTGCCGTCATCATAGTGGGAAATACATGCCGGAGCCGGTCTTTATGAGGTTGGTATACCAATATTTGTTTTAGTTACTTCAATATCAAACAATTGGAACTGAACCAAGTCGAGTGAATCGGTAAAATATATTTACATAAGGCACTTATGTTATTTATTTTATAAAGTATTTTATTATCAACTGAAAAAAAATTCAATCACACGTGATAATCCGGAAAGTTCTCATTATAAAACCTTGAAATCCAAAATTTACTTAAAAAACAAATATCCATAAATCTTCATTCTTCGTATTACATCATGCTTTATTCGTAATGTAAACAATTCCGTGACTCTAACATTTGGCACCCACTTGTCTCAATGTCAAAATGAAACGTGTTAACGAGAACAAACTTTAAGTGTAAAATTATATGTTTTGCTTATGCGAGACAAATACAAATGCAATCGTTGCATGTTTGTGCACCAAGATTAAATCCTAATGCAGAAACATATTTATTATTTACCCATCATAACATCCACGAGTCATATTTAACGAACTACGTCGTACTGAAAAGCATCCAATGGAAACTAATTATATGACAAATGGAATCACCAAGAGGTTCTGGTGTAGAAAACTGCATAATTCAATAAGGCCTGGCACTGTCTCCGGGAAGCCGCTCGTTAGGCCCTAACTCAATAATCGCCTCTGGTGCGCCGGCGGCCCAACGTCTCGGCTCTCGACACAATACGTTCTGGGGACACTCCTCAAAACTTGTGTCATAGTAGCAATTATAATAGACTAGCTTTTGCCCGCGGCTTCACCCGCGTGAAATTTCGTTTGTCACAGATCGTCATAAATTATAGCTTATATGTTATTCTGGGTTACATAAATACAGGTATACAATAATACTATAAAGTTCCATCAAAATCCGTTCAGTAGTTTTTGTGTGAAAGAATAACAGACATCCAAACTTTCGCATTTATAATATTAGTAGGATACTACGTACAGACACGCACCGAGGACCTACTTTGCCAAACGACTTTGATAATTTTGAAGACGAATGTCCTCTACGTAAGATTCTGGGACGCGAATCAATAAGAAAGATAAACAAACATGTTATTATTAAGTGGAAGTTCACCTCTAAGCTCGATAACCTTAAAATTAATTTGTAGTTTTATTTCAAACAGGCAAGCAAACTTATAACGCAACAGATATTATAGCTAAACCTTGATTCTAGACTTTACCATATAATGTAAACAAACACTTTTACACCATAATCACTAACGTTTTCTTAACATTATACACATTTTTTTCTCTATATAGAATTTGACTTTATAACTTTTAACAAACCATTATATGATCGAAAACCCTATACTTACTGCGATAACTATAAGTAACTCACAATAAGCCAAAGATTGCGTCTTTGTTTCTTTGGTGGTCTTGTTGATAAATCAGTTCTCAACACAGCACTATTTATTTTCAATGGATGCAAAAGGTCATAAAGTCCGGACAAAGCAACTTGCATATAATCCGTCAATTGTTTAGACTCGTGCGACTCGGTAATGCCCACTCTGAAAAATACTTATCGCTGGGTGTAGGTTTTTTTCTTAGAAATCATTAAAGTCCTTATCAGTTGTATAGGTTGCAAATACAATACGAGTGTTAAATCTGGATTTTCACAAAGCAAAATTAAATGTAAACCTGCGACCTACAAAATTCGAGATGATTTTACGACAGAGATAGTCACAAAATGTATCACATATTCGCATACAATTACGAAAAAGTCTCAACGCGGCCAAACCGGCTATAAAGTTAACAGTTAGCCAAATATTTATGCGCGATAAACCTCTTCACAGAGAGTTGTTTTTTTTTTTCAACCCATTTATGACTATTTAAAATCGCATCGTACTAAAATATGTTTTATATGTTTGTGGGAGTTAAAATCGAATAAGTAACTGATTCATCTTTAAAATAATATTTAAATGGGTTACAAAAAATGTTAAGGCGATTAGAGTCCTCAATGACCTTGGGCGTTTGACCTTCACGCCACGCGCAACACCCGCGTACCCCGCACGAAAACTCCGATTTGACACCGATCAAAAATAAGTAGATACAGAATAGAAGCTCTTTCTTCATACATTACTGCCTATTATTTTAAACTTGAATTGATGAACCTTGATGTCGGTTTCATTTAAATCAGGCGTGAAGGTATTTAATAAAATTAACAAAATCCATGTACATTTTGTACGGGATAATTCGACTCCGAAAATATCAATCATGATATACGGGCTAATTTTGTAATCAGTATCCAAATTTTTTAATAAGCTCTATAGAAAAATATCAATACCACTTTATATTAATTATTTTTAACTGTGGTATTTTCGCGAATAAACATATTGAAAATCTAATTCTAAATGGCCCATTTGCGCCGAGCCTAAGTATGAAAAATATAAATTGTTTTCTTCACGTAAATCGATTAAGTTACTGATTCTGACTCGCTCCTAATTTGGATACTGATTGCAAAGGCCTAGTAAATAAATAACGTAATAAATTTTCTACTTTTACTTATCTAGTGCAGTTGTTTTGGAGTCGATTTTAGTTTTATTACACTAATAGATTCTATTTAGGTAGATAATAGCGTTTAAGCGCGTCATAATTCAATCGTATCGTCTGGCTGCACGTACTCTATGAACAACTCTGACATAAAATCTATTGTCGAACAAAAGCTGGGTTGCACCATCTTATTTTAAATTTGACAAAAGTCAAAAATCTGTCAAACTCCATACAAAAAAACACCGGTTATCGCCAAAGCTACGGTCAAAGTTAGGTCACGTCAGGTGGTGCAACTCAGCCAAAGAAAAAATTCATTTTGATCGCTAATGTCAGTTTGCAGCGAGTGACACAACCTCTTCGTCTGAAGGCCAGCGGCCGACTGCCGCCCGCACCCCGCGAAGGCCCCCTCAACAGCAAAACGTTCGGAATTTATCAAAAGTAAAATTTATGAATGAAAGTAATGTTCGATTGAAAAACGCAACGTGTCATTTAAAGATTAAAGAATTCCTAATCTATTCGTGCAAAAATCTTTTAAATTAACATAGCCGTTTGGGAGGAGTAGGGAATTTAATTAAAAAATCGATGTCCCGTATTTATTTTTTTAATGCAAAACAAAGAGACGTAGCGAAAATTCAAACGTCACAAATGTAGTCCTTGAACTGTTGTATAACATATATTTTTTTCAACTACTTCTGTCCAGCAGTAAAAGAGGAGTAGGTTTTACAAAATGCCCATTTGACGCGGATTGAGGACTCTAATCGCCTTAAACACCATGGTATTCAATGTAAATACGCAATGTAACGTTTTATTTATATGGCATTTTACATCAATGATGTTGTAAAGTTTACTATAGTAAAAAAAATGCTAAATATCAATTAGATTTTCAAGTTAATTTCAGCTCCAAGCTCAAGTTTCGAGATTTCGTGAAGTGAATAAGTGAATGAGTTTTTAAAAGTGATAGTAGAGATTTTACTTATTTTCAGGACTCATGCGCTTGTCTAGTCGAAACGTTGGAGCGCATCCTGAAATTTAATTAACGCAAAACATCCATTTTTAATTTAATCTATAAATTAATATTATGATGAAATGGCTTTAGACACACAGACCGCTTCAATACTAATCCTATAAATCCTAACTCAAATACTGATACGACCGCAATCTGCCTGTAATGAAGCCAATTAGAACATATCTGTCCAATTGACCTGATCGCATGAGAGGTCGCGATGCAATCTCGCCTAATTCCATTATTACACCTCAAGTGGGTCTTGGTGGATAATTAATTTCTAGGAATATCACGACTAAATGGTAATAAAATATAATAAACGTAACATTTTATATGTACGTGGTTAAAAATAGAAAATCGTCCGTGATATATCTGCGGCTGAAGCAGCAATAGCTGTGGGGCGGTTACGAGAACGCGAAGGCGTATCGGCTATTGAACCGCAGTAAATAAAAACAAATGAGACTCTTTGTGCGGTGAATACGCAATATTAATAACAAATAATATTATTAATAGCTTTTCTTTCGAGACTTAAATACATGTCATACAGAAATAACTGAAATCAAGGTTGTTTAAACAAATTCTGTAATGTAGATGTTGAGCGAAAATAGCGCACTGAATAGGGGCTTAATTTAAAATTCAATTCCTTTACATATATTAAGATATGTCCTCTTAAAACTACATACTTAATTTAACTCAATATTGAGGTATGAATGACTTCCACAAGTACCTGGTTTTAAAAGGCACATTGAAGCATATTAACCGTTCAATCCGTGGTTCACGTCATTCTGAATATTAATATGGTGACTAAACACTCTTGTATGCCTTTAAAATATTCATGACACAGGTACAAAATTCGCGTGCTCGTGAACGGGATTCGACCAACCACTTCGGAGACCGGATCGCAAACCACTACGCCGGCATGGTTATGGCCAAAGCCGAGTTTACAACAAATGTTTCGGGTTATTAATCCAAAATGTCAGTTGGCTTTTTTTTACTTGTTAAGCAATGCTTTCATCCAAGATTGTAGTCTAAATAATAAACATTTAAAAATAAAATTTAAATGTTATTAAATGCATCGGCAAAGCACTTTACTGTAGTTAATTTTGTCTGTATTTTTCACTCAAAACAGCCGCAAGCCATGATGCATAATCGTGCATTCCACGCATCCCTGCCGTATCAAAGGCACGGACAGAAACTATTAAAACAACACATAGAAAGAAAGAAGAAAGAAAGAAAATAATTTTATTTTGACAACCACAGATTCAGGCAATAATTTGCAACATTTGGATCTCCTTCTTATTATAAAACAACTTTGTGTTGGTTTTCTAATCAAACACTGGAACTTCAATCGTCTATTGACAAAACCAAATAACAAGCCCTATTCACTAAAGTCTAAAACACACAAATAATATCCGCTCAAGTTTAATGTCATTTACCTAAGTCATAGAATCTACCTGAGTAAATAAATACACAATTTAAGTGTTAATAAAACGTGACTTGGTCCGACTACAATAAACGTTAAGTCAGACATGACGTAATACCCAAGAAGCCTTCAAAGTTACGTTGATACGAGTAAATAAACGAGTCGCAAGCGCTCTATTGCAATATATGAAAACTTAGCAATTTGGATGTAGCACGATGGAATTTTTATAAACCACGCCCAGTTTGCGCAATATGATAAAGTTAAATCAAATGACGTTATAGCAAAATGTCTAATCAATAACTGCAAATAGGTATTTATTTGTGGACTGCAGTGGCACTGCATCGACAGGTTTTCATTCTTTTATCAAGTTCCAGATTGAATAGACCGAGTTGCCCAACTAATCAGTTTGCTTGAGACCAAGTCAAAGTAAGAAAAACTAGGAACTACGTCGGAGCTAAATTGGTTCCGGGCACCTACGAGTAGTGCAGTGCGCGTGGCTATTGGCAACTGAAACGCACTTAATCATCTCGTGCACCCGTAACTCAAGTTATTTCCAATTTTATTGTACACTGTGACTGTGCACCGACAATAATGTAAACACGCACGTCAGAAGCCGTCAGTATGGTTAGTGCTATTTTACCTCCGTAGGCATTTAAAGTTTCTTGTTAACATTTTCAAAAATAAATTTTATTGGTAAGAAAAGTACAGAATTTAAGTTTACCATGTAAATCATCCCCGACAAACGAGAACATTTCATTTGACTAGAACGACCGCAAGAAATCAATCAGTTGAACCGAGCACCACAAAGTAAACGGCGGTAAAAGGGTAATCAAAGCGCGTTTCGCGAGCTAATGGAGACTGGACATATAATGGGGAAATCAAGTGCAATTATAAGCTTGCAATTGAATTGAAATCGGATTTGCATTTCGGCTGATCGGCTCTCAAAGCTTTGACCACGCGAAGGTTGAAGGAGAATTTACGTCTTAACTAAATACACAAGATGTTATCAAAGCATTTTATTAATTCCTTATGTCCGTACGTGTTCATAATTTATTCATAGCATTGCTATTAATATCGTCTCAGTAATAAAAATGTTAGAATAAAAATACTGCAAATGCGTGGAGCATTTGCAGGTCCTTCATGTTCCTAGAAAGAGAATAAAAGTTTTTCAGAAAGAACAGGATGTTAGTTCTATCGTGACATTAAAAATCATTCTTTAATTTCACACGATAGTACAAAATCTTGTTAGTGCCGTTTAAGCCAGTTACAAATGGTTTTAAATTCGAAGTCTTATTACAAAAACATAAAATAGCTTTGGAATCTGAGCCCCGGTGTTAGATCAATTAAATTGAGTCGGCAAAGCAGAGGTACCGCGACCGCCGACAATAAGAGCAACCAAGAACAGTCGCGCCCAGCGCGCGTAAGCAATGCGCGTTCATAATTCACCGATGGTTTTTAATGCTAAAATTACTTTGGCGAACGCAATTAGCATAGCTGCGGCCAGACGCCTCAAGGATGACTGTTTTTGATACTTGAACTGTTTAAACTATATTATGAGTAATATTTATTATTATTGCTCTGACTTTATTTCAATGTCAGATATTTAACATGTCTTTGATCTTTCTCTTTTTCTTATGGCACTTCTGGTAAATATTCTAAATATCATAGCTCACATATAGCTATAATAATATGCAAATAATACATTAGTTAATAATTGTGTATGTCAATCACGTAAACAGCCCACAAATGCCAATTGCGGTAAGCGACAACGCCGCGCGGCACAAACCGTCTCGCTGAAGGCATTCCGGATGACGACCGCATCGAATACCGCCGTGGTATGAGGGAATTCCTTAAATATACATCGCACTGCGACAGACAGCTGGAATGTATGCTTGCAAATCAGTTTTAGTTTTGATCGTATCAAACGCAATAAAACATGGCAATGGTTCATTCTTCTGTTCATTTGCAAAGGCTACCTTAATTATCCTAAAAATTTCGTACTTTTTGACTCGTAACCCGAATTTTAGTCATAAATTATTCTTCTGAATTATTGGTACAATATTCTGATTCCATCACGAGTTCGACTGAGCTAAATTGTTTGTACTACTTAAATATTGAATGAAGACTAAAATAACAAACAACAAATTATCATATCAAAGTAGATCACATGCTTCATATCAATATCAAACTAAACTGATATAGGAAAAAATTAGTGTCCGACCGAATGTTCGGTTTCGGTTTCGTTTTCGGTTGAGTTTCGGTAAAAACACGAGTTTCGGTTTAGTTTCGTTTTCGGCGGCAAACTTGCCGAAACTACGACCGAAACCGAATGTGCATTCGGGAGTTTCCGCGCTGTTATCGGTCATGTTCGGCTCGTTGAATGAGTGAATGAATCCGATCAGAGCCAATGTCGTGATTCGCTCGCTTGTTTGTTTGCTTGGAGAAGCAGCTTTTCCTTAAGACTACTCCCGCTACCTCAAGGGCGAGCGCACGCAGCGGGCACCCGCTCCGAGGCTAAGGCTAGTTTTAGTCTGGCTGGACAGTCCACGTGACACTAAAACCAGCTTACGTGGAGGCCCCTAGAGTAATAATCTTTAACGTGACATGTGTGTCAAAAAAAATGCTTTTCAACTTTGAAGTAAATCACCATCAAAATAACTTTCTACCCCTTTTTAACATAGTTTCACTAAAAATACATAGTTTCACTAAAATTTCACTAAAATACGAAACACGTCTTCCATTAATTCTGTTATAGGAATGTTTATGCAAAATTTGAAGTACACAGATTGGACGAAGGAATCTCGTTATCCCATATAAACTTTGCCCCCCTTTTTACCTCCTTAGGGGTAGAATTTTGGAAAATCCTTTCTTATAGATGCTTACATCATAGTTACAAAGAACACATCCTCCAAGTTTCAGGTCTCTACGACTTATACCTATTGTGATTGTGATATTAGTAACTTTGTGATTTAAAGTGAAATCTATGTGATTTAAAGAGAAAACAATAAAGTCTGACTGATTATAATAACGTTTTCTTTCTTTTTCCCTCAAAATATGAGCCTTGTAAGGAAGTTTCGGTTTCGGTTTCGGTTTCGGCCGAAATAGACACCGTTGCCGAAATTCGTTTTCGGTTTCGGTTTCGGTCGTAAAACTAGTTTCGGTCGGACACTAGAAAAAATGCAATTTCCTATATTTACTCAAAACATAAAGGGGGTCGTCAACACGCCGTACCTGGTCGCCATCTGTAGATAGCCTTGCTGAACTCGCACACACGCGCAATCGCGCGGCTATCTGATAACGTGGGACTGATAAGCCGATCACTCGTTGACTCATATCGACTATATGAGTTCACCATCGAGCACGTTCTTCGGCGTATAATTGCAAAAATAGTGCACTAGCATAATTAAACCTGATTACTATTTGTGGAACCAACTAATCAAGAATTTTCAGCGTGGAGCAATAAGTATGTTAACTTTTTTGTGTCGTTTAAAATCGCGATCTATTGCGATGCATTGTTACGAGCGATAAACAATGTGATTGTATTGCAGGGTGTGAGCGACCGAGTGCGATGGTGACGTGAGGCCCTAGCATGCGTTGGTGGTCGTGGTGGCCGGTCCTGCTGGCGCTGCTGGCGCCGAGCCGCGCGCAGGCGCCCGTACCCACCATTTGCGAAGAGGAGTTCTGCCGGTGCGACTCATTCACCAGGGTCATTTGCAACTGCACTGCTGACAGCGTAAGTATTATATTTAACTAACTACCCTAAGCTCTCCTCTTGAACACTTCAAATGAATTAATAACACGAAGTAATGTTAAAAAATCATATTATTGTCGCTTTAGAAATCTTATCAGTTTTCACCGACCCCAATACGCCAAACAAAAGGCTCTTGTTTAGTTGAGCCGAACGATAAAGCAGTTGATTGTTGTCTAAACAGGAGGTGACCCTGAGACCCAACGGCGCCTACAGCGTGCCCTCAACAACGACAGGCATTATCATCGACGGTTGCGCTCGAGTCCATTTTCTCGCCGACACTGCGAGGAACCTCATCCAACTGCGAGCCGTGGAGCTAACCAACGTGGGGCATGTCGTCATCAACGAGCACGCCCTGGCGTGGTCACCGTTCCCGAGGGAGAACGAGATGCAACCCGGAATCAGAATAGTCATACGAAACAGCACAGTCAACGAAATATCGTCATACGCGATACAGGGCCGCGTTAACGACATCGTCATCAGCGACAGCGTGATTGATAACATGAGACCGTTCGCGTTTTCTAGTCTAAGAGGTGTTAGAAATGTTGAACTTACAAACAACGTATTTCGCAACATCGCTATTCAGGCGTTCAAGCAGTTTACAGCAGTAAACTTCATTTTACGAGGAGGTACAATAGAAACACTGCCTAGCAGATTCCTATCCCAGGTGGAAGTGACCGACTTGTTCCACATGGACGGCGTGACCGTCCGTCACATTTCTAGTTTAGCATTTTTTGTCAATTCACCAAAGAGAGTTCTCATAGAGAGTAATACGATAGAAACATTAGAAGCCGACGGCTTTCACATGGTAACGCATGGGCCTATTACTTTTAGAAATAATTCTGTGACAACGCTGAGGAAAAACGCATTTCTAGGGTTCACCGTGGCGCCCGAAATATCGTCAATCAAAGGTCGGCTCGAGATTTTGATTGACAACAATACCATAACAAACCTAACACCTCAGTCACTGACGGTCAATACTACAACACTCAATCTACGAATCGACGGATTTAATTTGAACGCATCATGTACTTGTGAATTAGCTGAAGATTGGCGCGAATTAGTCAAGGAACAGGGTGTCATAAACTGCTGGTACGACTTAGAAGGACATTTTATTTCTGTGCCGACATTCGTGGACAGTCGTTGCGGGAGGTTCAAACAGACATTTTGGATATTCGTTGTGATAGGGGTGCTCGTAGTGTTGATAATAGCGGCGGCAGTGACGTTTTTCATAGTGAGACGTGAGAACGAGAAAAAGAAGAAAGTACAGATAGTGTTGCCGGACGGAAAGACGTACAGGGAAACTGAGTTTCATATTGTAGTAGAAAGAGCCGAGCTACTGACCACCGACCTGTGACGGGGCTTGTGCGAGCCTGGTCTCCGGTGAACAATGCACTTCCACTACAAAGTACGGACATTCCGCAACTAATTAAATACATAATTTAGGTTAGCTCTCCTACCTCAGAGTTACACGCAGTCTAAAAAGTGCCAAGCTTAGATTTATTTTAGTCATAATTATGTGGATCAGTATTATGTTATGTGGTATGGTAAACCAATGGATGCCTATGCGTTAAAATCTTTCTTGATTTATAAATTATTTTTTGAATAAATTGTTTTATGTAATACTGTTTGCTTTTAATTGTTTTTTAAAGTTTATATGACCCTCATCTTGTGTTTATTTTATATACTATCAATATTATGCTAAAATGATAACCTAAGTTCACCTCAGAATGATAAATACACGCAAACCGAATTTTTTACTTTATATTTTGCTGGCTGCGATTGCTGCGAATTTCTTTTAGTGCTGTATTATTTTCAATATGTTTATCAGATACCTGCTCATCGCTGCATTTGTAACGTGATAAACTTGTGTTGTTCAATTTGCATATTTTAGGCTAAAGGCGAATGTTATATTGTCATTTAGCGCTATTATAAACATACTCACCTCTGATGAATCTTACCTTGAACATCGCTAGCACTGGTCCGCTGATTAAACTGAAAAGCATACATGAACTCCACGACGCAGCAGTTTTGTTTCCGCATACAACGTCGACTACAGTAGATAGATAACTCTGTTACATTACTTACCTCCTAGAAGTTAAATAGGTATACGTAATATTGTACTTTAAATTACTTAAATTTTGCAAGCTGAGAGACCAAACAACCTTATATTACAATGATCATCATGATCATACGTCCATCTGTAACATATTTTATTTATTTTCAATTAGCTTTGAATGCAATTTATTTGCTGTTCGTTGTCTCACCAAACCTCGAGATCGGCTGGACTAATTGGGCCGATTTTGGTTTTAATATTGTCGTGTGTAAATAAATCTCTCTGGCTTGTGTGTAATGCTTTACTTATTTAGAAAGTGGCCGAAAGTAACTGGATGTAAAGTAATTACCACCATACAACATAATATAAAAGATTTATGTTCCAAAATGAAAGACGGCTACGTGTTGGCCTCAATAAAGACATTCAGGTTAATGTAACATAACAACGATATTGCACGGCGCTGATTTAACCCGAGGATCGCATATTGCACAATACACACATTCATACTGCTGAGTGGTGCCTACTTCCGCGGTGTCGTCGAGCCCGCGGCCTTGACATCGTCATCTAGGCTAGACAGAGTAGCTCTACGAATAAAATTATAAACCTATTTTTACAAGTTTATGCAAATAGGCAGCAATAAAATATAAGTTCCAAAAAAGTTAGCATGAATTGATCGGAAACAACAAATGAGGCACTCATTTTTTTTAATGATGAAGCTTGCTATGATAGTAAATTTTTTAAAGATGAAGTAACTTGCTATGATAGTGATAATGTGATTTCGAGCGAGTATAAACTACTAAAAATATGTTATGTAATACAAAGATAATGATAATAGTCAATGTGTTGACAAATGTGACCATGTAACACTGAGAAATAAATGTGTTTTTGATGACGCGCCATTATAATCTTAGTACACAATTTCAGTGTACTTAGCCTCAACTTGTTTACTAACTGTGCATCGTGCAATGTGACAATAGAACAAGGAAAAGTAGGCAAATAATAACTTCCTCAAAACCGACCACTTGGATTTAATACAAGCTAATTAAAAATCTTACAAATGTTTAGCATTTAATACACGCTGCCAGGAACTTTAATCAGTTAATTCAGCAGATTATACTTTATCTGTTAATGTGATGTGAGAACTTCCCGTATGGAATCCACAAAGTATTGTAGTTTATTTTAATGTCTGTGCATCTATGAATACTGGTAAATCCTATGTTTGTTCTTTGTAGCTGTACCTAACAAATAAATAATCCGGCAAATAATTGCAAAAAGAGTATACCGTACATAGTGAAAAACTCTGTAGTTTTATTTTTAAAAAAAAAACGGATGTGCTAGAATTACGATGAATGCTCTGACGTCCTAATATGAAAACCTGTCTCTTACATTCTGCCTTTCACATCTTAGGACATTCGCTAAAACTGGCGGGGACGCCAGCAACTGTTCAGTATTGAAAATTAGTAGCTATGGGTCACACATACGATCCGTGCACCCGCGCGAGTTTTAGGCTGGTTTTAGTGTCACGCGGACCGTCCGGTGCGGACCCGCTCCGCACGGCCAATCTATATGAACTTCTAGGGAGCGTTTTAGAGTAATGCAGTCCGGAGGAACCGCTCCGCTCACTAGCAGTTCGATTCGCACTGACAGTCCGCGTGACACTAAAACCAGCCCTTAGCAGCGCTGTAGCAATATCGCTGTCAAGAACCTATCTGTTGTTTCTCGGCCTTTAAAGTGTGTGTTTCAGACTCACCGTATCAGCGGGTGTCCGTCCAAGACCTGGTGGATGGTAGGCGGCGAGGAGAGCTCGAGGCCTCGCGCGAGCAGCTGGGCCCCGCCGGCGGACGGCGCGGGGTCGTCCGCGCCCGTGCCCATGATCGACAGGAACTGCACTTCCACCACCGTTGCTGTGGAGGACGATACTGTTACTGATCTTTTTTCTATACAATATGGTATTATCATCGATAAAATTGGCCACAAATCAAACCCTTATAGTTTGAAAACTTTACCCTGACCGAAAGACTATATTTTATGGCCCTTCTGAACGGAGAATTGGGTAGATGGTTAGTAATCAATAATTACAAGACACAACTTTTAAAAAATCTTTATAGCCCATAAAACTAAATCTGTTTTCAATTTGTTGCACAATTTTATTTTCAGTTGTAAAGCAAATCAATCGAGTAGATGTCGTTTCGTTACATAAGAGTTTTCTTTGCTGAACAACAATAATTATGAGTGTCGCCTTTCACAACTCATAAAAATAAGTCATTTAACTAAGTGAAGTGACGTCAACTACCCAACAATGGGCAGTTAATTTTCTGAATGAATAGGTATAAAATGCAATATTCATTCAAGTTTTTGCTTCTATGTTTCAGATAAATTATATTTATGTAGTTTTATTCGTCGTGACGAATTGCATCATAATTAATTACTACTTCGTTATAATTTTGTTACTAATTAGTAGGAAGGCACTTCAGGCGCTGAATCAGCAACGATGACGAACGGTAAACAAAATTACTCATTACTTCGCCACCTTTAGTGAATTCAGAAGATTCTATTAAAATGTTGCGAAATGTTGTTAGATTCATAAGTTGCCTACAAATAATTTGCGCAAAATCCACACGTGATCTAGTTTTCTTTACAACACAGATGTTCACCTATAGATAGCATATCATCGCGAAAATATAAATATGTTTTCTACAACGAGTCATGTACATGATATACATAACAAATAAACAATAACACACGTAGGTCTGCTACACAATAGTCATGATGAGACGCTTGACACCTGGGAATAGAACACCTGCATTTTATGCAGTCATGTCACGGACCACGTACGGACGCGTTTAGAAACAATGACTCATTAGGACAAAATAAAATACAATCCCCAATAACAATTCCACAAACCTCTCACGTGGACATCTGCAGATAACAGTTTCAGTAGAATGTAAACACTCGTATCATGTTTCTCGACATTATAATATAGGACTTATTACTTGGTAATAAGGCGATCATTGCAATGATTCGATTGTGTCAACAGTTGCCATATCTCTTTAGGTTTCATTCGGTATACTATTCGTTTCTAAGTATCTCCCAGTCGCCTTCACTTCGAGTAATATAGAAACTGGATGCGGGCAGCGCAGAACCAGTCGTGGAAATTCGTAGGGGAGGTCTTTGTCCAGTAGTTGACGACATTACGAGTAGAACTGAAACGAACGAACAAAACACTAGCTTCATCTCTAGTCTCTGGCACTGCCCAGTGAAGGCGCGTAGCCTACGTACTCGTAAGCAGCTTGATCTGACGAAGGTTGCGAGAAGTACATGGATACTGGCAGCGGAGGACCGGTCGTTGTGAAAATTCATGAGGGAGGCATTTGTCCAGCAGGTTGTAACGAACACCGTCGTGTGCAGGCGCTTCCTCGAAGCCACACAGCAACGGTGGCCGCAGCGGTTACAATGAGACACTTACCGAAGTTGAGCGTCGGCAATTCCAAGTCGGGCGCCAGTAGCTTCAATAGTGCCAGCATAAACCAGCTCCATCTTCAGCGACGCTTGCCCTCAGCGCTGGCCAGTGAAGGGACGTCCTTGTAGACATACAGCAACGGTGGCCGCAGCGGTTACAATGAGACACTTACCGAAGTTGAGCGTTGGCAACTCCAGGTCGGATGTCAGTAGCCTCGACAAACATTCAGCGCCAGCGCTGGCCGTGCAGGCGCTTGCTTGAACAGCTGCTACAACGAATAATACTCACAGAAATTAAGGGCGGGTAGCTCTAGGTCGGGTGCCAGCAGGCGAGACGCGCAGCCGGCGCCAGCATAAACCAATTCCATTTCCAGCGCTACCAGCCCTTGGCGCTGGCCGACGAACGGCGCGTCCTCATAACCCACGCATAGGCAGCGGTAGCCGTAGCGGTTGTCCTCACTGTTAACAAATGAGTTGCTTTATAGTATTTGTTAGAGTAAGGATTCGACCAAACAAGAGTAAATATTAATCTCAGATTAAATCGTCAGTTTTGACATATTTCCTATACTGAAACTGTCAATGTGTCCGTTATACCAGGAGTTATTCTCGGATAAAAATTTGTTCGAATCGGGCCTAAAGAAGTTACGCTAATTGTTGACGATTCTACTCACTGAGTGGATAGTAACATAATCATTTTATTTTTCTAAATTAAAATTGCTATGCTATCTATCGTATAATTATTAATATTGCAAGATGTTTACATGTAATACCGTGATTATTTCCATCGCTTGAAGATACGAGTAGTTCTAAGATAAAATATTAGTTGGACCCTGAATTGTTATCCCTGATTACTGCAAGAACAGTAAAAACAATCAACCGCAAATGCTTTTAATTGGTTATTAATTAAGTGTCAAATACGGAAATGTAGTGTCTACGCGGTAACTTGAAAGGCCGTTATATGATAACGATTGTGTAAATAATGTATGTAAACAACATAACCATAATACATGTATTTAATTACCATTTATAGTGAATACAACTTATTACGCATACAAAATAACAAATATCAGCAATTAATATTAATTAATGTAAACTTACTTGTTAGACTTATTATATTCGTTCAGGTAGTCCGAGGCTGTTTCAAGAGAGAATATCACTTCGTTTCCAGGAACCACTAAGGCTTGTGGGGGCCATTCGGCAGCACTGCGGACAAAAACAAGTTCATATTTAAAACCCCGAGGCTTAGTTGTGTGATCTTCTGTCATTAATGCTACGTCTTTATACGGGATTATTCCCACTTGCCGTTCCACTCATATTGTGTAGTGCTAGTCTGGTCGCCGAGCACGTAGAATTTTGTCAGCAATATAATTACGCGCGAGCGATAAGGATGGGTAGCTTGGGGTCATTGGACAAAATTCTACGTGCTCGGAGACCGGGCTTTAGTAAGTTTACAACAGAACCTCCAAAGTGACTTAACAAGACTGTTTTCTCGTCGTGTTGGAAACACTGCAACTCTTGTCCAGCTAGAATGTACATCTTGACCGCGGACTAAAACTAAACCAGTCAAGGCTAAGATTTTTGTTTTAATCTAAGAGTGAAAGTCGAGTTTATTCCAGAAGAAATTTAATTTCTACAGCATACAAATTAAGCCTTTACATGGCTCTGATGAAAATATTGCAACAATAACTTGAACCTTGTTCAATAATCGTAAGGTCGAAAAGCAACTAACATTTTCACTGTTACTCACTTGTTGGAGAGCTTGGGTGTGACGCTGAAGTAGGTGCAGTTGTAGTGCAGGCACGGCGTGTCGGGCTCGCTGTCGTCACACAGCTCCTCGGGCTCGCCCGACTCAGACGTGAGTTGGATCAGCCGCTAGACATAAACACATTTTGTCAGATAGTGCTCTCCGTCATCATCGTCACTATCAAATTATTCTAGCCTACAACGCAGGAGGACCCGAGCCACCCTGTCTTATTTACCAGAGATAAAAAGAAGAGCCTACACTGCCCATTGGCCAAATGAGTTACGCTATATTGCTCGCATTCAATTTAACGAAGTTGTGGTTCAGTAATCGTTAATGTTTAGCATTAGCGCTGTTTCTTCTTCTATCGTGTTGTAACAGTGTGACCCTCTTCTATCGTGTGAGCTGTAACAGTGAAGTTACAACACTGTACAACTCTGATGATAAATTCAGTGTTGTATCTTCTTTATCACGGCATACTACTAAAGTGACTGTTATTAATTTTCTTCCTAAACAAACAGCATTGACAGAGAGAGAGCAACAAAGGATATGTCGTCATATACATTACTCGTCGAAAACCTCCATTTATGATAATTTTATGTAACGCGCGCCATGCGCTCAGTCCTTGTTGCATGTAGAGTCATTAAAATCAGTAAGTGTTAAGATTGGTTAGTGTCAAGCTCAACATTTTCTGAAGAAACGGCGTAATATTGGTTACATACTCACTGCGACAGAAGCTCTCGCCCCAAGCTTAGATGGCACGGCGTGAGTGAGTCAAAATAAGCAAGCTGTACAGTGCAAATGATTAATCTAGACTAAAACGATGTAATATTTTGTGTAATGATCATTAGCATTAAAGCATTTCATCTAATGTTTGATAAAATAAGACTTTTTGATATTATGAAACGGTACAAAATTATTAAAAGGTGATTGCGTCTTTAATTTTTTTAAGTGAAAACTCGTTTTTGAAAAATTCAAGCTCTTAAAAATGTATATGATGCTGGGCGTACGCTGATCACACTAAAGCCAACGTAGGTATATGTAAAAATATTTATAATTCGCTTCACCCAAGCGTCATCTGCCTTTAATTTTATTTTGAGACAAATATGGTAGTAACAGTAAGTACAATGAATGCGTTTCATTTGGAAACAATGAAATATTTTACAGGTATTCAAATATACGTAAGCATGAAAATATCAAAATACTATATCATACCCGTAACTGAACATGATTCCCAAGTGTTATCCAGGAAATACTGGCCAGCAATATTGAAACGAGTACATTTCAATTGCAATCATATTTCTGGGTGAATGTCCAAACACTAAATTCTCATTTAGGTTCGCAGGTGAGGTCACAAACAATATACAGGTGTATTTCTCTAACCAGAATGACGTGGCGCCAGTGGCGTGGCAACGCCCTTCAGCGGGAAAGTCCCTCACAAACCGTTGGCTCGAGCGTGGTCAGCGCGCACACAGCACTAAACGATCGCACAGCATCTACCTTGTATACCTTGCGGAAGGGCGGGTCTGGGATGCGCACGTCGCTCGCGCATCGGCAGCGCCGGCGCGGCGGGCCCACCGACCCGAACACCGTGAGAGTGTCCTCGGGCTGAGCCGTGATGCTGCGACGGTCCAGTTCCAGGACTATCCAGGACACGTTTGGAGGGAATAGCACCCTGGCGGGAACGAAAATGGATGTCAACAGGTGCAATGTGCAATAATAAATTGTCACATTTTTGATTGTCATTAAATTAGTGACCAATGGAAATATATCAGGTCCCTGACATGAACTTAGGCCGCTTTATGTGAAGCGTATACGGTTCATAGCAAAATTAAGTTTGTTTGTTTGTGTATAGCATAGATCCCTGGAAATTAATATTTAGCATAGTTTAAGAGGATCCTGTTTATTCCAGAAAACAATAAGTTTGATACCCTCGAAATTCCTAGCGTTCAATGGAAAAACTTTCGTCACAGTAAACTTCTAGAAATTAGTCTTTAACTCGCCGTCCTAACATAACTGATAGAAATATTCCAAGAAGTTTTTCTCAATCGCATCAAATCATACCTGGAGTTGGACACGGTGGCCTGCTTGTACGGGTGGTCGCTCTCCACCCAGGTGTAGTACTGGCCGGTGGTGGTGGGCGTGGCCTCCTCAGCTGCTGGCACCAGCAGATTCATGGCGGCCACGTGTGGGAGCAGCGTGTGGACCATCTCCAGGAGCGTTATCATGCTCTAGAGCAAAAAAATTTTTGGTTAACAATTGCAGCTAAACAGCTTATACATATTTACTAATGACTGGAGAACTAGATTTAAAAAAAGATTGGTAAGTGAAAGAGAAAGTTTGATACAGTAATGATTCTTGGAACGAGAAATGGGTAGTCCTGTTAAGTTCGTTGCTATCTGGTTCTCTTGTTTGTACTCACTGACAAACTCGTTTGATCACGTGTTGGGATAAGCGTGTCGGCGCACTAAGAAACATTATGCAGTTGGAACTCTTGGTCGGCCGTTTGGTGTAGTGGTTCAGAACGGACTACTATGCAGAGATCCCGGGATCGATTCCCGGCCGGGCAGAAATTGAAATGATGAACTTTCGTTTCTGTGACGGGTCTGGGTGTTACTATGTATAAATGTATAATAGGTATGTATTTAAAAAAAAAAGTATATTTATAAGTAGTATGTCCGTGAATCTAGCACCCATAACACAAGCATTAAGTTGCTTACTTTGGGGCTAGCTGGCGCTGTGTGAAATTGTCCAAAGAAAGATTTATTATTTTATTATTATTATTAGCTCACTGACCTTGGAGTCGTCCAGCACGTCAAGATGCGCGACGGTGTACGGCAGCAGCGTGTTGATGACGGGCGAGTGCTGGAGCACGGCGGCGTTGCGGCGCAGGTCCTCGGCCGTGAGCTCGTTGCGCAGCGTGCAGAACAGCGCCGCGCCGCGCTCCACCACCAGCGTGGCCACCCGCAGCGTGATCGCGCGCAACTCCGAGATCAAAGTGTCGGCGCTCTCGGACACGTTGTTCAGTTTTGTTGTCCTGGACAAGAGGCTGGTTTCAGGGCCATTCCTATTGGACATAGGAAAATCCATGTCACGTGTGATCATGAAAAGCTATTATTGCTTTCAGTTTGACTACACTTTCGATCCGAATCCGACAAAAACTAGTAGAGAAATCGAATGAAAGACATCGTATCTAGTGCGTATACCTACTAAAGCCTGGTCCGTGAGCACGTAGAATCCCATCCATTCTCTCCAGCTCGCACACTCACTGCGCGACGGACGCCTGTCGCACAGTCGCGACAGCAACATAATTACGCACGAGCGATAGGGATGGGTAGCTTGGGGTCATTGGACGGGATTCTACGTGCTCACGGACCAGGCTTTAACATAATATATTCTACGGCTACGCCAGATCATGTCATAGATTCGGATCGGACGTAATACGAAACCGCTCCTACGTTAGTTATGGACACATAGAAACATCGAAACTAAACTGACCAAACTGAGGAAAAAAAGCCGGGTCTCCAGCGTGTTTTGCTCCACACAATCAACAAAGGCATGTCAACATTCAACACAAAACATTGTTTCACTACACATCTATGTTTGCATTTACAATGTTTTTGCTTTCATTGTCCGGTGGAAAACTCGTACACACAATCACCCCCGCGCGTGTTGGCACTGTCTTATTACCACTAACAATTTGATAACTCAACTCATTAAATAGTTTGTATTTTATTTTGTCGCCAAGGTGGTTTTGGTGGTTTCGTGCAAGTACAGGATGGATTGGAATAAAGAAACGATCTTAAACTTCATTAGTTTCATAAGAGAAAGACCTGCGATCTGGAACACTCAATCGCCGGATCACAAGATTAAAAACAAACGACACGACGCCATGGTAGAAGTGGCGATGTTGAAGGGCATCTCCATAAAAGAAGTTAATACAAAATGGACTATTCTTCGAAATCAATTCAGCCGGGAAAAGAGAAAGATGACGGGTTTGTTTTATTTCTAGTATTTCAATATGACATGACAATATTGTTATTCACTTTTTAGGTACAGTATTTTATGTACACTCTATTTTGTGATTATTTTTTAGTTTGTATATTACAGGTAGCCGCGCAGACTCGGTATACAAAACAAAATGGTATGCATACAAGGAGATGGAGCATTTAATGGCATGCAATACACCAATAATTAACATCAATAATAGTGAGGTAAGCATGATTTAAATGTGACTCTAGTAAGACCAGAGCACTTTTTATAAGAGCAGCAAGGCTTAGTGTATAGTGATAGTTACAGTAGCGATTACAATTCATGGTCACTGAAGAGGTACTAGTCTGGTAATAAGATATAACAGACACAAATCGAAAAAAGAAAAGCTTTTTCATTTACTTTAATATAAATTAAATGCTGAAACTCTAATGTATATGTATCCAGTAATTCATCGCAATAACATAAGTTAAAAAAAATTAAATAGGTACTGACGGCTTTATGCCAAATGCATTTTCTACAATTCCGCAGGCGCGACACAATCTGTAATTAAATGTTCGCTGTCTTGAACCCTGTTGGTATTACCCACAGAGAACTACAACGCCGCCGCCACCTCTAACACCACCACCTAAGCCACCGCTACCAAAAAAGAAGAAAACGGAAACAGATGGCAAGAGTTCATTTTATAAAGAAGCAGTGGAAACATTGAGAGTTATTAGGGAAAGAAAAAATACCTCACGAAATCCTGCTGATGATCTAACAAGTTTTGGGTTATATATTACAGCACATTTACGACAATATTCACCATATTTACAATGTAAAGCTAAGTATAAAATAAACGAAGTGTTATATAAAATGGACATAGAAAGCCTGGGACCATCATACAGCTCTCTTGTTACTTCTGCTTCCAGCATAGATGACAGTGATAGTCCATTTCCTACAGCTTTCAACAGCAGATGATCAATGTGAAGAAATGAGTAATGAAAACTCCTAAACCCATACTTGTGACGCTTTGGAAATTGCTTAATATATGTCAAAAACATCAGAGAACCAAGTAATTGTTTTTTTCTTCTTCTCTATGGCTATTGTGTTATATGGGTTGCACCATCTTACTTTAACTTTGACAAACGTCAAAAATCTGTCAAACTCCAAAATATGGAAAAGCATTTTTCCACAAATTAAAGCACTGGATGCGGGCAGAACAGGACCGGTCGCTGTGGAAATCCTAGGTGGAGCCCTTTGTCCGACATTTGGCTGAAACGAACGAAGGAAAGCACGTAAGAGCATCTATTCCGACAGTAACTAGAGCTGTGATAGTTACCCATAGTAGATGAGGCAGGGTATCTGCCCTCGTGCCATGGAGGTGCCGTTGATGCTGAGCGAGCACGAGGCGAAGCGGAAGGTGGTCCCGTCGGGGCCCTTCACTGACGGCAGTCCGCAGTCGCCGTTGGCGGTTCGCCCACCGTGGTTGCATAGACGGATCGCGTAGCGGAGGTCTTCCTACACAATAAAACACACATCACTCAGTCAAACACTGAAAACTATATTCGCGTAGCCGAGTCATTCCTGAATACAAACATTCAGCGTCAATAAGTACTTCGTGACACCCATAGTGGGCAAAAAGTTGACAACACAACCTTATTTCGTTTGTAATAAGTCGTGTTGCGAACTTTTTGACTACTTTAGGTGTCACGAAATATTTGACAACACACATCACTCATTCCATCCATCGAAAACTGCCAACAGGACCAAAACTACAGAACCTGAATAGTTATATCATTCACACTCGCTCGTTTATAAATGAGTAGCATATCATATCGAGGAGAAACAAAGCATTTATAGTAAAGTAAAATTTGGTCAAATCATGTGATTCATTCACTGTAAGTACTGTAAATGCACATGTAAAGTGAGATTCTTACACTCAAATAATTACTATTTAATTTGTAATACTTAGTTCTTCTCCTTAGTGTATTGTCGATGATACTGAATAAACATTTCTTCTTTCTTTCAACAGCTGCCTGATACTTAACAGCGCAGCCTATGAAGCGTACACACACCAAATGCTATGATTATAATCTCGTTATAACAAACCTTGAGTGCTATAGGGCGGTCGAATTTGAGTTGGACCATGTCGTGCTGGCAGTCGGCCGTGGAAAACGTGCCCTGAGTCACTTCCACGCTCACCCAGCAATGGCCAGGGTCTGCATCATCAGCAGTCGCGCGCAACTGTATACAAAAAAAAATTTAGTATTAACTCAAAGTTGCATAGAAATCAGGAATTTAGTTGATTCGATTGCTACATTTTCAAAGAACCTGTCAGGAAGTTATTGTGCTTCTTCTGTACATTTTGGGAAGTCAAAGACGCGTGTGCTTCTAAACGTGACTATTTTGTGTCCTTGAGTCGAAGTAAACTTTACGAGTATGAACTCAATAAAGCACAATAAAGCATCTGGCTGTTCAGTGATAAAATTCTCCACCTCTAACAATTCCAGCATGAAGCCAGAAAACTCATAAAAACCTCACAAAACTCATTTATTTTGCAAATACGCCTTTGAAAACGCACTTTTACACGTCCCAGTATTAACCCTACCACTGCTTCGGGACAATAAATGGGTCAGTGCTGAGAAGAAGCAGCGCAAGAAACTCAGTCACTATTGTCAGCCTCCTTTTCAAGTGCCTTAAATTTATGAATGGGCAATTCAACAACAGTTTGTGGTAATTCATTGAACAGTTTAATGCATTTCCCTATAAATGAAGATGGGATTCCAATCCACTCACCCGCAGGTCTTGCAGCAGCTCTAACGTGTACTCGTAGCGGCCGAAGCCCCCGTAGGCACAGATGCCGACCAGCATGACCCCGTTGCGGTCCACGGTGAAGCAGATCGCGTCGGGGCTGCCGTTGCCGGTGTGCCACGCGCGGGACTGGTTCACGCGCATGAATCGAGGTGGGGTCACCACGTGCTTCACGATGTTCGTTTGAAGGTCACCCTATATGAAGTAGAGTCAAGTTTTTAGAATAATGTCGAGAAAAATGACAACATTTAGCAATAATATAGATTTAATAACTTGGAAATTGCTAAAAAGTTAATCATCATCATCATCATTTCAGCCACAGGACGTCCACTGCTGAACATAGGCCTCCCCCAATGCTTTGATGTTAATCTATTGGTAGCGGCCTGCGTCCAGCGCTTCTAAATCCCCTTAATGCAAAAAAAGTTAATTGGATTGGCAAAATATTTAGTAACATCTTACCACGGTAATAATATCATACAGTATTGTAACTTCATATAAACAGACGAAACGAGAACTTTCTTTCGAAATTCAAATCTCGGTATGCGCTCGGTATGCAAAAGTCAGGGGTGTCGCGAATGTGCCGAATGGACGTCGGTGGCCAAGTGTTAAAAATGACAAAACTGATTGAATTTGAGTGACCGTCATTTACGGTCAAATTGTTCAAAAACTAGTCAATTTGTCATTTTCAGTCAGTTTGATTTGAAATGAAAATTATATTGTATTAAACCAGCTTTTGCCCACGACTTCGCTCGCCCGAAATTAACGTAACAGATCATTATGATTATTAAAGTTTCAAAATTATTTACGTAGTTTTAAATAAATTAAATCTACTAATCACAAAACAACACACATTTTTAACCTATTCCATTCACAAAGTATTTTGTTTGTCTAACTAAATAAAAAAGTACAATCACAAAACTAGATAGAAATTGTAAGTAGGCAGATGTAATTAAACTGGGTACTGTAGGTGGGCAGCCCTGTCGCATGTTGTCATACTGTGACGTACCGCGCGACTGTTGACATTTATTTCAAAAATATGGCCGAGTTGGAATACTGTATAGATAGTATTACCGTGATCTTACAAAATTCATGCGATAGTCGTGTTTTGACTTTGAATTGATTGTTGATATCAAACACCCCATTTTGTATTGGATGTTAGCGGGTGTGCTGAGATGTTTAGAAAGAATCTAAATTTATTTATTTTTTATAAGATTGAATGTCCTTTGGGTTACCTTGAGCCTTCTTATGAGGCCCATAGTAAGCGACCACGTTTCAGATCCATATACCATCACTGGCAACACACTTTGGTCAAAGACTTTGGGGTACTTCTGACGTGAGTGTATATCGCGAAGCTTCGCAGTAAGTTTCGGTGGATGCGGGCAGCACATTCAGGACAGAACAGGACCGTTCATTGTGGAAAAACTTGGGGGAGGCCTTTGTCCAGCAATGGACATCATTTGGCTGAAACGAACGAACGAAGATTGAATGTCAATTACCCGTACGCTGGTGGCACTGAAGGACAGCTCAGCGACGAGCCTGCCGACGAGCTTGCAGCAGTACTCCGAGAGCTGTTCGCCCTGCTTGAGCTCGCCGTGATCGTGCGGCTGCCCGCACTGCCGCGTCATCATCTGCTTCTTGATCGGGATCGTCACGATGTCCAGCAGTCTTGGAATCAAGTCTAGAAGGTTCCACTCGGTGTGGCTCGCTTTACTATCTGTAGGATCTGCGGCCTGGGTAAATCAAGTAGAACACGTTACAAAAGGTACAAAAACCTGCCGCGTTAAATGAAGACAACCAGTGCAAACAAATCCCGACAGACGACACATAGACGCAGAGGCCAAAGATGATACGTATAAGCTTATGCTTGCTCTCAAATGCCAATTCGTAGCAAACTAATCTATTGTGCTATTTAAAAAAAAGTTCAGCATAAAATTTTGGTACATGTATGAAAATGCAAAAATTTGGCCGCTACATCTATGATGTCATCTGCGTTCAACTTTGCGTAGTCATCTTCATCGAAAGCAAGCATCTGTGGAGAGGTTAATGGTGTCTGCCGTAAGCGTGGTAGCTGAGAGGCGAGGGTGACAGATGTGCGCACTGTGATACGAGTGCCTTGTGTGTTACCTTCGGTGCGTCCTTGTTATTCGCGCGCGGAGGGATCGGCGGCGGCTTCTGTGTCGAGCGCGGTACCGTCGCCGATTTTGAGGGCACGTCTTTTAGAACCTTACAAAATGATTCATTTTAAGGATTGTTAGCGGAGTGCAAACAGGTTTAGGTCTATTTACACCCCAGACTATGAATCAAGATTACTTTAAGATTATTTTATTCACGTAAATAGTCAATTGATAACGTTAATCTTTAATATACTATAATCTATAAATAATTTTATTATAATAACCAACTTGAAGGAATAATATTTCCTGTTAATTATTTGTTATATGTTTTATAGTAAATAAAATAGAAATCATTGGGTTATGCATGTGTAATATACAGTATGCAGGACGAAACACCATTAATTTTCTTTGATATATTTTGGGGGCTGTCAGTGTTAATAGTTTTTATGTAGGTGCTGTGTAGCCAGTATGGTTTTAGGGTTCGTTTCGGTTGCATTGGAATTCGTCGTTACATTTAAAGAAAAATCAAGTGCCAGCCTAGGAACACATTTAGTTAGTGCATGTATAGTAAAAAAATGTGCTAACAACTATGGACGCGAATTCATTTAGTCCCAGTCGGTATAATATTTTGTGGCTAAAAAAACTGACCATCAACGAATTCGTGTCATGCTGAAGTCCCAATCACGTCGTTATGCCTAAAGAAGGATAACGCACTTCACGATCTCATGCGTATGAGGCACTCGAATGCATCACCACAACAACTTTGTCCATTTGACGAACGGCGGCCGACTGTCTATTGATAACATCAAAATATTTATTTGTAGTAGGGGGTTAGTTTGCCCTACCACTACTTTGGGACAACATATGGGCTGGTGCTGAGAAGAAGTGGCGAAAGAAACTCAGTCACTTTTGCCAGCCTCTTTTTCAATTAGATACAGCAAATACTTAAACAAGATATTATGTAATATACGTGCGTTTAAGGCAGTTAAAGTCAACGCACTCTTGTCATTTATAGATAGAAAAGTATCACTCCCCAATGGGTCAAGCCACGCGTGCATAGTGTTGTTACCTTGCTGTCGGGGCGGCAGTACTCGCCGAGCGAGCACTGCGTGACGGGCACGATGTACTGCAGCACGTCGCGCAGGCTGCGGGACGCGCACAGCGCCGCGCACGTCGATGTTAGCTCACGGATCTGCGAGCCGGGCACGATGCCGTCCTGTCGCGGAGGATATGCATCATCATCAGGTCATATACACTCGACATCATGCATCAAATAAATCGCACCTCCCGCTCCAAGCATTTTCAAACGTATGCATCCCAACTTCCCACCAATATTAGCACCATTTAAAAGAATAGTTATAACCTTCATTTCATTAAAGGAAAGGTTTCTACCCCAAAAATGTGTCTTTAGAAGGATCCAGAGTCACTTCTTCAAAAAATAGGTAGTTACGCTAGAGCCAACTTTTATGGCTATAAAACTGTTAAGTTGAGATTAATCGCTATCCATCTGTTAAAGAGGACACGTGAGATCATTATTTGGTTTTATAACCATAAAAATTGGTCTAATTGATCCCATAGGTGGGCCCAAAGTGAGGTATTTTTTCAAGTCACATTTATGGTATATGTTAATCATTTATTAAGAAATTAAATGTGTTTTTCTTTAAGGATATTTATTGGGCTTTCAAATAACACCAATATTGTTGGGGCACCATGATTGTGTCAGAAAAAAATCGTTAAAGTTCGCGTCACGGAAGGTGCGGTTTATTTGATGTTGAGTATAGTTACCACTATAAGACGATCCTCTCTTATTTACCCGAGGGGAGGATTTGGCCTACACTCCCCAGGCTGATTTCACCAGCTCGTGTTGGAGAGACCTAATGTTTGCATATTTCGCTCAGTCGGCTCTTACGACCTCCACGAAAAGTGTGCAAGTAGTCCTATTACTATCTGCCGTGCAATATAACTTACTGTTACAAGAGTTCGAGACTGTGTCGAGAGTATTAGCGTTTCATACGTGCTTTTAGCACCCTTTTGAAAGTTGTATATTTGAGATATTGATAGACATTAATTCCTTTCAAATGATTAAATATGCAGTATGAAACAAAATAGTACCTTCACATGGAACAGCAACGAGCAGAGATGGTTCCACTTGAGAGTGGGCGTCGGGAAGAAAGCGTGGAAGCACGTGGTGATCGTCTCGTGCGCCTCCTTCAGAATGGAGTTGGTCAGCTCCAGCGCGAACTGCACGAAGCACACGCGGTGCGTCTTGTTCTTGCCGCGCCGGGGCAGCATGTTGCACGTCGGCGTCTTCTCAGACATTATCTTCTGAATCAAATTCCGCGCCTCCCCGATAGCCTCGAAGTACGACATGTACTCGTGAGTGTTCCTCCTCCGATTATTTTGAGGGTAAATCTCATTTATATAAGACTTTATCAATCGTAAGCATGCCCGAATGACGTACACCAATCGCTTCTGATGTTTCATCAGCGTAAGCTTTTGATAGTTGATAGGGACCTGGCCGTTCGTGTCCATGATCCCGTTTTTGAACGTGGTCCAGCTCCACTGCAGCAGGTGTATGAGCGAGCGGAAGCAGGACACTGTGACTTTTCGAGAGATGTTCTTTGAGAGGACTATGATGGGGTCGCCCTGCTCGACGTGTTTGACTGTTACTGTGTGGTCTGCATTCATGAGGTTGTAGAGCAGGCAAGGGATCTGGCCGGCGTTGACGTCGGTGCCGTTGTTGGACTTCTTGGAGGTCTTGAAGTGGAAGCCCACCTCGTCGTTGATGACCATGGCCTGACCGGACGAGCCACAATCGGACGACGGGCCGTTGATGCAGGCCCAGGCGACGTACCATCTATTCGCCTGTGTGAATTTAAACATGATCTTATGTTATCTGTTTCTAAAGCAATAGGGAATATGTAAGGTTTTTTCATTTCTCACATTTCAGTTCTAAAACAAAAATCTCAATAAATAACTAAGATATAGATATAGGAAATCTCGTGACGTCTCTGGCCATGTTAGAACAACACGCAGTCTATTATAATTTACTGACATTTGGACAGGTAACAACAGTATTTATCTACACTTCTACACTAATATTATAAAGAGGAAAACTTTGTTTGTTTAGTTGTAATGGATAGGCTCAAAAACTACTGGACCGATTTTAAAAATTCTTTCACCATTCGAAAGCTACATAACTCACGAGTAACATAGACTAAATTTTATTTTGGAAAACAATAGGGTCCCGTAAAATATTTGGGATTTTCATAAGACGTGGAAAAGCGCCATCTATCGTCATTGCTTAAAATCTTCTTGCGCCTGACAAAAATTTTTGAGGTACGTAAATATTCATGAAGGCAAAGCTGTCAAACGCCATCTATCGACATCATTAGTAAATTAGTAACTAAATATTACATGTACTATGAATAGCGCTGTTCGTAAATAATATTGAAAATTTAATAAATAAAGATATTTTATGTAATTGAACCATTCACTGTATGTAACTATTTGAATCATTCACTGTGTTTAAACGAGCAAGTCAAAGTGTTAATTAGTGATTTTTTACAAACTTCCTTGCAAATTCTTACTACGTGCCGCCATCTACCGAGATGAATATTATGGTACGGTTCAGCGGCGGACAAATGGGATGGGCGCGTGGGCGATTGTAGTTAAATAGGATAAGAATTACNGGCTAAGGAGATAAAAGGAGGGTTGGAAGTTTATATTATGAAAGTCCTATGTGTTTAAAGTAAGAGAGTTGAAATTTAAAATGTATGCGCTATAGATGCTTTGATTTTAGAACTAATAATAAACAGTTGACAGTCAAGCAAATCCACGCCCACTCACCACGACGGGCACGGGCGCCTCGAAGAGTATCTGGTAAAGCCTGGTCCGTGAGCACGTAGAATCCCGTCCAATGACCCCAAGCTGCCCATCCTTGTCGCTCGCACGTAATTATGTTGCTGTCGCGCTCGCACACTCACTGCGGGCGCGCGTCGCACAGTCGCGACAGCAATATAATTACGCGCGAGCGATTAGGATGGGAAGCTTGGGGTCATTGGACGGGATTCTACGTGCTCACGGACCAGGCTTTAGATGATGTAACTACAGTGTTTTATTGCTATGGTTTTAGAAGTAATAAACAGTTGACAGTCAAGTAAACAGCCACGCCCACTCACCACGAAGGGCACGGGCGCCTCGAACAGGATCGGGTAGATGATTTAACTACGGCGTTTATAACTTTGGTTTTAGAACAAATAATCAGTTGACAGTCAAGTAAACGGCCCTCCGGTAAGATAGGCCCCCTTAATTGATATTTATTGTCATCTTTTCTTAAAGGTTTTAAACCTTTGTCACCTGTCATCCGCTTTCAAATGGAGGGAAGCCGTAACTAATAAAACTTACACGCTCGTTGAACAGTGTTTTAAAGTCACATTTAGTATGGAAATGTCATTTTAAAGCAGTGTTCAACAATTGTAACTTTTTTTAGTAAGGGGGTTAATTTTAAACTCGTTCTTCTATTAATTTCGTTGCGGGTCCAATGTCAGTTTAACTTTCTCCCGGGACAAACTTGACCTTCATTGGTTGGGTTTTTATGGCGGTCAAGCTGCAGATCTACACAGGAGTTGCAGTGCGCAGTGGTGGGAACGAGAGGTGGGAATAGTCCCGTATTTTTTTAAGTAAACGCCCACTTACCACGACGGGCACGGGCGCCTCGAAGAGTATCGGGTAGATGATTTAACTACAGCGTTTATAACTTTGGTTTTAGAAATGATGTAACTACAGTGATTAAGGCCTATTCAGACCTAAGCGGTATTCGCTACCGTCAGCGGCAGAGAAAACCCAGTGGGTATGCGGTAATAATACTCTTCAGACCTAAGCGGTATTCGCTACCGTCTGCGGCAGAGAAAACGCTCTAGCCGCGGTACTTGATACTAAATACCTGAGCGAAACCCGCGCGCTATGTACCTCTACCCACAGCGGCAGCGAATATCGCTCAGGTTTGAATATGCCTTTATAGCTTTGGTTTTAGAACTAATAAACAGTTGACAGTCAAGCAAACAGCCACGCCCACTCACCACGACAGGCACGGGCGCCTCGAAGAGTATCGGGTAGATGATTTAACTATAGTGTATATAGCTTTGGTTTCAGAACAAATAAATAGTTGACAGTCAAGTATACGGCCACGCCCACTGACCACGACGGGCACGGGCGCCTCGAACTGGATCGGGTAGATGATTTAACTACAGCGTTTATAACTTTGGTTTTAGAAATGATGTAACTACAGTGATTATTATAGCTTTGATTTTAGAACTAATAAACAGTTGACAGTCAAGCAAATCCACGCCCACTCACCACGACGGGCACGGGCGCCTCGAAGAGTATCGGGTAAAGCCTGGTCCGTGAGCACGTAGAATCCCGTCCAATGACCCCAAGCTGCCCATCCTTGTCGCTCGCACGTAATTATGTTGCTGTCGCGCTCGCACACTCACTGCGGGCGCGCGTCGTACAGTCGCGACAGCAATATAATTACGCGCGAGCGATAAGGATGGGAAGCTTGGGGTCATTGGACGGGATTCTACGTGCTCACGGACCAGGCTTTAGATGATGTAACTACAGTGTTTTATTGCTATGGTTTTAGAACAAATAAACAGTTGACAGTCAAGTAAACAGCCACGCCCACTCACCACGACGGGCACGGGCGCCTCGAAGAGTATCGGGTAGCGGTCCCGCGGCGCGCACTCGAACACGACCTCGTCGCTCTCGGCCAGCACCTCGCCGTCGCCCTCCTGGTCGCCGCCCTCGGCGCCGATGTCGAACAGCTTCACCTTGGCCGTGTAGTCGCCGCGCCCGCCGAAGAGGGCGATGCCACCTAGGGGAATAGACGTACGATTACAACAAATGTTTGCATGCTAAATAACAAGTTAGAAAACAAAAAGTTGCCGTGTCGCCTCATAAAAATACATGTAACGACCGGTTCACACATGGTCTCCGTTTTACTGTTCCATTTTATCGTGTACGTTTTTTTTCGTCGATGTATGTATTACCAGGCCTGTTCATCTCCGCGAGTTTACATCGAAAACAAAACACGCACGATGGCCCACCTACAGGATACTATTCGACAAGGCCTCACATACGAGCGAACATTGACTCACGCACGCGTATTCTTGTGTATGATGGAAGAAAATAAAGAAAATGGTGTACTAAATACTGTGCAGTATTTAACTGCCTAAAAAATATTTCAATTTCACATTTTGTTTACTCAATAGTGCCAACTAGCTGACTCGCTTGCCAATCCCATTTTAGTTTTTTGGCGGTTTCAATTCTGGTCCAATTTATTTGAAACTAGCTTTTGCCCGCGGCTTCACCCGCGTGAAATCTAGTTTATCACAGATCGTCATAAATTATAGTCTATGTTATTCTGGGTTATAAACAATAATACTGTAAAGTTTCATCAAAATCCGTTCAGTAGTTTTTGCGTGAAAGAGTAACAAACATGTTGACATCCATACAAACTTTCGCATTTATATTATTAGTAATATATTAGTAAGATGGACTTATTGTATTTGAGCAACAAAGTCATCTTCTTTGGGGTCAATCAAGTTTTTTTTGGACTTAGAATACAGTTTCTAAATTAGGTTAAATAAGAAAGTACATACCAAGCAGTATATCAGTGTCGCACATAAAACGTATAGCTTCGACCGAGTGGCCGGAGTAGCCCCAGCCGCCTCCATGGTTCTCGAATCTGTTCACCGTGAGGAAATCTTCCTTCACCGGCACCGTCGGGGACGATGCGCTGTCTCGCTTGCAATCCACTTGGTTCAGCCTGAGTGTAACAAGGATAGCATAAATTATCTTTGATTTAAGCAAAAAAACTGAGGTTTCGAAAATGCAACAATATGGTTTACGTACTTAGAATCATGTGCGTATGTCAATGAGTCCAGACATCCCAGCAAATGCAGGGCAGCATGCATCCTCGTCACCGAGCATCCTGGCGCGGACGGGATCGCCAACTCCTGATTTAGCACTGACATGTTAGACAGCGCAACATTTTCCGGCGGTTTGTTCTCGTACAGAACAGAGGTCTCTACGACTTGGAGGTTCTTGAATTCGTCCAGTCGCCTCATGGGTCCGAATTTGGGGTATTCATGCTCCGTGTCGGAGGGGTAGGAATCATCGTTGTTGCAGCATCGGTGCAGCTTGTGAGAGTCGAATGCGAGGATGTTATAGCACTTCATGACGCGCATCTGCGGCTGGTAGCACCAGAGAGCGTCATACAACGGGTCGAGACACGCCAACGTGTTCACAAAGTCTACTTGCTCGGGGCCGGTCCACGCATTGCACGCGCCGTCAGCCTTGTTGATGGTGATGCACTTGAACGTGTGCTCCGGACGGTTCGGGAGGATCACTGGAAGTAACCGATACCGTCAGCCAAAAAGTACTTTAACCAATATAGTAAAATATGCTGTGTATTTATTGGTTGTAGAAGAAAATACAGAAAAGTGTGTGCAAGACCTGAACTATTCTTGCATCAGAATTGCTACTCTCTAACGTATAGACTTAGAGCTAGTGAACGCTAGACCTACGTCATTTTATAAAAGCTGAAAGTTTGTCAGCGTATGCTCCCAATATAGGATATGATGTTGGTGAATTATGAAGTTTGGGTCATGGTGGCTTTGGGAGCTACCCTTAAAAAAACTGTCTGGCAAGGAGTTGGAACTGTCAAAACTGTCTGGCTGTTGGGGAAAATACTTCTAATTATTGTCCTAATAGTATACATAAAAATCAGATTTAATGGCATAACGTTAGTAGAATTACAGTCTATTGAATATACGGAAAAAGCCACCGTAAAAGTTAGACTTACGTTATACCATAAAATCTGATACTGTCACTCATGCTGACAACTCGCATTGCATGAGAGGGATATAAGCATTTGAAACTTTGGATAATGTTGTTAGGAGTAGAACCGTATAACCGTATATAACCTGTTATTGAGGTATGGGCGTGTCATCGTGACTCACCAATAGCGTTGTTATTAGCAGTGATAGTGGCGCTGAACAGCGTGTCGGTCTTGATGAGCGCCTGCGAGACCTGCACGAAGGTCTGGTCACCGGAGCAGCACACCCAGACGGCCTTGCACGCGTGGCGCGGGCCCAGGCGCGGCACCCGGCCCGGCGTCGCGTACCAGATGGGGCTGCGGTCGTTGCGGGCGGGCTCCTCCAGCCGCGGGCGGCCGAGCGAGCCTTTCTGTTTACAGAAATATTTCAACATCAGCAGAGTATAGGCAGGCGCGGGAGTATGATTATACTGTTCCATTGCCTTTCAACGAAAGATAAAGCCTGGTCCGTGAGCACGTAGAATTTTGTCCAATGACCCCAAGCTACCCATCCTTATCGCTCGCGCGTTATTATGTTGCTGACGCGCTCGCACACTCACTGCGGGCGCCCGTCGCACAGTCGCGACAGCAATATAATTACGCGTGAGCGATAAGGATGGATAGCTTGGGGTCATTGGACAAAATTCTACGTGCTCACGGACCAGGCTTTAGAACATTGGTTGGGTTTTTATGGCGGTCAAGCTGTAGATCCTGGCGACACAGGAGTTGCAGTGGTGAGAACGAGAGGTGGGAATAGTCTTGTTTCAACGTAAGATGGAACATTGAAATCATAGCCATTTACAAGGTTTGCGAAAAATAAGATCAGACGAAACTTTTTATTAGTTTTTATAATACCATTTGCTGCCGAAGAAAGAGTGCAAGGGCACTCGCCGCCAAGTCACCTGCACTCAGCTGCCCGTACTGGTTCGAGTCGAAGTTCACCACACGCATATTATGTACCCAGTACGTAGTAACTGCCGAAGGTGTAGAGTAAGGCAGCGTCACGCCCACCACGCATCGGCAGCTGGCCCGCGACGGTTCGAGTCACTTGACATATACCGTGGACAGGTTACTCTATCCACGGTATATGTCTAGCTAAGCGGTTGGGTTAGGTCAGCAGCTGTCACAAGTATGTCCAGTACCTGGTAGCTGCCGAAGGTGTAGAGCTCGCCGTCTCGCGTGAGCACAGCAGTGTGTTAAGACCTGGCGGCGGCACTCGCATCCAGCTGCCTGTACTGGTTTGAGCCGAAGGTCAGCCTTCAATCGTTCGCTTCAGCCGAAAGCGGACTACTGGACAAAGGCCTTTGGACTACTGGACAAAGGCCTCCCCTAAGGATTTCCATAAACACCGGTCCTGCGCCGCTCGCATCCAGACACCTCCCGCGACCTTCACCAGATCGTCTGTCCACCTAGTGGGAGGCCTGCCCACGCCACGTCTTCTGGTTCCAGCTGCCCGTACTGGTTCGAGCCGAAGGTCAGCCTACCCCACGTTTATTGCATACAGTACCTGGTAGCTGCCGAAGGTGTAGAGCTCCCCGTCTCGCGTGAGCACAGCCGTGTGGTAGGAACCGGCGGCCACAGAGCCGGCACGAGGCACGCGCACCACGTCACCTGCACCCAGCTGCCCGTACTGGTTCGAGCCGAAGGTCAGCCTACCCCACGTTTATTGCATCCAGTACCTGGTAGCTGCCGAAGGTGTAGAGCTCCCCGTCTCGCGTGAGCACAGCCGTGTGGTAGGAACCGGCGGCCACAGAGCCGGCACGAGGCACGCGCACGCGCACCAACCGGTGGTGCGCCGCCACGTCACCTGCACCCAGCTGCCCGTACTGGTTCGAGCCGAAGGTCAGGACTTCGCCTGGTGGGGAACAAAGCTGGTGTTATACAAAAATGTTCCTTTTCAACCGAAAGAAGTCTACTGCTGAACATAGAGCTAAGGATCTTCATAATAATCGGTCTTGAACTGTTCCAGCTCCACCGCATCTGACTGGCCAAAGTCTTCAGTCCACATAGCCTAACTACACTAAGTCTTCGGCGCCTAGTCGCCACACATTCTAAAAGGTATCATGCTATAGTATATTCTTAGCTTGAAAGCTGTAAATTTTTTCAGTCTTAGTGCTCTTTACTGTGAGCTCTAAAGATAACTGATGATTATTTTCTGCAAGAAATACTCCAAAGCATTCTGTAATCCGTTCACTTACCGTGTTCCGTCAGAAGTACGGTGTGGTGCAGCCCGCAAGCCACCGCCACCACCCGGTGGCCGCCCGGGATGGCCACCCTGGCCGGCGGCAGCGAGCTCACTTTCATGCTCGCGTCTCTGTCGGCCTCGGACCCAGCCGCGTGGAGCGGCGAGCCCTCGTACTGGGTGAAGCGGACGCCTTCTTTCTCTATTTATAAGAAGCAAACGTCATTTCCTTTCGTTCATCTTAGGCTTGGTTGCACCATCTTGCCGAAGAGCTGGTCGGAGACGGCGCGTGGTTTTGCTAACCGTCTCTGACACTAGTCAACTAGTTATAGAGTAAAAGGTTTTACGGAGTATCAGTGGATAGGCCTTTTACACCTTTTCGCTGGTCCCCACTATTTTTTGTAACTTTGACTTGACAAACGTCAAAAATCTGTCAAACTCCATACAAAAAGCACCGGTTACCGTCAAAGTTACGGTCAAAGTAAGGTGGTGCAACTCAGCCTTAGTTCTTACAGAAGAATCATAGATAACTGAAGATTATCTGGTCGAGATATACACACGGTTTGTTTTATATGAAATGCGCAATTTCTGGTTAGTAACAATTCGTCTTCTTTTGCAATAAGACACATTCACTATAAGGTTATTCTATTAAAAGATTGTCTTGGTTGCTTGCAAGCTTGTCCTATTAAAAAGAAACTGATCAAGGCTGAAACTAATAGCTGGAGGAATGCTTTGAAAAATGGACCTCTATCTTCATTGCAGAAGCACGTCTCTAATTTTCCAGAGGCAAACATAGGATTTGGTTGGCATTTCCCATACTGACGGGAGAGACCTAATGTTCCTTAGAATCATTTGTTTTACTCGCCTTTTGTGTCTTCCACGGGAAGAGCGACAGTGGTCCACTCAGCCGGAACCACTACAAAACAAAAATAACATTCAGTACACTCGAATAAAAAATCCGTGTTAAATTTTTTCCTTTAACGTTTCACCTACCGCTCCTGGTGTCGGATTTGCCGGAGGCGTCGGCGCCGTCGCCGTCGTCGTCGCCGTCGTTTGGGCGATCGGAGCGGCCGGCCGTCGCGAACGTCTCGGCGCACCGTCGGCACGCGCCGCAGATGCCGCAGCCGCTGTCGCCTTCGCCGCACCCACATCTCCTGGCGACAGAACTCGACTTGGACAAGGAGGTAGCAGCACCACAATATAACCCTAAACTCACACGTGCCAATGTTATAGTACAGGTTGTTGTGACAACCTTAAAATGTTCTAGGTCAGTGTTCAAGAAAGAGATCGTTAAGTAACCTCTTGGAGAGTGGAACCTGAAGAGTTGGCTTATCCGCAGCATGAACTATGAACGAATCCATTTTGTACATTGAATAGCCATTTATCAATTTTGGTCTGCGTCTCCTTTCAATCAGCGCGGCAGAAGTCCATCGCCCACGCGAGCCCCTGCACAGCTCGCGATCTGTGCTAGCCCTACAGTCCTGTGCTAGTCCTACAGTGTCACTCACTCGCCCGGCACGCGGTTGGGCAGCTCGGCGCAGTGGCAGGCGCTGCCGAAGCCGGTGCACTCGCGGCACACGGCGCACACGCGGCAGTAGTCCATCGCCCACGCGTGGGTGCTCGTGCACAGCTGCACGTCCTCGCGCGCGCTCTCGCTGTGCCGCTCTCGCGGGTACATCTCTGCAAAGCACGGACCGTGAGAACGCGAACATTCGGTAAATAGGGGATAGGACACCTAGAGCTGAAATGAATATTTACGGGAAAGTGGCTTGATTTCGTTTATTCTTTGCTATTTTCTTTTGGTTATTATTTTGATCTTCATCATCATGTCACTCCGTTATTTCCACTGCAGAAGGACCCTCTCTAATTTACCAGAGGGGCCGTCCATATATTACGTCATTCTAAATTAGGGGGAAGTGTTTTAATTTTGTCAAACTGGTAATGACGTCAATTTTGGGAGAAGGGGGGGGGGGTCATTAAGAAATGACGATAGGATGATTGTAGGGGGGGGGGGTCTAAAATCTGAAAAAATCGATGACGTAATTTATGGACGGCCCCAAGGCAAATGAAATTGCTCTACACTATCCACGTTGCTGGCCAGACGCGGGTGAAAAGCTTGATGTTTGCTTATTTCTCTCTTAATAGCCTCTAACGACATCCATATTATCTCCAAATCAATTTGATATCAGCACTCATTCGGTCACTTGAATATAAATAGCAGTAAGAACTATGGGCCTCATAAGAAAGCTCAAGGTCACCCAAAGGGCGATGATGCGTGCTATGCTCGGAGATTCCCTGCGTGATCGAATCAGATATGAGGAGATCCGTAGGAGAACCAGAGTGACTGACATATAATCGCTCGCAGAATCGCTAAAATCAAGTGGCAGTGGGTGGAGCACATAGCTCGTAGAGCTGATGGCCGCTGGGGCAGGAAAGTTCTTGAGTGGCGACCACGAGCCGGAAGACGTAGCGTGGGCAGGCCTCTCACTAGGTGGACCGACGATCTAGTGAAGGTCGCGGGAGGTCTTTGTGGAAATTCTTAGGGGAGGCCTTTGTATAGCAGTGGACGTCTTTCGGCTAAAACGAACGAAGAACTTTGTAGAACCTACAAATGACGCGTAATATAGATATTTCTACACATACAAACTGTATGGAGAGCCATTGTTTTAACAGCTCTAATTAGTATTTGTATTGATTATGGTGATCTCCTTGGCTGGCAGACTGTTGAATTTTGAGGAATCGACCAACGAATGACTACATCTCTACTTTATACTGACTTTCTTTGGTGTAGCCAAACTCCCTCCCACATTGGCCTTTGTTGTTGATGCCAAACGTGTAGACTTGACCGAAGTTAGTCAGCACAACAGCATGTGCTTTGCCCAGCGCCACCTGAGAGAAAAAGTTGTATTCACGTAATAAATAATATTCAATATGTAAACATATTTTAATTTCTATCTCGCATGACAAAGTTTTACCTGAATAACTCTCTCGTGGCGTAATCCTTGCACGATTCCGTTGGAGTCGCAATGCTGCGTGTCTTTGCCGTACATGAGAAGGAGGCCTTGCCTCGTCACTAAAGCTGTCGAGCCGTAGTTGCAGGCCGCGTATATCACGTGGTGACCTTCAGCCTAAAGCAGTAAACGAAAAATTTGAAGCAAACAAATTGTTATAATGACGCATCGACACCTAACTATGAGAGTCAATGTTTTAATGGAATCAATAAAACATTTATTCTAGTGGAAGAAGACAAACCTCTCAACATTTTAAACTCTAGAAAGTTATATGCCGGATCTGCACTATACAAACAGGAAAGATTTCATTGTTTGTATTGTATATGTTCCAAAACCACTGGACCGATTTAAAAATTATTTCACCATTAGAGTCCTAATATTTTTCTAATAAATATAGACGGTACGACGTTCGCCGGGTCTGCTAGTGTTCTATGTACTGACCTTGAATATCTTCTTAGGTCGCGTCGGTTTCGGCGTCCGGCGGTGCTTGTTGGTGTCGCCGTCTTCGCCCCGGCGGGCCACGCCCGTGAACATCGCCGTGCCGTTGTCCATTACCATGATGGCATGCATGCCCTCGTGACCCACTGTCACCTTTAGAATAACACACAGTTGACTTTAATAACACATCCTTCTTCCTCTTCAAGGGCGTAGCTTCAACCGTATCTAAGATCCTCCAGGGCCAGGTTAAGCCATTAGGCAGAGTAGGCAGACTCATTTTCAAGATAGATGAAAAGGGTCCCTGATAATCTTTTAACGGGTGAATAGAATATCGGCGTCAAATCTTTAATTTTTATTTTTTATTTTATTTTATTCGGAAAACCAACAGCAATACAATACAAATAATGGGACCTTAAATTATGTATCTGCTTAGCCATTAATGATTAGGTAGATGAAAGAAAAAATAAAGCCTCTCAATAAATATTAATGCAGGGTCCGTGTAACCCAAGCTACGCCACTGTTCTACTGTTTAAATGCCAACCTATCTTGCGAAGATCAACCCGTCTGACTGAGCGTGTTATTGAGCTCGATTTGAGCATACTAAATCCCTCTCCCGTCTACAAAACCAGTGTTTCAAACCTGGTTATAAATGCTATTTATACGATTCTTATCTCAAACAAAAAAGTATTATTCCCTGTAAGTAATTCAGTCGCCATTGAAATCACCTGCGTGTATTGAATACAGTATTCAATAAAAACTTATTATGAACGTTTCCTTTTCTTTCTTGCACAAAAATTCTACGGCTTCCAACCATTATTAATGTATTTTAAAATATATTTCATTCTGCTTCAAATAATATTTGTACCTTTTGGATCTTCAAATAAGGTGTCTCTATTTTTTCGCGTCTGGTCCGTCTTTACTTACAGACAATTCTGGCAGCATATCACAACTTTTAGATGACCAATTAAAAAACACTTACCTGCATGACTTTGCTCTTTTTCACGTTAGGAGCTTCATTCTTCATAAACATGGCTTCCTTCATGAGAGTCCAGCGGCCTGAATTAGGGGGTGCAGCTTTATATCCAAGGCTGGCTCCTTTGCCTGTGTAGTATACCTATTGGACAAAATATTTCTATGATGTAAATTGTCATAGGATAAGGTATTATGAGACAGTCAATAATGCAGTATTGTAACGCTCAAGAATGAATTTTACAGAAGAAGGAAATGTTCCAGGTACATAAGCGAAATCCTAAAGCTTTGCCAATAAATTATCATTTGCTAATTTGTAATCCATTTCTTTCTCACCTTCCCCGAAGCGGTGGTCAAAAGGCCGAAGTCCTGTCCAGCACAAATACTGGACAATGGGTCATCTTCATTGTCTTCCAGCTGCATAGCCACAGGAGCGTCTAGCTCAGAGGCCCGCCGAGACAAGTTGTCTTCAAAGGGCGCTCGCCCCAGCGCGAGCGTTCGTCGCCTCAATAGGTGCACGTTGAAATGCTTGTGTGACGTCAGTGTCGTGGTATTTGTGCCTTCCACACGTTCTTTGGTGTCCACTTCATACATTTTTATGGTTAGGTTGTCCTGTTGGATACAAACAAATAGTACAGTCACTCAAAGAATACCACATAAATAGAGCTTCGCTATTAGAGATTAAGCAAATATTCTGATTTTAAGCCTTTAAATGTATCCACTCACAAAATTGGTCAGCATAATCAGTCCGAGTTGGTTGCCATCCGTAAAGACTGCCGATTTTGGTTCGATGGGCACCGGATGTCCGGGTTCTAGCCTTATCATATTCTTCACTTCTAAGGTCTCTCTATCAATTTCATATACTTCAGTCTTCTTTCTTCCAATCCTAACATACAACTTATTCTGCAAAAAGAATTACATTCAATAAATAAGGAATATCAAGTGGGTAGGTATAAGCGTTCAAAGATTCATTTAATAGTTAATGACTTCGTTAAAAATATTCAATGTAGGTACTCACTTTACAATACCCTAGCCAGCCATGTCGATCACTAGCAAAGAAGTCAGGTTTGTGCAAATAAACGTGTTGTTTAATCGAGCTGCCGTATCCTGATCCGATTTTCAAGAGGCCTTTGGACGTGTATACGTAGAGGTAGCAGCCGTCAGACGCTAGCGAGCGGACGACGAGTTCGCCGGGTCCGGCGGTGAGCTGGGACGGCAGGTCGACGGGGAAGCTGGTGACTAGAGACTGGTGCGGGACGCCGTAGTTCAGCCACTGGTTGCGGGACGGAGAGCCGAGGATTACGGACTGCACGCTGCGCTGCAGGATGGTCAGGTTCGCGGGGATCTGCGGCAAAAATAACAATTGCAGGATGCTGTATTCACTAGTTATTCAAATAAAGTGCGTGTGATTTATGATTACCGCAAATGTTACTACATTTGTGTAACATTTTAAAAGTATTAAAAAAACATCTAACTAACTGTAATCATCTCTTTGTTTAAAGATTAGATACTCCTTTATTTCAAAATCATGGTTAAAAGGAAAGTAGGTAGAATGGTTGGTTTCAACATGGTAGGTTTTGTGTAGAATTCGACGCGATACAGAGCCTCTTGAAACTAAGTGCAAGTATTTTTAATTAAAGTCATGGTATTTAACGTTAAAGTATACTAGATTTTGCCAGCATCATCTCCCGAGTGTACATATTTCATTTATTTGCTGGCCATAATACAACCTCTACTTGGAAAATAAGTGTGATAGTTGGAATTCATCACCTCATCATAAAGAGTAGATCTCTAATGTACACCATTAGTACCGGAAAACGCAGCGTGGGACGTCCACCCACAAGGCGGACCGACGACATCATAAAGGTAGCAGGAAAGCGCCGCTACCAACCCGGGTAACATGGAAAGCATTGGGTTGAGGGAGGCCTATGTTCAGCAGTGGACGTCCTATGGCTGAGATGATGATGATGTACACCATTTTTTTATGTGACAGGAGGCAAACGAGCAGACGGATCACCTGATGGTAAGTGATTACCGTCCCCCATAGACTCCCGCAGACCCAGGGGCGTTACACGTGCGTTGTCGGCCTTTAAGGTGAAGATACGCTCTTCTTTTGAAAGCTTGCAGGTCGTATCCGTCCGGAAACACTGCAGACGACAGTCCATTCCACAGTTTGGTTGTACGGGGCATTGCACGGTGGACTGCTAACCATCTAAGTGATGGGGATGGAAGTGCTGTCGGGTAGATCGGTGGCGAAAAGTGGCGGCAGGAATAAGTCCGGACAATTCTTCGGAGCACTCCCCGTGATACATGCGATAGAAGATGCACAGTGAGGATACATCTCTACGCAGCGCCAAGGGGTCAAGCCGATCCGAAATATCCTGGCAGTCAACGATTCGAGCTGCTCTCCGTTCAATGCGGTCCACAGGGAGAAGCTGGTACTGGGACTCGTACCTTTGGGCTGGTACCTGCCCAAAGATGAGAACAGTATTCCATATGAGGCCGAACTTGCTCCTTGTAAAGTTGCAGACGATGGGCTGGAGTGAAATACCTTCTCTATCTATTGAGCACACCAAGCTTCTTTGAGGCTAATTTAGCCTCTAAGTGACCACGGTACTTGACTTCGCTCGATATGTCGACACCAAGGATTCCGATATTGGCTGAGGCAGTTAGTGGAGTGTTCTCGAAATAGCGGGATACGACAAACGGCATCTTTTTGGCGGTGAACGCGCAAACTTGTGTCTTTGTAGGGTTAAATTGGACCAAATTGCGTCGACCCCAGTCTGAGATCTCCTTCAAGGAGATTTCAATTTCGGACGCAAGTTTGTTACGGCTCTCAATGACGTTTTCCCGAAAGATATTTGCGCGGCCGGTATAAGCGGCATCAACCGTGCTGTCGTCCGCATAGCAATGAATGCCGTTAATTTGCAACTTCATTGATATGCAGAAGGAAGAGCGTAGGCGATAGCACACAGCCTTGGGGGACACCAGCATTTACAGACATAGAGTCTGAGCATTTGCTGTCGACGACGACCTTAATGCTTTTGTCTGCTAAAAGCTAGCGACCCATCCGCATAATTTCTCGGGAAGCCCATAGGAAGGGAGCTTCGAAAGAAGCGCTTTGTGCCAAACCCGATTGAAGGCCTTCGCCATGTCCAAACTAACCGCCAATGCTTCCCCCTTAGTCTCGATCGCCTGTGCCCAACAATGTGTCAAGTAGACCAGAATATCACCAGCCGACGCATTATAAAACCATCACAAAAATATTTTATTTATTTATACCAACAAAGAGATTTCATATTGCCAAGTTATTGACTGTTCCTTACACAAACTTGAATTTTGGATGGAGCCCCAACATATTGACAGGGTGATTTCTCACTAGTTGATTTCGTTTAAATCAGTTTACCTATTTGCATAGAATAAGTACATTCTTGAGGTCTTATTACTATTACATTACATAATGTAGGTACCTACAGTGCTTACTATTAAGCGTAACAAAGAGATAGAGTTCCTTTCGCATTCATAACATAGCCTGTATGTATACCAACCTGCAAGGTCTGTTCAGACAGCGCGGGCGGCGACATTATCAGCGTGGCGACCGCGTTGAGGATGAGCTCGGCTTCCCCTCGGGCGACCGACAGCGCGATGAGACACGAACTGCTCATAGAGGTCAGCACTGTGGGGGCTTCCGAGCGCCCGCCCGGCCCGCTGCCGCTCGCTACCTCGATCAGCATGGCGTGCAGGTTGGTTATTATCTGGAACAATTGATAAAATGTTAGAGAGGTCAGTAATACAGGTGAAGTATCTGAGCTTTCTTTGACAAGTTTAGTCACATCGATGCTTAAACAAATGAAGTTTGTTATCTTTTTATCAATGTTAGGCTGGGTTGCACCATCTTACTTTAACTTTAACAAATGTCAAAAATCTAACAAACTCCATACAAAAAACACCGGTAACCGTTATAGTTACGGTCAAAGTTAGGTGGTACAACTCAGCCTTAACATTAGTCTTTAAAAAATCAGTCTCAAGACTGATCTCCAGATCACACATTGGATTACCATGTCAGGTATCAGACCCTCCATCATCTATGCTAAGTAGTTATAGTAGAATTAAGTTAAATGATGGCCCAGAACGCAATGCAAAAATAATGTGAGTCCATACAGAAAGCACTACAAAGTAATATAATTCACTCCAATCTATTGTGGCCACAAACAATACCTGCAATGAATCTATGGGTACAGCAACTCTTTTAGAAACAAAGCAGAAAACAAACAAAAGAACATATGCAACACTCACCTCGGTGGGCTCCTGCGCCAGTTCCTCCGGCGTGTGCCCTTGCAGCACATCGAGCAGAGCCTTGAGAGCATTCTCACTGAACTCTGCGTCGGTGAACCGCGCCTGCGAGATCAGCGCGAATACCGTGCGCAAACCAATACCAGTCACCTGCAATCATATTTTTCGATGTAGATGACAATCTAACTCATAGTTAAATTAATAGAGAAGAGAGATTGATGAAAAGTCAAAATAAAAAATGTAGAGTATAAGAAACTTGTTACCTTAGGCAACTTGGTCAAGGGCATAAGTGCTGAAGCCTCGTCGTCATCACTGTCATCCGATTGTTCTGACATGACTCCCGGAAGGTGCATCCATCTCATGAGGATAGATCTACGGACGCTCGCATACACAGCAAATTGTGAAGGGTTGCTGAGTATAGATGGAGCAAAGCATACTGGTGAAGAGTTTAATGCTTTGAAGCGCCGAAGCTTCTCCTTTTTCGTGAGCTTCTTTTGAGACTTCCGCTCCCATTTCCTGAAACCAATCAAGAGCAATGTGTCAATAATTTGTTCACTTTCAGTAACTATTGACCATGAAAGAAAAAAATTTAAGCATTCTTGTACACTATGTAAGACTGAAAGCAATGTGCTAGATCTGTAGACAATTTTTGAGAGAGAAATCATAATGCTCTACCTCAGAAAATCTAATACGTAATTTCAACATAAATAAAACCTACATTAGCTGGATCAACAAATCACTTCATAGAAAATTAAAAAAAAACAAGCAAATAAATTCTGTTTTTGTAACTAAAGGCACTTTATTTACCTGGTGTAACTCCAACAAAGTGCCCGAAAGTATTTTCGATAATTTTCTGGGTCCATACATTTTAACTCCGGTGGCTGCATCATCAACACCAATCAAATTGTCGCCTTCTAGTTCTGAAATCGCACCATTGAACACCAAATTCAAAATAAATTTTACTAAAAGAAACAAATTACACAAACAAACAAAAATCGCAACTGTAAACACCCAGCAAATGTCGCTCTAGCACATCACACAGCATCATTGATTAGACTATATCAAAACATAAAGCTAGGTCACAGTGAGCCCTGGGATCTGGGCCCTGCAATCAATAAAGGTCAATGCTCTATGCACTTTTCTTAATAGGTATGTATATCAAATGCGCACCCATTGCCTATTTACCTTACTTAAGACACAAATATACTATCGCAAAGCCAGATAAGTTTTAGCTAATTGTTAAATCATAAAAAAAATAAAAATTATTTCAGAAATATTTCGTATAGCTTTTATCACTTATTTTACACGTACGTATTTTGATTACAGCTGTATTATCAAAGATGGAAAAAAAACAAATCAAGTAAATTACCTGAAACAATAGCAGCAACATTTTGCTGTTTTCTCTTCGCTTTTCAGTAAACTCCACAGAAAACTCTACAATTTGAAAATCTAGAGCTTTTCACCGAAGTTTGCGGTAGGTAAAGTCCGAACGTCAGAAAATCAATAAATATTCGGAAGGTAGAGATTTCAGTCGGTATTTATGTCGGAAACCGATATTTGAAGTTTATCGATATGAATACAAATCGATTACGCAGAGTAAAAAAATGATATCTTTTTTTAATGGAGAATGCCTATGACGTGTCATGAGTGTTATCTGCGCGTTATGTTTGCTAAAGTATTTGCAGAAGTGCACCACCTACGACTTCTAGTTCCATGCTATAATTTGGAAACAAAACACATCGCTTCTAAATCGACTACATAATATTAAATTATATTTCTTTTGTTTTAGGTTTGAGCACAATGAGGGGAAGTAGGGGACTTTTAAAAACTCTCTTCAGGTGGGGGCTGGTACAACAGGCGTACAGCGTTTGCCCGGGCCCATTCTAGAGTGGCTGCTTTCGGTATTTCTTTAATTAACAAAGCTGACTGAGTGAGTACCTACTTACTGGCATAGGTGCAGCTTGCTTAGTGGTGAGTTGGGGGTCCTGTCCTGTTGTACCAGGTGAGGGCAGACCCTCCAGATAATTCCTATTTATAATCAACTAAAGGAAGGGATTGGGGTCCCACTAAAAGACAAAGTGGCTCGCTCAAGAGCGTGAGTCTGCTCGATAGCACTCGATTGGAACAAAAACTTAATACTGTTACAGGAATAAGATTAGCCAAACACCATGAGTTTAATAGGTACAATCATTTTGGGAGTAAAACTTCGGTCATTTGATTCTTCTAAGGTGAGCTTTTATTTAAAAATAAAAATTTTGTTGTTTGTTTGTATTGAAACTGAAACTACTGCAATGGATTAATTTAAAAATATTTTACCATTACAATCGTAATACAAGTAGGTATTAGGTACATTAATAGGCTAGTTTCCTAAAAAAAAATATTCAGTCCGTCAGTTTTAATATAAAAAAATATTGGACACGTATTTTTTAATTGTCAATCAAACAAATAATTACAAAGTTAGTGCGTTGAAGTTCCGCGCGACGTCACAAAGTGCTGCACTTTTATGCACTCACTAACGTCATGGGCCTTTTCTTTAGAACTTTGGCACGCTTTATCTCTTTACATTTTCATTAATTTTAAAAAGTGAAAAATACGTATCGAGTAGTTTTTGATTAGCTAACTGACGGACTAATTAAAACTCTTGCTTTTTTACCCAGGAAACATCCCTATAGTCAGAGTCAACCGGTTTTTATACGCCAGGAAAATGCACTGATTTGCATATCCACCTGTACGGGGAATCCAATGGGTTATGTGCCCACTATAAACCTGACGGGTCCCTCGGGTGACACTTAGTAGTTAGTGGGGTAGCACACAAGGTACCGTTTAGTCGTTTACGTGCATAACCCCACGCTTTGGTCGCAGCCTCACTCAAATGGTCGCCCTCCAAAGCACGCGGGCAGATGCTCTCGCGTACAGATCCATGAGGATCGCCGTCTTGCTGGCTTGCTGCGCCGGCTTCGAATATTGCGCCGGCTGAGGGCAATCTTGAGCCCCGAGCATGAGTTCGGGCTTTGCCTTACCAGCTGCTGCACATAACAGGCAGCTGGGAACCTGGGTTTCTTCACCGGAGCGGAAACAGAGTCCACTGTGGTCAATGACAGTGGCGCACTGAAAGGTCGTGTGGCCAGTGCCCCCCCCAACAGGTGACACACCTTGATGGCCTCGATTTCTACAATGTTGCCTGTACTGAGGCCTTACATTAATCAACCTATCGACGAGGGTCATTAATCGGAAAAATACTTTAACACTGCGATGCAGCTTTTCTCCAGCGCCATCTAGTGGTGAGCGTTGTAACTACTTCCTAAACCATAATATTACATTAAGGACAGTGATATTTGGATAAGTTTGATAGGTAAGTGTATGACGTGAACCGCAGCATAGAATAGTTTTGTTTTTATAGATGATTGAAGCTATGATAAAATGACAAAATTTTAACTTTATTTTGTTATTTTCAAGGATTTTACAAATAGTTTTATTCATTATAACAAAATATCTTTAGCTTTTGGCTATTAATCTTCTTCTGATCACCATGCCTTATCCTAGCTCCACAATTCCACTGTGATTCCACATATTGGATAAGATGTACCTATAGCTTGAGATCAAACCATTTCTGCCATTATAGGATGTTTTGCCAAAAATGGTTGCCTAATTTCTTTGGCACGAATTTTTTTTTAACTCAAACAAAAACTAAGCTAACTTTTCTCAAATGTAAAGAGAGTGCTGTTAGAATGTAAAATTTGTTGTAATGTGCCATAATTTATGTAAACAACAGTAATTTTTAACAAGGAAATTAGATGAACGACTTTTGATTAGTTATGAAGTAAGGGCGAAGTGCCGAAGTGTGTGTATTAACAGGTCAGTTTATGCCCGGTACGGCATTGGGCATGCTCGTTGCTCGACGATATAATCAAAATATCGAATTATCCTCGCATTTGAGGTAAATGTTAATTCAGTTTGGTAGGTATGTGAAGTTGCAAATTCAGTAGGTACTTTTTTTTTTACTTTGGTTTCTTTTTTATTCATAACTTTGTGAACAACTAGCCAAAGTTACAAAGTTACTAAATTCGTAATAGTTATAATGGAAATGCCAGATTTTGTATGGAAAGTGGCGTCTTTTTTTTTTCGCGCGGCCATCGACCAAACTTTGTTTTTTGATTACAAAATAGTGTAATAAACCAAACTTACTATGGCATGTATACCTCTAAACTCAGTCTGAACTGAGTTACGAGCATTAGAAGTTTGATGATTTTCATACTAAGATTTGCTTTCTGTGCGCAAGTTTTGTAAGAAATTGCAACAAAATATTGCGCTATTTTTTTTATTGCGCTGATTCTGCTCCATACTGATGTCTGGAGCCTTTAATGGATGGTATTGTTTGTTTACACATACAATCTCACTATTTTGTTGCAATTTCTTACAAAACTTTGCGCGCAAAAAGCAAATCTAGTATGAAAATCATCAAACTTCTAATGCTCGTAACTCAGTTCAGACTGAGTTTAGAGGTATACATGTCATAGTAAGTTTGGTTTATTACACTAATTCGTAATCAAAAAACAAAGTTTGGTCGATGGTCGCGCGAAAAAAAAAGACGCCAATTTCCGGCATTGTCTTTTGGCCAATGTTTTCGAGTGACAAAACTTTACCTAGATTGACTACTCAACGCATTATTTAAATTCCTTAGCAATAATGAATCGATTAAAATCACTTTTATTGCTCAGTTCTAATACCGGTTTTTTAATTTGGGTGGTTGAAATGTAACATCACTAGCGCGCCATTGTGGTGGTGGTTGGTTGAGTGTCATTTTTGTCCAGTTTGTGTGTTTTTATTAAGTTTTAGGGCAGTAATGAATATATTTTTTACTAATATTTTAGTGGAAGTAACAACAGTGACAATAATGCGTGCCGAACCTTTTATACCTGACTAATTGGCATCTTTGAGTCATCACGGTTAGTTCAAATTGATGGCTGAGGTTATTTGTTGTGACATAGGTAGATATATCGTTATTAATTTGTCATCAACGATTTTATTTAATCTTTGGAAAAGCCTGCCTATGTGAAATATATAAAATAGTGCACATTACATGCGCTTCTGTTTAACAAGTAAATCTCGTTATATACGTGCGCATGAACACCTCCAGTCGTATCTCGGCGTTGGTCGCGATTTACAAAGAAACATTTTTCTTGAACAACTCACAGGTCCTATTGTTGTTATGCAGCTTACTAATGGTGATATGATGATCAGAATAAAATATGTCAGACAGTTAATGTAAAATGAAAATAATAAATTGGCAATGAAAAGTAATCCTGCTTTAATGCTTGAGTCAGTAATGTAAGTCAATACATAGTACTTTGTATTTGAATCTATCTCTATAATGTTTCCAACAATTGTTCTGATCAGTTGATGTTGGTTTCTCATATTGGTCTAAAGGTATGTAGTTATTAGCACAAATTTTATTTACCTTAGCATTGTCATTTGATTTTTATTGTTCATTGCTACAGTATTACAGTATAGGTATGCAGAACAAAATAAAATAACAGTGGTAGTAGGTTTTTAATATTTTTATTAAATCCATGTTATTCACCCATCCACCCACATGTAATTGCACATTTGTTCTAATAACCACAATTGAAGTACTTAAAAAAACTTTTCCTATTTATTAACAACCATTTTGTGTGTTTAGTGATGTGACTTATTATTTTCTTAAGAACCTCTTCATCATGGCTCCGCTCAGACTTGTTAAAGCTCTGTGAGTGAGATTTCCTTGATAAAACTACTGCATAGAAACAAGTTACTTAAAAACTATGTGTGTTATGTCCAGTTCTTTGTAGGATTAGATTAGATTCCCAGTTATTATTGACTAATTCTTATTTCATAACTTTATAGAAATAAATGTTTATGGGAACGAAAGTTATCTACAATTACTACTAATTAGGGCTTAGTATATAATTTTATGTTTCTTGCAATTTGTCTTACATTTTTGCTGGAGATTAACAACAGTAAAACAAAACTTGAATAACTTATCTGATGATGATGATAGAGTAACCTCATCAGGATATTTTTAAAAGTATAATAAAGAACCTTAGATCACTGACAGATAAATTTCTGAAGTAAAACATTTATATTGTAAAAATATACATAGATTATTATCTAATTACTCAATTACATAAAACTCATAAAAAACTCATAAAACTCATTTATTTCTGTAAATAGGCTTAAAAAAAGCACTTTTACACGTCCCAGTATTAACCCTACCACTGCTTCAGGACAATAAATGGGCCAGTGCTGAGAAGAAGCAGTGCAAGAAACTCAGTCACTATTGTCAGCCTCTTTTTCAAAGGTTTACATGCTTTAAAATGTACAAAGTTATAAATATTTATGCGAGCTAGGCAGTAAAGTATCCCAAACATTTTTATCTTTTAAATAATCATCGACTTTATAGTAGCCCTTTTTCATTAAGGTACTTTTAATATGTGCTTTGAATTTATGAATGGGTAGTTCTACAACAGTTTGTGGTAATACTCTACTTCCTATCTATAAGGAGTTATTATTAAAAACGGGATAGCTTAAATTCATTTGCATAGGTAAATTAGTTATGCGAATGCAAGAAATTTATTTACTGGATACTCCGTAGTTAAGTTTCAGCAGCTAAGATAAACAGTAAAAATTGTCTGTGTTGATGTGCCTAAAGAATTTTACACATTTTATTCAAAAAATTATAGCAGGCAAAATGAAATGTAGTAATTTGTTAAAATAATTAGAAACAATAATGTTTCTGTGTTGTTGCATAAATTGTTTATTAGGTATTAACAAGCAATATTTCAATTATTTTTAAATATAATTAGTACTTTTTGTAATGAAAATAGTGTACAGTTTTAACCCTTTAACTGATCAAATTAACTGTTGTAACTAATGTAATGAAAGTTAGGGGGCGTCCATAAATTACGTGAGACAATTTTGGCCATTTTTCAACCCCCCCGCCCCCCTTGGTGAGATTTGGTGAGATTTTGCCTGACCCCCTCCCCCACCCCCCTAATCTCACGTGATATTTAATAAAATGCCTATTTTGCCATGTCTATGCTTCGAGTCTATTAGATTTATATGAAAAAATCAGTAACCCAGTGTCGTGCCACGCGCAGTGCAGGGTTCCGTAGCTTCCAGTCGTTTAGTAAGACAAGCAATTGCTTACGGAACCCTACACTGCGCGTGTCACGACACGCACTTGGCCAATTTTTTACGCAATAGCGATGCCGATGACGTTTTTTTTTAAATTTCGAATTTTCTTAATTTCGACATTTATTCTGCATCTTTAGTGTTCACAAATGCTGATGGAGGCATTTTTAGTTTAATTTGATTAGACGGTTTAGAATAAATTGTCATTATCATAATAAAAAAAATCATTTTTTTTACTTCAATAACCCAGTTTTCTGGCAATTTTACTCTATTTCTTGTAGGAAAAATTACGTGATATTTTTCGAAACCCCCCCTCTCCCCCACGTGAGATTTAGTGAGGTTTTCGTTGACCCCCTCCCCCCCCTAAAAGTCTCACGTAATTTATGGACGCCCCCTTATTGGCTTATTGAATCCAGTCTTTTTTACATCAAATGATAATGTCATTGTCAACCATTCCAACTAAATATTTTTGTGTTATAAGTGGGTGGTCCAGGTTCACCACTGCACAGTAGTCCAGCACTAGCGTTCCTCCAGCAGTCCAACGCCGATACTGATGGGCTGTACATATAGATGGTTCCATCCACGAAGACGCGCCGCACGATTCATCCGCTAATGATCGAGTGTTATCGGTACACGCTAAATTATCCATGAGTGCACACGCACACTACATTAATGACGCTCAGATTGCTCAGATCAAACTCCGCGCATCCTGTACTTCCCTCGACCAGAAATTGGTGTGGCGCGTCTTCGTGGATGGAACGATCTATAATCGCCTTTATGTTTACTACAACAAAATGTATCATCCCCAGGATTCTCCAGAGCGAGCAATAGGTAGGGCCAGCGATGGAGGTGGCAGCCCGCGCGCTCGACGTGCTGCCCCTGCTGCAGGAGCGGGTGGCGGCGCTGACGGGGGGCCGCGACCGCCGCGGGGGGCCCATCATATGGTTCCCCGCCAACTCGCGCCGCGACCGCGTCGCCCCAGATGACTACCGCCGCCTGCTGCACTATTTAATGAGTATACCATGGTATGTTATGAATCATTGCTAATTTTATTTAAGACAGGGCCCCTCACTTGTTTTGGCTGGACCCCCTGCGTGTAGGATTGTATTTTGTATTCTTCATGTGGAAGAGTAAGTACACTTTCTTTTTGTGCTGTATGGTGTGTGATTTTAAGTCCAGAACAGGACAAAATCCAGGACATTATCATGGACCCCTGTTGCATCCAAGCGGATCAACCAATATAAATTACACATTACATGGATCCGTAGGTGATCGCAATCGATCCATGGAGATTTTAAGATCTTTTTTATTTTTATAAGATAGTGACTAGCGTACCTGATCAACTCTACATAAATCGAAGGAGTTTGGTTTGTATTTGCGCTTAGATCTTTTAAGCTGGCTTATCTACTTTGTACCGTGCGAAGTCGGGGCGGGTCGCTAGTATTTGTTGGTTTGCAACATTGCAACATTTACTGCACTAAATGCCTAGATATTATGCAATGACACTGTAATATTCAGATATAGTGTTAAATCTGAAAGCAGTGAAAGTAAGTGAAAGTCTATTTAAAACTAACATTGATAATTATCAAATCTCAGTAGTGCTCTACAATTTATTCATGTTCATATCAGTGTATAAAGGTAGTTGATACTGAGAATAAATTTACCTCATTACTTTATTGGTCCACCTACCAAACAAGGATCGTTACGAGAAGCGATTTTGCATATGTGTGCGCACATTGTTGGCCATACAGATAACTCGTATCCCTACCTGCACTGCACGCATCGACAATGGCCACTTGACATTGTTCCAAGGAGTAATCAAGTTCCATTGTTTGGGTCTTCACTGCAAAACAATATTGCCTCGCTTTATCATGCCACCAATTGGCTTTATGAACGCAATTTAATTAATTTCGCATCGGACACATTTCGAAAAAGCACATAAAAAATGTCGAAAACTTGAGTGTGGGGTGTTTAATAATCGCAGCATGGCTTTCGAAAAGAGGTCAAAACGCGCCGATCGATGCTAAAAGTAGCATGTCTGTTTCATTCCTAAATTGATTCAGTTAGTTAAGACCCAATTAAGAAGGAATTTATAATATAATCATTCAATGATCCAACACTACATAGGCTATAATAGGTCCACAAAAACCATTACAATAATTTATTAGAAATCGGAGCGAATTCCGGCAAGTATTTTAGAAAGCTATTAGTGGTTTTTGTTAAAAAAATATGTATGATAACACTTAAATAGCGGCACCAAGTTCGGATCCAGCAAGCGGAAAGTGTGATGAACGCAAGCACGTCTACCTGAGTCATGTATAGTGAAATATTTATCTAGGCACCATAGTAATTCTATGTATAGGTACGTTAAAGATTTGGCGTTAGTTGATTAGCATGATGATTTTTAATTAAGAAATGTTGGCTACAAAAGGATTTAAAATGTTTTACTCCGCAATATTCGTTAATGAAGGATATTAGTTCGATTAATGTTTATTTGCGCACCAAAGTTAATTGACTTATCAAAATATTTGGGGCCATGGGGTTAGGTTTATACTTGACAATCAATAAATGACAACATTTATTTTGATTAGAGGTTTTTGTTTATCATCTCGTAATAATTAATATGTTTTTATGTAGCCAAGGATATTAACAATATTCAAATAGAAACAGAAAATAAATCTTAAAATAAATACAATGTTCACACGTCGCGTCGCAGTTATCTTTTCTTGACTGCTAGTGATGTTATGTCTGATGAATCACTGCAAAGTTATTCAAAACTAACGTCTAATCAAAAGTGATTTTGACATGCTAATGAGTCTGAGTTGTAAGGATTACAGCAGATATGAATTTGTGTAGTAAACGTTGAATATTTTTTAAAAGCGGTAAACACATTTTTTTTAAGTAAGTGCGAGAAAATCCATAAACGGTTGTTCAGCCACGCCACAGTCACTCAATCGTGTGAATGACGTCATCTTATTCTAAAACAGTGCTGTACCATACTGTTATTTTATTGATTTTTGTGTATGTTGTGCTTCAACGTTTTCCATATTCTTAATGACTTGAGCATTCAGTAGGTGGTGGCATAACTAAATTAATTGAATTTTTGATACTAGATGCAATATTTACGGCGTTGTTAGGTTTTCGACGCGGTTCTAAGTAAAATAGGAATTTAATGTGTTTTGCTTGAGATATAACAAAATATTTGCTGAAAAAAACACGAATAGCATCATGAAAGACCATAAATATATCAGTCGGTTGTCTCTATCAGGTAATCATCGCATATTGCCATAAGACAGCGACAAGAAAGCGTCGCGCGTATCTCCCGACTAGCGCATATTTTATCATTTTTTAATGTTATTATTTCTCGAGTACTTACGATTGCCGCCTGAGGCAAGTTATTTTTAAACGTCTCATTATATTTGCCTCAAAAATACCTGCCGGCATCAATGCACGAGGCACTTTTATCCGTGTCCAGGATGTTATAGCTTACGATGGAAATGTGGAGTAAGTAACTGTAACTGTTATGTTATTTCTTTTTGTTACAGTGATTCTGTCAGATCGCATGGCTTCACGATACTAATTGACATGCGATATGGTTCAGCTTGGGCTGCTGTAAAGCCCATTCTAAAAGTTCTCCAAGAACACTTTTCCTCATCCGTCCACCAGGCATTGGTTGTCAAACCTGACAATTTCTGGCAAAAGCAACGCACAACGATAGGAGCTCATAAGTACAAGTTTGAGGTAAGTTTTTATAATTGATGACAATATGTAGTATTTTTGTCCTCTATTAAAGATCATCATCATCAACAGCCCTTTACAGTCCACTGCTGGACTATGAGCCTCCTCCACTATAGTGGAGGGTTTTGCCATAATCTCCACGCTTGGCAGGCGGGTTGGAGATCGCAGTTTAAAAGATTGATGTTTTTCAGAGAGCGCTGCTGCCCATTCTCTGTTTGATGTGTAGTCCCTAAGTCGCCTCTTACGACACCCGCGGGAAGAGTAGGGGTTGGTGACAAATGTATTCTACTCTGCCGTCACCACACGGCTAGATATTTCTAGGCATATTTTACTGTTCTCTTGTGAATACTAACGGACTATTGCAAACAGAAACGGGACTATTCTCACCTCTCGTTCCCACCGCTGGAACTCATGTGTAGCCAGGATCTACAATATACTTACGTTCGTGTTTTGTTTCAGACAACCATGATTAGCTTAGAGGCACTTCCCAAGGTGATAGATAGCTCACAAGTAACAACAGATTTAGATGGCACACTCCAATATGATCACGCGCAGTGGATCGATTTGCGATTGGTAAGAAATATTGTATTACCTAGCTAGTTCAGGAACTCTACATAAATTTTTTTTGTTGTTAGTGACATAGTTTATCTAAAATAGGGCTTTGCACACGTGTAGGACTACGTTTGACTGAGTACTTATTATTATTCTATGGTTTGACGACGTTTTTATTGAAAAACATTAGCAAGCAAATAGAGTAATATTTTGTGAAACATTTCGCTCAACAAGAACTATTTCAAATAGTGACAATGTCGCGCTTGCGTTCTCTCTTAACATGTTCCGCGTCACGCAAATGCGTTGCAAAAATCATGTTGCGGGGACGCTTAGCGTCTAACGTGCAGCGTCATGCAAATTCAACGTCAAGTTTGTGGTGATTTTGATTACCTATTGCATGCGAGGCTCAAACTGCTGAAAATCAGCGTCGGGGCATACATTGTCCAGGCTTGTGTTAAGCCAGGGACTGGCACACGTTTATGTGTACCATTTAAAGTGTATTATTATGTGTCTTCCTTCTAAAGTATAATTTGTAATCGTAGGCCTTAGAAGAGCTGGTGTGGCAAGCGGGCGAGCTGATCGATCGGCTGGACGACCTGCAGGAGGACGTGGCGCGCGCGGACTTCGCCGACGACGTGACGGGCGCGCGCCGCGCCATCGACGCGCACGCAGACATCAGCAAGCGGCTCGCCAAGGTGCCCGTGGATGAACTAGAGGCGCAAGGTCAGTTCGTGCAAACAATTTCACGTGTGCGATCCCCCAAATGGAAGAATAACGTCCCGCCAGGCCTAGCTCACTCCGCGCGGTACATCCGATAATTACCTACAGCGAAGCGCCCCGCCGGCGGGTATTATATCAGTCGAGTGTCACGCGCGCGCCCGTCAGGACGTGGTTGTATTCTATGATCGAAGTATTATTTAAAAATGGACATAAAGAGAAAGAAATATTGTACGGCGTTCGGGTGTTTAAATTCGAAAAGAAATCTACCGGATTTATCTTTTTTTTTCGCTTCCCAAAGATGCTGAAAAGTATGTTGGCCATGTAGGTAATCAATAATTCTTAGGATAGTATAGGAACCTAACCTACTATGACTACTGCTCAGAATGCGTTCGTTCGTTTCAGCCAAATGACGTCCACTGCTGGACAAAGGCCTCTCCCAAGGTTTTCCATAATGAATGCATACTTACCTACATACGTAACGTACCTCATTACAAATAAGTAGATTAATTATTTTTTCACTAGACAGCAACCCTAACAGTGTAAGAAGAGTTCAGAGGCACGCGATAGAAAGAGACAAAACTTGTAGGTGAATAAAATTGTAGGTACGTAGTGCTGTGCGAGCTGAATTCCACTGTATCGCGTCGTAGCAAGACTCGCATTTATTTAAATCGTCTTGCGGAGTAATCCTTCTGTACCTGTACTATTACTTATTCTGTGGTCCCGCTCAACATTTGAAAGAGCCTCAGGTATCCCTAATTTATTGGTGGAAACAACAAAATATACTCGTACAGTACATTTGAGTCGTTAATATTGAATACTTGTAAACACGAAACAATATTGTGTTTACCCAACATATTGCCAGTGTAAACAAACCATATTGAACAGGGAATTTATTTCGTGTTTCAACCTGATTTTATTTACACACTATTATATGGCATGATAGATTATTTGATTAGAGAAAGTGTATTGAAAATATGAGGATATAAAACATCTTTATGTATGGCTGATTGTATTAGACAGACCACTCGAGCGAACCCGCGTTTTGTATGCAAAAAAACAATACTTCATGTTTCCCGTCACTTGAAAACCTTGTTGCGGACTATTCGCACGCGTGATTTGCGACGGGCAGCACGACAACTGGCTCGGACGTAATGCTAGGTATGTGTCACGAACGCCGACACCAGCACCACAAAGTCATATTTAAAAATTGTTCGCTACCGCTTCCACCACTATCTGCGCCGCAACATGTCATTACAGTAACGTCTTGATTCATTAACACCAATTAATTTGCACTGTTGGTCTTGAAACTTGCACAGTTTAATTAAGCGATTAATATCTGTCTGGATGAATGTGTAATAGAAAATTATTGAATTGTGTAATGGCGGGGTCTATCGCGTAACAAAGTTATTTGGCTGTCGCGGTCGAGCGGCCGAGGAACCAGTCACACCGTTGATGGTTAACCCTAGTCGCGGATTGTATAATAGCGTTTTCAGCGCGGGCCGACAGTTGTGCGTTACAACATGCCGTAGGATGTTGTCGATCCGTGTCGTTCGACAATCGTGCTACGGTCGACATGTGTTTCGATTGCTTGTGGTATTTTGATGACGAAGGTACCTACAGTTCTCATAATGATTTTATTGAAAATCAGTGAAAATATTCAAAGTGTTCCGTTTGTTATTCAGATGAGTTTTGGATCTATTTGAGTTACAGACATCCCAGTGCTTTGCAAAACTTTAAATGTTCTTTAAATTGGTAACGGCTGAAAATCCGGACTAAAGTATAGCAACATATTGTATCTGTTTGCATTGGGGACTATCGTTTTTTTGCTCACCATTTGGCGCCACTGTTGACTAAGGTCCAGAGGTATAGCTAACAAAGGCGACTTTAGAAGAAGTACGGACACAACAGAATATACTCTTGAAAATAAATATCTTGGAGCAGTGTAAAATAAAAATAAAAATGATATTATGATAGTGTTAACGGTATCATTGAAAGAAACATAATTATTTCATGTAATCAACGAACTAGATATACAAACGTGCTAGATTTTTTGCTTTTTTAGTAAGCGCGCAAGTCGTAAATATCGGCCGCAATCGTGATAGGTATATTTCTATACTTATAATAAATCTGTAGAGAGGTCAATTCTGTACATGAAATATATTTTCAAAATAACTATCAGGGGGTGATTAGTGATCGATACTGATGCCAAAAATGCAATCAGTAAAATTTTTGTCTGTCTGTCTGTCTGTCTGTCTGTATGTTCCTTATAGAAACAAAAACTACTTGACGGATTTTAACGAAACTTGGTACAATTATTCTTCGTTCTCCTGGGCAGGTTATAGGATACTTAGGAATTCCCACGGGCACGGGAAGTAGCGGGAAAATCCTTTTGTATGAAAAATCTAAACTGCTTAAGTTAGACGCTTGAAATTTGGCATGCGGGTACCTTAGTAAACTCAAAGCTTAGTTACAACAGGATGTTGCAAAATTCCCACGGGAACGGGAGTTAGCGGGAAAAAACATTTGTATGAAAAAATCTAAACCGCTTAAGTTAGACGCTTGAAATTTGGCATGCGGGTACCTTAGTAAACTCAAAGCTTAGTTACAACAGGATGTTGCAAAATTCCCACGGGAACGGGAGTTAGCGGGAAAAAACATTTGTATGAAAAAATCTAAACCGCGTAAGATAGATGAAGGGGGTAAAACGGGATCCACGCGTACGAAGTCGCGGGCGGCCGCTAGTCTATCATAATTTCCGACTTATGATTTATATGGTATTATTGATACAGGATGTGCATTTTGAGAATGGGCTTATTAGACTGTTAATGAATTATGTGTATTTGTATTTGCTGTGTTTAGTTGACAAATCGCTTAAATACATATTCTGATAGTTTCTCGAAGTATGTGAAACAAGTATCGAACTAACTGATTTACTGACGCTATGTAATAGGTATGTTTGTAGGTCAATTCTGGTTTGGGTAATCACCGCGGTTAAACCTAATTATGCGTGCGAATCGATTAAGTGTAAGGGTGGCCTCCTATCCTCATATTTGTCAGATGTTCATATAACAACGACAATCAGATGTAGAGCTATTATAAGATGTTTTGGCGGTTGAATATGTACCTCAAACCTCAGACGACAACCCTAACCCTCCTTGCTAGCGAACGATCACTCTACTTTGTAGTTTTCGGCCTCCAGGACGATTGCCTTCGGTTTTCTTAATGATCCAGAGCTGTTCAAGGTCTCCATCTTTCCTGGCAATGTGGCTAAATAGTTTCACACATAGTGACAGTTTTCTATTTAATTTCTATCTCCATTGCAGACCATTTGCTCCAGAATCCATCTATTTTTAAAACTGTACAAAAGGAATTTAAATGTATCATTAAAATGTATGTGTTATGTAATGAAAATCGAATGTGTTTTAATTTTATCTCAATACTAACCGAGTTAACCTGTCCAGGCGAGCGCGTCCTCCAGCGCTTGGAGGCGGCGGAGGCAGCTTGCGCGGAGGCCAGCGGCAGCGGCGGCGAGGCGGCGTTCCACTGCGGCTCGCCGGGCGCCGTGCGTGCGCAGCTGGCCGGCGTGCGGTCTGCCCACGCGCACGCGCACAAACTGTGGCAGCACAAGAAGATGCAGCTCGACCAGTGCTTCCAGCTGCGGCTGTTCGAGCAGGACTGCGAGAAGGTTGGTTAAACTTATAACAAAAACAGTCGCTAAACGAGGAGGCGTTCCTCTGTGGCTCACGGATGCTGTGCGTGCGATCAGCTCTCGCGCACGCGCACAAACTCTGGCAGCACAAGAAGATGCAGCTCGACCAGTGCTTCCAGCTGCGGCTGTTCGAGCAGGACCGAGAAGGTTGGTTATACTTATAACAAAAACAGTCGCTTAACGAGGAGGCGTTCCTCTGTGGCTCACGGGTGCTGTGCGTACGATCTGCCCACGCGCACGCGCACAATCTCTGGCAGCACAAGAAGATGCAGCTCGACCAGTGCTTTCAGCTGCGGCTGTTCGAGCAGGACTGCGACAAGGTTGGTTAAACTTATAACAAAAACAGTCGCTAAACGAGGAGGCGTTCCTCTGTGGCTCACGGGCGCTGTGCGTGCGATCTGTCCACGCGCACGCGCACAAGCTATGGCAGCACAAGAAGATGCAGCTCGACCAGTGCTTCCAGCTGCGGCCGTTCGAGCAAGACTGCGAGAAGGTTGGTTATACTTATAACAAAAACAGTCGCTTAACTAGGTGGCGTTCCTCTGTGGCTCGCGGGTGCTGTGCGTGCGATCTGCCCACGCGCACGCGCACAAACTTTGGCAGCACTAGAAGATGCAGCTCGACCAGTGCTTCCAGCTGCGGCTGTTTGAGCAGGACTGCGAGAAGGTTGGTTATAACAAAAACAGCCGCTAAACGAGGAGGCCTTCCTCTGTGGCTCGCGGGTGCTGTGCGTGCGATCTGCTCATGCGCACGCGCACAAACTGTGGCAGCACAAGAAGATGCAGCTCGACCAGTGCTTCCAGCTGCGGCTGTTCGAGCAGGACTGCGAGAAGGTTGGTTATACTTATAACAAAAACAGTCTCTAAACGAGGTGGCGTTCCTCTGTGGCTCACGGGTGCTGTGCGTGCGATCTGCCCACGCGCACGCGCACAAACTCTGGCAGCACAAGAAGATGCAGCTCGACCAGTGCTTCCAGTTGCGTTGGTTTTTCAAAGAGAGGCAGTAAATGACGACACGTTATTATATTTATTTTTCACAAAATAATTTGATTTACACCTTTTACGGTACCATTGTCTATTGATAATATGGAATATAGCTTAGGCCTTTATGCTTTCTTATATTTTGACATTCTTGCCTTTGCCTTTCTTTATCATCATCACTCCAATGTTTCATTTATTGTTGCAGATGCTCGAATGGATCGTAAACCATCGCACGGCGTTTCTCGCTACCTACGTCGAGATCGGAAGATCCTGTGCAGCAGCTAAACGCCTTCAAGAAGAACACGCTAGGTACCTAAATTAACTTTGATTACCTAAATTCATTCAGTATACGTGATAAATCTGAAGATACACACTTATTACCAAACCTATAAAATACTCCGTAGTGGAGCTCCTTATTTAATTGTAATATAACGTGTCGCATATGACAGTATAACCAGGCCTGTTCATCTCCGCGAGTTTACATCGAAAACAAAACACGCACGACGGCCCACATACAGGATACTATTCGACAAGGCCTCACATACGAGCGAACATTGACTCACGCACGCGTATTCTTTTGTATGATGGAAGAAAGTAAAGAAAATGGTGTACTAAATACTGTGTAGTATTTAACTGCCTAAATAATAATAAAAACACATAATGTACTTTTTTAAGTTGCCTCAAGACTTAGTCAAGTAAGTCAAGTCAAGACACTGAGAGGTAAATAAGTAGTTAATATTATTCATGATAATTCATGCAAAATCATGTATTTCCTCCGCCATATTCCGCAGTTTGGCACCTCACGTCACATCATTTTACCGAAGTCAGCCCTATAGCTTCGGCGCAGTGCCGATCACTGACGTTTGTCTACAAAATGGTGCTTGACTCTTGAGACAGGCTAAATTACACCATATTGTTGATGACATTGAGCATACATTTTTTTAAATACCTTCGCGAAGTAAAACTTCTGTACGTAGTACTTATTATTATTCTGTGGTATAACTTCATTGATTAGAGAAGAACAGTCTCGATCATTTTGTGCATTGTTTCTAGGTTCGCCGCAGCGTGCACCGGCGGCGGGCGGCCCAGCGTGGCGCGTGTGACGACTGCTGCTCGACGCCTGGCCGACAAGCGCCACTACGCCGAAGCCCACATCACGGCGCTTGCGCATCGCCTCGAACGCGCTTACAAGCAGCTTTCCGCCGGTGAGTTTGAGACTATTGATGACTGCTTACTTTTCTTCTGTTGTGTCTGTCTGTACTTCTTTTTTAAACCGAAAGACGTCGCTGCTGTACAAAGACAAAGGATTTCCACTACTACCGATTTTGATTTGCCCACCTACCAAGTTCGAGGTTAGCCAACATAACGTCTGTGGTTGGAAAACGTTTCTGAGCACGCTTCAAAGGCCATCCCGACTTTGGGCTATGTGCTCCGCCTATTGTCGCTTTTGTCGATTCTGTCCGGGAAATCTATTGGTGTTCTAGTTTCTTCAGAATCAGTAAGTTGGAGTTCAGGTTGAAGAGCTTTTGGCATTATCTTTGCAGAATCGTGTTGCTGTCATACTTCACATACATTCATAGCCCTCAAAAAATCTGTATTGTTTTAACATATTGGTTTGTACAGTTAAACGTGTAATTAAATAATTAAATCTCCACCGTTTTTTTAAGTAATCGCATCCGACGGTGCATAATTAACTCATTTTCTATACGGATATGAACTCGTTTGTGTTTCCTGTATTATAGTAAAACTGAGTTGGTAAAACATTTCAATACAATTAAAGTAATTCTTTTTAACTATGCTGAATCACTTGAAAATGATTGATTGCTTGACCGCATTATTGGGCACAATTATGCAGTTGTGCGTTACATAGGAACATTTTTGTTTGTAAAATATAACTCAATAGCGTGATATATCAAATTATAGTTGGTTTCTAGGAAGTTTTCTTCATAAATGAATGAATATACACGTGCTGTTTGTATTATCAGTGGTAGCCGTTAATAAATTTTTATACACGAGTATTATGTGCAATGTGCATAATTAATTGTACAGCTCGTTATTAAAAAAATACTACAGCTGTACCAAATGTACCGAAAATTGCATGCGTTGCTGTAACAAAATTTAAAATTTCTCTTTTTTAATAAAGTCAACTTAGTACATATCGTCTACTCGTATCGTATTTAATGAAAATATTGTAGGCATATGAATTCAAAGTGCTGAGAGGCTATGAATCATTTTTCACAACTACGTGGATAGAACCATTACATCGTTAACGATTTCGTTGATAGCGATGCGTGTGGTTTTATCAACCATAATCGATGGATCTTCATCTTATTGAAAACTAGAGGGTTTCTATATCATTTCACACATTTAGCCTATATCTGATATTTGGCGATATTGGATTTTTCTTTCATTTCCGAAATCCAATTAAGTTATGCTAATCCCACTCACGTGTTTTACCTTTTTCGGAGTAACGTAGTGTCTCAATAAAGTCATGTCGATATTAAATAGAATCGAGTAACGTACTGTCCAAGAAACGTTTGTCGAAATTCAGTTACTACGTCTTGTTTTAACGTAGGATAAAGCTTTGGTTTCATTTTGTAATCGAATCTACTCTTCTTCTTGATTATAGCCTGACCAGGAACATAAAAACCCTGGCATAGAGGCGCGTCAATTGCATTTGATAGTGCAACACTGAGTGCAGTCGTACCTGTGTTAAATTAATAGGCTAACTTTATGTATCAGGATTCAGGATTACGGGCTAATTTGATATTTTCATAAGTTAACGAAAAAGATTATACTATAGGTAACCTGATTTAAATAAATTAAATGAAACCATCAATCGAACTAGTAGGATTTATTTTATTATTCATCAATAATCAAATTCTGAACTTGAATATTCAACTGCAATGTCTGCTCATGAACGCTTCAAACTCGGTACTTCTTTCCCAATTCCATAAAATTCAACACTTACAAAGTGATAAAAAACTTTAAAATAGGTAGTTGAAACAAACCACAGCTAATTTTCATAGTGGACTGTACTATACGATAAACATGTCAGTCAATTTGACAACCTTTGTCGGAAACATTATTCAATGAAAATATTGTCCGAAACCTTAGTATTTCTCTTCGACAAATACTTTAACACATTGTGAACCACTTTTCTTTCACGACTATAAAAAGATTTTAGCAATTTAAAACACAAAATCAATTGCGCACATTTAAAATAAAGTTTGTTTACACTTTGACAGCAATAGACTGACATGCAAGGTGACATATCAATAAAGTTTTCAGTTACTGTTGCCATTAAAAGAAATTAGCACCATTAGTTTTCCGCAACATGGCGAGGGTTTATATGTTCCTGGTCGGGCTATAGTGTAGATGTTAACAATTTGGTCAGAATAGATCTCCTTTCTTTCCGTTTGTGTTATACAAATGTTAACAGCATGTACAATAGGCTAGATGACAAAATTTCAATTATTTGTCCGTCAGACAGATAATTAGAAAATATTAAACTCATATTTTTTATTTTCTTTCAAAATTAAATAATAACAGTGCTACATCGAGTTGAAATGGCGCGTTACGTCACGCTATTACGCTACGTCACGCAAACGGCACGCGACATTTCAACTCAATATAATACTGTAATTATTCGATTATGAAAAAAATAAAAAATACGTCTCCAAAATTTTTTTATTATTTGTCTGACGGACTAAATGGAATTTCGATTTCATTACCCAGTCATCATTCCTATTGCAGGCCTAGAGGAGCGCTCGGCAGTGCTGTCTCTGTCCGTGGTGTTCCACCACAAGGCCGAGGCGTACGCGTCAGCCGTGGGCGGGTGGGGCGCGCAGTGCGCGGTGGCGCTGCAGCTGGCCACGGGGCAGGGCGGCGCGCCGTGCGGCGACCCGCGCGCGCTCGAGCAGCACGCGCAGCGGCACCGCCAGCTTTACGAGCACATGTGCCAGGCGTACACAGAGGTAAAACTACAGAAGGAGCGCCCAGCAGTGCTCTCTCTCAGTGGAGAAATTTGTAAGGAGTCATGCAAAACGCCCGGGGAATGGAGAGATCTCCTGAGATATGTACCATCCTAGACCGCATCCTCAACACTCAACATCAGGTGCGATTGTGGTCAAATACCTGCCTTGTTATGCATCGTTCGTTCGTTCGTAAAAAAAAAAAAAGATTTGTTTCGTACGGCGTGAGGCAGGAAGAAGGCGTACGAATGCGTCGGCCGTGGGCGAATTTACGCCTGTCAGCTCTACGCTGGGCATATGTACCAGGCGTATACTGAGGTGAGAGCTTGTGACATAAAGGTCTGGCAGAGCACTCGCAATGCTGTTTCTATCAATGGTGGATCACGCCACAAAGTGGAGGCTTGCATGTCGGCGATGGGCGGGGCTTCGTGTGTGCTCGAGCAGCACGCGCAGCGCCACCGCCAGCTGTACGAGCACATGTGCCAGGCGTACACAGAGGTGAGAGCTTGTGTATTACAGGCCTAGCGTCCAGCAGTGCTAGCTCTCCGTGGTGATCCACCACAATGTGGAACGGATGAACTGGTGGACGTATGCGTCGGCAGTGTGTTGTCTCTTCGCGGTATTCCACCACAAGGCGTACGAATGCGTCGGCCGTGGGCGAATTTACGACTGTCAGCTCTACGCTAGGCATATGTACCAGGCGTATACTGAGGTGAGAGCTTGTGACATACAGGTCTGGCAGAGCACTCGCAATGCTGTTTCTATCAATGGTGGATCACGCCACAAAGTGGAGGCTTGCATGTCGGCGATGGGCGGGGCTTCGTGTGTGCTCGAGCAACACGCGCAGCGCCACCGCCAGCTGTACGAGCACATGTGCCAGGCGTACACCGAGGTGAGAGCTTGTGTACTAAGCAGGGTACTCATCTAATGTAATGTATCAGATACTGTATCAAGTGAGTACATAGGCACGAGCCCGCTGCGAGATGCTCGCGCGTGGTTCGCAGGGAGATCGTAGCGACCCACCGAGTGGCGGTATCACTGCGAGCACAAAGGCGGCTCGCAGTAGGATCCAGGAGCTCGCAGCCAGATACGAGATGACCGTGGACGAGCCGTACTCACTTGAAGGTTGGTTACGTTACATACTACGTTACGTCCTACATGGCAGGTGAGTACCCTGCCCTCAGATCATAGAAAGAGAATAGATATGAAGTCGCGCGTAACTACAACGAGAACCAGTGTCCCCACATTTCCCCCACCACAGCTCCCACACACACATTCAACTGTGTAAAAACAAAGCGACTGAGAGTCTACGACAACATGTGCAACCGGCTTAAAAGTGCTGTGATTGGCCAGAAGGCGTGCCTTATGGCCAATCAATGGCCGCGTGACGTGACGCACACTTTGAAAAAAGCAATTAGAGAGAAGAAAGATAAAATGGAGTCGATAAGATATCGATACTTTAAATCCTGGGGGCAAGGCTCGAAATTGGTTTAAAAAATGCTTGTATGAAAACCTTTTTATTATTATACGTTATTATTATGTTCTTTAACGATTTTTGCATAAAGGAGTCAGTTCGAACACGAGCCCTGCACTATGTTACGACCGGCACATGCGGCCGTACTGTGTATTTTCACGCGTCAGTGGATATCGGAAGAAATAAAATACATTGCGCAGTAGTTACGCATGACATAAAGTGGTTGCTAACTAAATCGTCAATGTACAACGTGTTTGAATTTTTATCACCACTAATTTCGATATCGCAGTAAATGTCACGGCACTGAATTCGTTCGTAAAAATGTTTAGTTTTTTTTATTTATAAGCAAAATACCAATGGATTTGCAATACTTACATGTGGTAAATGACTTCATTGTTCCTGTAGTTCTTCGTTTCACTTATGTTATTGCACGTTACGACGCATTATCCAACAATATCGGAGAACATTTCCTCAGTACGACTGAATCGCGACTAACCTGGCGTCGCGGGCGATGTTCGTTTCTGGGCATATCGCGGAGACACGCGCCACGCCCCCGTTTCACATCTATTCCCTTCTATGATCTGAGACCCTGCCCTACAGGCCTAGTGATCAACAGTGCTAATTCTCCGTGGTGTGGAACGACGAACTGGTGGATGTATGCGTCGGCGGTGGGCGGGTGTGCGCGTGCGCTTGATCAACAAGTGCAGAGGCGCCGCCAACAATACGAGCACATATTATGCCAGGTGTACACAGTGGTGAGAGCTTGTGTAGTACAGGCTTAAGAGGAGCGCTCTGCAGTGCTCTCTCCGTGGTATTCCACCACGCGCAGCGGCACCGCCAGCTGAACGAGCACATGTGCCAGGCGTACACAGAGGTAACTACAAGCCAGTGCCGTTTATCTCCGTGACGAAGGTGTATTAGTCGGCTGTGGGCGGGTTTACGAGCACATGTGCCAGGCGTACACAGAGGTAAAAGTACAGACCGTGGGGTTTGACGCAGATAGTGGTGTTCCACAACAAGGCGTTGTATTCTACTCAGCCAACCACTAGGACTTCACTGGCGACTTATTTGCATCATCATTTCAGCCACAGGACGTCCACTGCTGAATATAGGCCTCCCCCAATGACTTCCACATCGCACGGTTGGTAGCCTTATTGCTACCTTAATCAGGTCGTCGGTCCTCCGTGTGGGTTGACGTCACACGCTTATTTTACTTATAATTATATTTGGACTTTCATTATGATCATTAGAGTTTTCTCCTTTTAATATCAAGTTATTAGATACTACTACATTCAAATAACGATGTTTTGTTTGCAGGTTCATTCCACTAGTAAAAAGCTGCTATACCAGCTTGATCACCTAGTTCAAGTTTGCCATCAAACCGACCCTGCGGATATGGTAAGTTTATAATAATATATTATAGGCCCCAAATTCGCTACCATTGTGCTTTTTGGAGGCTTTGTTATAAACGTATAAGCTAACAGTATGCTGTTATCATTTAGTAGGCAATTTGCATATTTTAATAAGACCTCGAGTATCTTTTCCATATTTGTCGAATTGAAATACCCTTCAAAGAATTTAGTTACGTCGTTTCGTACCGTACACGCTGCATAAGACAGCTCACATTTGTTACAACACGTAAATTCACGTCTCACGCTCTATTATTCCTAATTTGCGACTTAAAGCTGTTCCCGTTACTTTACTCATTACGTGTTATTAAGGATTTCATTAGTAAACGTTAAAACATAGAGCTTTAGATCATGACTGAAAAGTAGGATTAGCTTACAATTTGCGTATTTATTTAATAAACATTTTTTGTTGCCAGCAGAGCGACGGGTCCGTAAGCACGGCAGGCAGTAGCGGCGGCGACCCGGCGGCGGATTACAGCTCGGGCGCGAATCATGTGCTCGCCGTCATACACCAGATATTAGGCCACCACCGGGCCTTAGAAGCGCGCTATCACCAGGCCAGGCTCAAGCTGCACCAACGACTTGCGTTGCTTTTGTACAAAGAGGATTGTAGGCAGGTAAGGGATATGAGGATACAATCTTAAGTATTAGGTTACGGATAATCCAGACCGCGCTGGTCACTAACAAAGATAAGATGAAGAGAAACAGAAAACATTTTGCACTGTACTTTTCTATACTGGGCCACCACAAGGCCTTGGAGGCGCGCTATCACCAGGCCAGGCTCAAGCTGCACCAACGACTTGCGTTGCTTTTGTACAAAGAGGATTGTAGGCAGGTAAGGGTTATGAGGACGTGCACACGGTATACTCGGAGGCGAATTACAGCTCGGGCGCGAACCATGTGCTCGCCGTCATACACCAGATACTGGGCCACCACAGGGCTTTGGAAGCGCGCTATCACCAAGCCAGGCTCAAGCTGCACCAACGACTTGCGTTGCTTTTGTACAGTCACGGAATGAAAAGGTTCGTCAGTTTTCAAATTGATTCCTTCAACGAATCGCGAGCACATATTACCTTTTGAAACTATGTTACAGAATAATCTCGAGTTAGAGAAAATGATATTAAACTGTTCGTCAGTAAAGTTCAAAATTATTCAGATCAAAGTTGTTTGACGATTCATCTTGTCAAGAAGATTATTATGATTGATAAACTAAAACCTTCTTGTTGGTTCAACAGGCCATTATTATTTCTATTAAATAAAAAAAAAACTACATTTTGTGACATTGCACTGATGGGATAGAAAAATAAACAAGCAAAAACCTTATTCGTTAGCAAACGTCATAGTTATTAATTTATTTCAATGTTAGCAGCACTGTTTCTTGCACGGTTATGTTGGCAGGTTTGATTCTTTCAGTACCTAGTGCAAGCGAAAAGCGACACTAAGGTGACGAACCTTTTCATTCCGCGACTGTACAAAGAGGATTGTAGGCAGGTAAGGGATATGAGGACGTGCACACGGTTTACTCGGCGGCGGGTTACAGCTCGGGCGCCTATCACTTGATCGCTGTCATACACCACATATTAAGCCACCACCGGGCCTTGGAAGCGCGCTATCACCAGGCCAGGCTCACGCTGCACCAACGACTTGCGTTGCTTTTGTACAAAGAGGATTGTAGGCAGGTAAGGGATATGAGGACGTGCACACGGTATATTCGGCGGCGAATTACAGCTCGGGCGCGAACCATGTGCTCGCCGTCATACACCAGATACTGGGCCACCACAGGGCTTTGGAAGCGCGCTATCACCAAGCCAGGCTCAAGCTGCACCAACGACTTGCGTTGCTTTTGTACAAAGAGTATTGTAGGCAGGTAAGGGATATGAGGACGTGCACACGGTATACCCGGCGGCGAATTACAGCTCGGGCGCTTATCACGTGATCGCCGTCATACACCAGATACTGGGCCACCACAGGGCTTTGGAAGCGCGCTATCACCAGGCCAGGCTCAAGCTGCACCAACGACTTGCGTTGCTTTTGTACAAAGAGGATTGTAGGCAGGTATGGTTAAGCATTAGAACAAACCAGGCTGCTGGACACTATAATGATGAATTTTAGTGGAGGAATTGGAAGTGTTTTACAATGTCCTTTTCTATATCACAAGTTTTACAGTATACGCCTAGCTAAGGTATTCTATCTGTAAAGAATATTGGTATTTGCCTAACACGTGTTACACTAGCACTCATAATGCGATGGATCTAAAACTATGATGTTTGTTCTAGGTTTTGGACTGGTTGGCGAATCATGGTGAAGTTTTCCTGCAGAAAAATACAGGAATAGGACGGAATCTCCACAAGGCAAGAGTGTATCAGAAATCTCATGAACATTTCGAAAATGTTGCTCAAGTAAGTTCTTGTTATATCAATCTGGTTTTATTACTCACTAGCTGACCCGGCGAACTTTGTTCCGCCTTAATGGCAATAAATAAGCAGACTTTTTTTAATTTCGAACGGGATAAAAAGTATCCTATGTCCTTCTCCTGGCTCTAAACTACCTCCCTGACAATTTTCAGCTAAATCGGTTCAGCCGTTCTTGAGTTATAAGCGAAGTAACTAACACGACTTTCTTTTATATATACAGTGTGTCCGGGCATGTAGTGATCAAACTTTATGGGCCAAATCTAGGGACAATTTTATCGATAAAAATACTTCAAATTTGGGGCTTGACCCATTTATCGCAAAATTACAAGGATTTAAGTTTTTAATTTTTAGTATTCACCTCTTCCTTCAAAAACACGTGAAAGCGTGGGTAGCTTAACATTAATAAGCAAATATTTTATATCATGCGATAGCCAATAAAATTATCTATTAGCAAAAGTAGAAAACAGATACAAGTTTCATACATTTTAAGGGAGTAAGAATGGATTTAATTAGAAAAAAACATGACTTTTCTCACTTCTTTTTCAGTTATTTTCCAACACAAGAAAAACCGGGTCGTTAAGGTATCTTTTATTTGCATTGTATTATTAGTATTTGAGCTATTCTACAAAACGAACGTAAATTTATTAGTCTACGTCTATTAGTTTCGACGTAATTGTTGAACAAAGATACCCCTTCCCAGCGGTTTCCATAGTAATCGGAATAGGTTGTGTGATTCTTTCAGGCAGTGCATTTTAGCATGTCGCGTGCGCTATGGAATCCGCTGGGAAGGGGTATCTTTGTTCAACAATTACGTCGAAACTAATAAACGTAGACTAATAAATTTACATTCGTTTTGTAGAATAGCTCAAATACTAATAATACAATGCAAATAAAACATACCTTAACGACCTGGTTTTTCTTGTGTTGGAAAATAACTGAAAAAGAAGTGAAAAAAGTCATGTTTTTTTCTAATTAAATCCATTCTTACTCCCTTAAAATGTATGAAACTTGTATCTGTTTTCTACTTTTGCTAATAGATAATTTTATTGGCTATCGCATGATATAAAATTTTTGCTTATTAGTGTTAAGCTACCCACGCTTTCACTTGTTTTTGGAGGAAGAGGTGAAAACTAAAAATTAAAAACTTAAATCCTCGTAATTTTGCTAGAAATGGGTCAAGCCCCAAATTTGAAGTATTTTCATCGATAAAATTGTCCATAGATTACGCCCTTAAAGTTTGATCACTACAAACCCGGACACACTGTATAGATTCAAACGTTTCATGATTTGGTTGTCTACTCTCCAAATTGATTTTGAAATATTAGCTCCGTCTTTAAATGAGGGCTATCGTTTTTATACTTAACAGTTGGCACCCCTGGCGATTGACAGGACCTTACTCTACAGTGGCGCCATCTTGATGAGTGCAAATGCGATAGTCCTCCTACCACTTTAGCACTCACCAGATGGTGCCACTGTCTTCGCTACTAGCAAGTGACAGGACCTTACTCTACAGTGGCGCAAACTGGTGAGCGCTAAAACGATAACCCTCATTGAGTTAGACTTATTGTGAGAGAAATATAAAAGCCAAAATCATTTCTCGAGATAATTATTTAGGAGAAACAATATATTTCGGCGCCTCTAAACGCAATGCTCTTTTCAGAATACGTACACGAACGCCGAGAAACTTCTGGCAGCAGCGGAGGAGTTGGCACGCTCAGGCGAATGCGACCCCGAAGAAGTGCTGGGTGTTGCGAGAGATTTGGAAGCGCACGTGGCAGCGTTCGCGGCGCGCGTCGACCGCCGGCGGAGAAGGCTCGACTTGGCCGTGCTGCTGTATACTCACGAGAAAGAGGCAAGCGTTTTAGAAACTAAAAATATAACTCGTATTAAAATATTACGTTTTGGCCTCTAGCAGTATTATTTAGGGCGCGAACTCAACCACCAAAGCGGAAATGAGAAAAAATGTGTTGTAAACTCGTTCCTGTCTACATTCATGTCAGTGCTGGCTGACTACTGAATGAAGTTGTAACAGGCAATAAAAACGGAAAACTGTGCCTTCCAAGCTGGCAGCGTAGTCGTGTCAGAGCGCGCTAACTTCAGCTCAACGTCTAACCACATGCAGTTCAGTTACTTGCTCTAGCTAGCACACATCTCTGCTTCACTCTAGCCAGTACACATCTTCGCAAGGTTTTGGTTGATTTAGCGGTAAGATAGCCAGTTCCTCCGTGGTTGAGGATTCCGGGTGAAGCTCGCTTCCACCTTCAGCCTGATCGTTACTTACCATCAGGTGAGATACAGGCCATGAGCTTCCTCGTGGATAAAAAATAGACTACTAATATTGGGTTAATAGTTCACCTATTCACCGAATATGAATACCCGTAGGGCGGGGCACATAGCTCGTAGAGACGATGGCCGTTGGGGCAGAAAAGTTCTCGAGTGGCAACCACGGGCTGGAAGACGTAGCGTGGGCAGGCTTCCTACTAGGTGGACCAACGATCTGGTAAAGGTCGCGGAAAGAGCCTGGATGCGGGCAGCGCAGGACCGTGCATTGTGGATTGTGGAGGAGGCCTTTGTCCAGCAGTGGACGTCATTTGGCTGAAACGAACGAAGGAACGGATACCGGTGTTCGTTGCAAAACACATGTAATAGCGTCCTTTCGTTGTTTTAGCTCCTCCAATGGCTTGAGACGCTTCGCAGCGGCGGCGGCGTGTGCGCATCGGACGACACGCCCGAGGCGGCGCGGCGCGCGCTCGAGCAGTGCGCACAACACCGCGCCGCCAGCCTCGACGCCTGCGCCGCCACCATCGCGCAGGGCGAGGCGCTACTGCAGGACTTACGGTGAGTCGAGTGACCAGCTTCATCATCCATCATCAGTTCATCACCATCAATAGACGTGTTGACACCACCAATCAAATGACGTACTTTTTAAAACTGTCAAAATGAGACTCCCCCTTAGATTTTGTATGGCAATACAAGCAAGGGACGTGACTATTTTGTCAATTCAATTCAACTACTTTTTTCAATTACAATGGAACCAAAAGTCGTAATTTACAGATAATTTAAAATTAATTATTTATTTAAGACCAGAATGAAGTGTCATTTTAGAAAAGTTGTGTTTTGGAATTTTTGGAGAATGGTGTCAAATTGTCCATTGACAGTTAAGGCTCTGTGCAAATGGGCCACCGACCACAGCCGCCGGTGGCCAACGACGGCGACTTAACACACTTTTTGTATAGTGGCGAGTCGCGGACACTACTGTACTGTCCACTTCGAGAAGGATCAGTACCTACCTCTAGCATGAACAACTTTCATCTTCGAATCGTTTGCGTATTCGACAAAATTCGGTACTCAATCTTCGAATTAAACGATAACGTGACAGTTTTGATTCTCAAAATAAGTTTCGTGCAACCATTTCTCATACTAAGTTCACTTTACAACACGTTCACAAGGGCGCTGTTGCAGTTTTCGTCCTAAATCCTTTGATGGCGATTCGAATACGCAAACGATTGGAACTCGAAAGTTTTTCATGCTAGCCGTACAGGCCGGAGATGGAAGTGGAATTTGACCGGAATTAGCTAGTCAAGTAGGCTGAGAACAAGCTCTACCACTAACCAAACAGAGCAGAAAAAATTCCCCCACTGGGAATCGAACCTGGGACATTTGGAGCTGTTGCCTATTTATTTATTTATATTTTTATAGCCACTAATTAATCTAAGGGACGGTGTTAGGCACATCCTTCATACAGTCGTCATTTTGCATGCAGGTTGAAATGACAAACAAAGTCATACATTACTAGCATGGAGTCAATCAAATTGTCTTACGGTGTGTTGCTCGTAGTAATGGCACAGAATACTCCATTCTGTACGGTACATCTCAGTTTTAGATAAGGAATTAAACCAGTTAAATAAACTACATACATTAATAAACTACCCGCATCAATAAAAAGCATTGACTCCCTAAATATTTTTAAAAAGAAACTTGCCCTACATATTCATGACGTTGTAGAATGAGCCTTACTTATTAAATTTAATGTCTAAAACTAATATTTACAATTTAGAAAATTATATTTAATTTTGTTTTGAACTTATATTATACTGATTTACTTTTTATCGCCAATCAGATGGTATAATTTGCTAAAGCCAATGCTTTTTATAAAACATATCGGTGCGAACGATTCAAATGTAAATTATACTTAGTTTAATTTTGTTCTCAAGTAAGTGACAATTATGTTTTTATTGAGAAATAAAGAATCTTTAAACCTCAGTTATAGCAGCTTTAAACTTCCAACGAGTAGGAAAAGCTCGCTCACGAAAGCCACAATTGTTTTCAATAGATATTGGTCGCCAACTTCAGATAGCGTCTGTTCTCTCCGCAAAGGCCCGCGAGGCATATTGGTTATATTCCTAACTAAAGACTGAACTCCACACTAAAGTTAACGTAAACAGAAACAGCTGTGTGTTATAGTCTGAGACTATGTTTACTATTTATTGACGATTATATCATAGTTGTTAGTATCAGGACATACATCATTTAGGGTAGCAACTTAAACAAAGCCAATAGCTATTCTTGGTACGCAGCAATAAAGTGCAAGTTCGCTTGCAGCTAAAATTAAAATTCATAAAATTCATAAAATTCATAAAATTCATAAAATTCATTTATTTTTGCAAATAGGCTTTAAAAAAGCGCTTTTACACGTCCCAATATTAACCCTACCACTGCTTCGGGACAATAAATGGGCCAGTGCTGAGAAGAAGCAGCGCAAGAAACTCAGTCACTATTGTCAGCCTCCTTTTCAAGGTTTTACAGTCTTTAAAATATACAAATTATAGTCATAAGTATTAATGCGAGCTAGGTAGTTAAACATTCCAAACATTTTTATCCTTTATATAATCATCAACTTTATAGTAGCCCTTTTTCATTAAGGTGCTTTTGATATGTGCTTTAAATGTTAAATGTGTGCTGTGCTACGTTTTGAACTTAACCCCCCTCTGTCATTACTTATCAGTGCATTGTGACTTGCGATGTGTGTGTGGTTGTTCTTTGAAGTGAACGAGAATCTGTAATCAGTGAGGCGACCAAAAAACACGTAATATAATTTACGTGTGTTACGAGTAGCAGAGTAGATAGTATTAAATTATTAATTCTAGAGAGCACATGAGATCTGAATAGTTATTGAAGTAAGACCGGGGAAATTCATTATTCACTAGTTCATTCGACCTACATTTCAGATAATACTTTCCCGGCTAACCCCCATTTGCGATGTAGATGAAAAAATATTAAAAGGTATTGTTGTATCCAGCTCTGCGGCGTTATTGTTCGCTAGCCTCGCGATGTCGCACGACTAGGTCTCTTTTGTTTTGGGAGGTCGTTTACTAGGGTAATTCGAAAGCTCTTTTCTATATTTTTATGAAGATTAAAAATTGTAATTAATGTTTCAGTATGTAGTAATTTCAGACCGAAAATGCACGTTTATTTTTACATACAGGTAGGTAATTACCATATAATTTTAAAGTGTGCTTTTCCGTTTTTCACCTTAACGATGATGACGAAGCAAGATGTGCGGATTGTGCGGAAAAATTTGGCTTTTTGGGCAGGTTATTTCCACCTAAGTGTAGTCGATCTCTGCTAAGGATGAACGGTGATTTAATACGATAATTTATTATACATCTCGTGTATAATAAATTATTATATTACTAGCTTTCCGCACGCGGCTTCGCCCGCGTGGACTTTTGTCTGTCACAGAAACACTTCATCGCGCGTGTCTCTGTTTCAAAAACCGGGATAAAAACTATCATATGTCCTTTCCCGAGACTCAAACTATCTCAATGCCAAAGGACAATGTTCATTTCTGGCCTGGCGTGGACAAGCTGCTAATGAAAATATGAATTTGCCAAAAATTTTTAACTAATTTTTAAAGTATTCACTTAGTGTAACTTTGTATCAATTTGCCTTTATAAAAATCCAATTTAAATAGTACTTTATGTGATAATTACAACTTCCTGTCTTTAACACTCATTTCAGTGTTGCCAAAATGAATCTTATCGGTAAGAATCGATTCATTATCGATTGTTGTTCGACTATGACAATTATTATTTTTTTAAATACGTATTCATTAAAATGACGTTTATAAAACCTTTTTAATATTCTAATAACACTACCAAAAATATTGAAATAACTAAATGAAACCTTATATCACACACACCTTATTTCGAGTCATCAAAAAATACAATCGATTTTTATATCGATTATTTTTATTCATCACCACATTATTAGCATGGCAACACTGAAAATATTGTCACAGCTGTTATCTGTCATTCGCTTTGTTTTGTATTTTTCATCGTGAGTGTTGTTTAGTTCTCAAAACCAAGTCTTTGCCAAAATAAAAGCAGAAAAGTGTTGTTACGTTTCCCTTTTGACGTCTTTATTTTTTTGACCATGGTCCTCGATGCTTCCCTTCCCGATGACCCTGGCATACTCTCGAACTACGAATCTCACTCAACCAATGACCAATGGCTCACTTTCGGACATCGAACCTTGCCCAAACGCCGACCACGGCTTACGTATGGACTCCGACCCGAGCCCCAATGTTTAATCCCGGCCCGATTTTGGATAATGCAACTAGCAATTCCTCAATCTCATGAGGAACCTATGATATGTATCAATTGTATAGCTGACATGATGCAGAGGAGGCGACATAGCCTAGAGCTTATTAAGTTCAGTTGGTTATAATGTCAGTGGATGACTCCTCAGCTGGTAAGTTATTGAATGAGCGTGTGGACTTGTTGAATACCTTTTACAATGTATTTGATCAACTACCTTTACCGTAGATTACCATAATCCTAATAAAACTTTTTTTTTAGATTGATAACAGCAGTGTATGTTGTCACTCATGTTGGACCGTGGCCACGGTGTGGCTCTGCACCAATCAAGGACAAATAATATTTCAAATGAAGAAGCAACCACTAGCACTGGTCACAGTTAACGTGGATTGTCTGCATATTAACACGGAAAGAGAATCACATATTCGAAAATAATGTAATAATGGAACAGATTTCACCTCGTCAAGTAAGTTTTTTAATAATTATTTTCATTATATTTTATTAAAGACATTGGCTTGATATATTTGAACAAAGTGTATATTTTTTTCTATACAAATACTTCTAACTGATAGATAAAAATTGACATCACATCTCAATATCTTAAAGAATGAATTTTGAATGATACCATAATTAATTTCTTTGTTTCAGCTGCGGGGATCTGACCAAATATGTCATCCTTAAATGGCAGTGAGCTGATCGAGCTGCTACACATGCTGTGGAGCCCCAACAAACACATGATGGGACGAGGATTCATTTGCCCTTATATTGGCCGAATAACAGTAGGTTGCTGTGCTCATGTTATGACAATTTTGTGGTTTTTGAGCTGGGCAAGGTATCAGGAACATGTATTTCCACCTGCCTAGTTCCTAGACAATATTTTATTGACCCATGAGTCAGATTAAAATAATAATAATAAAAAAAAATGGTGTTTTATTTTGCTTCTAACCTTTCTAGTCTTAAGCAAAAAAAAATTTTTTTAAGGACTTGGATACAAAATGATATTTATATTCTGTTTCTTACTGGTATAGACTATTTAATAAATAACAAATTACATGCTGTAATGTCTGTCCACCTCAGGCCAAAGGTCCCATACTAAGTGGGCATAACCCTTTAATCAATATAGGTTCAGTGGTTTCGGCGTGAAAGCAAGACAAACAGACAGACAGAGTTTTGAATTCTGTTTATTAATTGCTTATAACACGTCTCTTCTCTCTTCGACTATCTTTTGTTCAATCACTG